AGATCAGGAATTTGGGCAACTGGAATTTACCCACTTGATAAAACTAAAGTACTGAAAAGACTACCTGGTGGAAACTAAGTAGAACCTTTTAAAGAAATTCCCTTACACAGGTTCTAAAGGAGCATCCTAATACAATGCGGTATGGTAACGAGAAACCTCCAGAGCAAAAAAAAGAATTGTGGTGGAGCCTGGAAAAAGTATATCGAGAATTGAGGAAAATGAAGCTAATGATAGCAGTTCTTCCGAACAAGAGGAGACTATTAGGTCTCTTCGCGACACTGACTCTTCAGTGGGATCAGAAGATTTTGACGATCTTATAAATGACGGCACTGTAGTAGATGAGAGGGAAGATAAGGAGAACAATAGCGGTAAAGCAAATTCACAATAGAACGAAAACAATGACCAAAATATACTTCAAGAGGACGAAGTTTGCGATGATGACAACTTTGTTGTGAAAGGAAACTTTATTTTAGTTTCTTTTCCCCTTCAAGGAAAAACTAGCAAAAAATCTAGTCAGAAATTACGTTGTAGAAGTCCTGAAGAAGGTAGAAAAATCCAGCACCTATGAATGTAGTTTTCTGCGACCAGTCGGATTATCAAAACACCTGTCGATTTTTAATGCTAAGTTTAATATTTATGCCTAGAAAACTGTGTTTTATTTATGATAATTTTTTTTGCATTACTCCTAAAACAGGCTACTTATTCCTTGAAACTTTTATGATGTTCTGTAGAATTATTGTTACGTCTCATAAATAACTAGATTATTATTGGTTGATTTTACAAGAAAAAAAATGTTTTTGCTAGCACCAAGTACATATATTCAATGATTTTCATTTTATAAATCTATATTATGTTCCAAGTTACCTTACAGCCTTTAAAAAGGGAACAAACATTAATTTTAAGTAGTCGTTCCAAGTTTGCAGTTTTTAGGGTTACTTGGAACACAACATATATTTTTAAAAAATTTGGTAATTCTTAAGACTTATACAATAATAATGCTACTTCCCTAAAAGGTTGGACACTCATACAAACGCACAAATAGTATAAATCAATATTCATATATTTATGTTTGTATGGTGTCCACAGATTTTAATAAAAGGTTCCAAGTTACACGGTTTTACGGTACTATTCACCTTGTGTTTATATTTGTACAATACAAAGAACCAAAGCCACATCTCGAATTCTTCATAAGGAAAAAGTCGTTAACATAAAAATAGTTTTAAAAAATGAAGTTTTTATAGATTTATGGGTAAAAAGATTAAATAGGTTTTAATTAATGTGCTGAATATTTTTAAATAGGGGTTTCAATAGCGTAGATTCTTTTGACAAATTGACAAAATAACTCGGACAAGGGCAAGTCGTACTTGCGCAATATAGTGTTCCGTACCGTAGTTATTTAAAAAAAGTATATTTGGTACATTAATGCAAATAATTATCAATACAGTAATCTTTTTTTATGTAGTAAATTAACTGAATTCAAAATTCAATCTAGATAATTTTTGTTTTAGCTGCACTTTGTTCTCAACGCTAATAATATTTTCGATTTTTTTAGTGTTACTTTTGGAAAAAAGTAACGCAAACGAACATTTCATACATTTTTGAAATCGTGCTTCAATGAGCTTTCATTTGATACCCCACAAAAAAAAATTAATCCCCCCTAAAAACTGACCCCATATAACGGAATTCAATATTGATAATTTTCACTCAATGTACGCCTTATTCTCAAGGTTTTTAATTTTTTTTTTATTTTGCTGAGCGTTAATTTTGGAGATAAGTCGCCCGCCATATTTATTTTTTTTTTTTTTTTTTCGAAAAAATGGTAAATAAAAAGTTACCCAAACCAACAGGTTATGCATTTTTAACCGACTTCAAAAAAGCAGGAGGTTCTCAATTCGTCTCGATATTTTTTTTAAATCGTGGTTGCAAAAGCGTTCATTTGATACCTCACACGATGGTATCAGAAAATATTTGTAATCCCCCCCCCCCCCAAACTGACCCTATATAACGGAATGCAATTTTAATAATTTTAGTTCAATGTAGGTACACCTTATTTTCAAGTTTCGTGAATTTTTTCATATTTTTCTGACCATTACTTTTGGAGATAAGCCAACCATGGTTATGATCTTGATGTTCTTCTTTTTTTAGTTCAGCAAAATTTAGGTAAGGTGTCTATTTTTGTCAAAAGAATCCACGCTATTGAAACCCCTATTTAAAAATATTCAGCATATTAAAGCATATTTAACCTTTTTGTCCATTATTCTTTAAAAACTATTTGTAAGGGTTTTCCATTTGAAGAATTGTGGCCCTTTATATTTGGACACCCAGTATACACAAGGTGAATAGTATGTAGGCATATACAGATAGCAAATAGTTGATTTTAACATCGGCATTTCAGTTGGCTGATGAGAAGGGAGGGAGGGAAGGTTCTAGGTAATAACTTTTTAAACATTATCCACTTGAATATTTCCAGCATTTATGCCCATTTTGAGGACTTACAGGCATATCTGGAGACAGACAATAACTGTAAGTTCGATATTATCGTATTATCAGAAACAAACAAAATTTGTAACCTAAACGACTTCAAATTAAATGGTTTCGAAATATTCTATAATGAAAGTAGATTAAATAAATGTGACGGGCAGCATAGTTTTAATAAAAACTAGTCTTTTACCTAAATCTGAAATTTTTACTATAAATTTCTCAAAGTTTTTAAGAATCACTTTCACTAAAAATAAAACTAAAATTGGTTTAATTACTATTTATAACTCACCGTGTCTAAATAAATTAGACTTTGTAGATAACCTAAAGCTCCTCCTCACAGAGAATTATACTAAATACCCAATTGAGATATTTTGTGGAGATATCAATATTCATATCCTGGATAACAAAATAACAAACTCTTCGAGTGAATATCTAAATTGTTTAAATCATCACGGATATATAAGTCAAATAAATATACCTACTAGAATTTCAGGAGAAACAAAAAGCTGTATTGATCACTTTTTTCTAAAAAATAACAACAAAAGCATAATGGCAAAATCTTGTGTTATAAAGAGTGGGTTAACTGATCATTTCCCAATAGTGTTAAGTTTACAATTTGAAAACACATGCATACAACTGAGTTAAATCACGTCAAGTGGACCCCCCATTTTCCACTTGATCATCGAATTCAGGAATCAGTAATTTTTCATGAAACATTCACTATAAACAATTAATCCCCAAAACAGTTTTTAATAATTTTTATTTTAACAACAATTTTTGTATTAATGAAATTTTTTATGACTTTTAGTTAAAAAATCTATAATTAAAAAACTATTAGAGATATTCTAATGAACCTTTCAGGATTTATAGGTCAATACTTGTATTTTGATAAAATGTGCAAGAGTTTAAATTATTTATTTATTTTCATATTGTTAATTAACTTTTAAATTGACAAATGAAAATTTTAATGACTTCTCCCTCAAAAAACGAAATTTTTTTATTTCGGTATTATGCATTAAACATTAAAGTAACAGAATCCGCAAAAAAAATTGACTGCTCGCGATTAGATTAAACAAAAAAATATATTAATGGTCGAACACAACAAACAAAAATCGGTAACAATGTAAGCTGTAAGAAAAAGGTAGAATTGGGTCTGCCTCAGGGCACGGTCCTTGCACCTCTATTATTTTTAATTTACATTAACTACCTTACAAAGATATTGCCAGAAAAAAATGGCCTCATTATCTGTTATGCAGATCACTCACTTATATTAATTAAAGCTAAAACATGGACAGATACATATCGACTAGCAGAAAAATATATAACATTAGTTAAATTCTGGATGGATCAAAACCTTCTAACCCTAAATGAAAGCAAAACATATTTTGTACCATTTTCAATAAGTAATAATAATATTGATATCCAACCTGATATTAAAATACATACATGCTTTAATAAGGATACAATATGCAACTGCACAAAAACTATAAACTCAGCATCAAATGTAAAATATCTAGGTGTTTATATTGACCAAAATCTTAAATATGATATTCATGTTCAATACATAACTAAGAAAATTAGGAAAACAATATATAAGTTTTACCAATTAAGGGAATGTATGACAAAAAAACTGCTAAAAACTATATATCAAGCTTTAGTTGAATCTAGCATAAACTATGGTTTAAAAATTTGGGGAAGTACGTGTGGTAATGTCTTACAGAATTTAAAACTAACACAAAAATATATTCTCAAGATAATAAATAAAAAACCAAAAAGATATTCATCTGAAAGCTTATTCACTAAGAGTGGAACTCTATCAATAAGAGAACTCTACGTAAAAAGCACCTTAAACTATATGAAATATAAAAATACTTATAAAAATTATATTCAACATAATATTAACACTAGATCCATCACCCAAGATCATGTCTATACAAACAGGGTTGAATTCCTTGCCTGCCAGAGGCATGTAACTTTTACTGGACCAAGACTCTTTAACATGTTACCGTCACATATCAAAAATATAAATATAATAAATAGAAAAATGTTTAATGTAAAAGCTTCTCACTGGGTATTTTACATTTAAAACGTGCCCCCTCCTTAAGAAGTTGTTAGAAAATTAATTTTAAATAATTAGTACATAGCAAAGCTGTTGTTTTAGTAAGAAAGCTAACAAAAAGTATTATTAATTTTAATGAAAAAACCATTAATTTTATAATCATTGATTTGATTTTCATTTATAAATAAACATTAAAAAATCTAGTAATTTACTTATAAAATAGTATTCCACTCCCCGATGAAGTCATTGCAACATATTTATTTAAAAGGATGAAACCAAAAATATACTTTTGTTTAAACGTATTTTTAAAATAAATAATCATTATTTGGCAAATGAATTTAAACTAAATCTACAATTATTGATTTATTGATTTTTCATAAAAATTAAATAATAGAAGTTGTTTAAAGCTTTTATTATAGTGGAAAAAAGCATTGAGAAGGTTTTTAGGATAATTTTATACCTGGAATAACTTTGGGTGTAGGGATATTGGTAGTGTACGAAAGTTTAGGATGTTCCTTTGGTTGGTTTACTTCCAAATTATGTAACCTATCCATGCTTTCTATAAATAAAAATACTAATTAAAAATAAAGTGCTGTAAAAAGAAAAGTAATATGTGCAGAATAGAATATAATATTCAGAAACAACACTAAACTAAGTTCCATTCACGTTAAAGAATTTTATCTAATACACAAAATTGAAGTCAGGAGGAAATTTAAATGTCATACATGTATTTATATGATACTACCTTAATATTTTATATATTTTTGACAATGAAATAAAAATATGTTCCATTCTCTTTTTTATTTTAAATTAAGCATAAAAGTAAAAATAGAAAACAAAATGCAGGTAGTCCTCCTTATTATGTGAAATAAGTACTAGTAACAATAATTGTTTCTGAACGTGCTTAATAACAACAAATAAATAAATAAAAAACTTTTTTCAATAAATTTGTTTTCAATTTGCGAGTTGTAAAATAATTTTCATTATTTCGTAGAGGTCATTTTGATATTTAAACTGCTCACAGAATTAGTCGATACATCTAATATTATCGTCATTTGTAGGAGACTGTGGGGTTTATTCTGTAAAAATTCCTTTATATTTAACGGCCTTTAAAAATATTTTCTTTTTTAATTCGGTCACTATTTAAACGGATCTTTAAAATACATTAGAGGACTATCTTAAAGAAATCTGTTTAAATAATGATAGAAGTAAATTAACGAATACAAATATACTTTTAAAGGCCGCCAATATTTTTAAAGGCCGTTAAATATAAAGGAATTTTTACAGAATAGACCCCTGTATCTGGGAAACGCCTTAGCCGATTTTTAAAAATGAAGAAAATTCTGAAAGTTTGTTATTTCTTGTATTAATGGCTTGATGTGATCTTTACTTTTCGGAACGTATTTGGCAGTTTAGTATTTTTTTGTTTTAGGGAATTTTCAAAAAGTTCGAATTTTTTTAAATCATAATTTCAAAAATAAAATAAAACACAAAGCTTCGGAAAACAACTACTCCTTTGGCTGTATATTTTTGCAAATATGTGTTGTTCCCAAGATAGTTTTTCATCTATTAATAGACCAATATATTTTATGCAATCATTTTTATTTAAAAATTCATTATGTGTGTCCAAAAAAAGTTATATACAAAAGGGAAAAAAGTGTATCTTACATTTCACAAAAAAAAAAATATTCTTGAAATTACTTAAAATTGAGCATGTTTTATTTTATTTCATTTTGTTATTTTATTTTGGACAGCGTCATAGCAGCAGCACTTAAAATTTAAAAAAAAAAACATGTGTATACTATTAGAAAAAAATAAAAAACCCCCTCTTATTCCAACCACAAAAAAAAGATTTCGTTTTAACTGAAGATGCTCTTTTTATAAATGTATCAAAATGGATATACGAAATACAGAGATAATATATACAAAGAAAGTAAGCAAACTCAACAAATACAAATCTATTCACATCTAAGACAAAACATTAGACATTTTTTTAAATTTTTTAACTATTTTAACTATAGTTTATTTTTTATAACTTAAAAACAGGGTTTGTGGATTAAAATACAATTTAGGTAGTTCACTCGTAAAACGGCCTTTCTTAAGAATTCAATAAAATTGAAATATGAGGTTAATGAAAGTGTCTTTTATGTACCTAAAAAAAATAAAAAAATTTGACCGTCTGTAAAACGAGATATTAAAAATCAAAATGTGCATAATTAACACTCTTGAAGCCCTGTCATGTACACAATAATTGCATTTATTTCAAGATATCTCGAAAACTGTTCTTACCATATTTTTTAAAAACTAATATAATGTAAATCAATTAGTTATAAAATTTTCTAAAGAAACGCTGAATTTTTTTACCGTTTTGATAAAGAAATATAGATTTTTAAAATAAAAATGTTCTTAAAGCAGTCGACGCATAGTGGCGTATTGTGATTACAACTTGGCAACGTTGTAATCGATACACTCAACGCCCGCTAATTCAAATGTCTGTTAGATCAGTGCTTCTCAACCTATTTATTGCCGCGGACAGGTCAAGTTTATCACTTTATCGAGGCCTTCTGGGAAGGGACGTTGTTTATACTTTAGGTTGATATGATTTAACAATTTAAATTTAATTGTATTTAAACATGTCTTCAAAATTAAATAAAAATGCAAAAGATGAATATAATTTTATGTAACATTTAAAATAAAATACAGTTACACAAAAAAAAATAATATAAAGTAATATAAAATTTTTACTTACTAGTATGAGTAAGTCATAAAAAAATACAAATAAAAGTAATGATTTTCTGTAGTATTAATGATATCGTAGGAACGTTCATGACAGCAAGACATTTATTTGAAGCAGTTTGACCAAACCCTGAATAATAATAATAATACTCTCCCTAATTCACCCCCTTACGAGTGAATTTCAACCCCTGAAGTCGACTGAACGACTTGTGTAGGGGAAGGGACGGCTATTATTATTATTTGCCGTGGCGCTCCGGGGCGACTTAAAGATGATTGATGGTGCCATTTGACTTACAGGTGAGGAAAACCCGGAAAACCTCACCCACCATCATATGGACAGCACCTTTAAATAAATAAAATTATATTAATTATAATAAAAAAAATTATAAACATAAATACTTATGTATTTTTTTTAAATTTACCTAGAACTGCTTTAGTGTTGACATCTGAATGCTTAACTTCACTTTTTGTTGCTTGAACTTTGTCCGTAGGTACTATAGTTTCAATATTACATTCATTATATTTAACATTTAAAATTGAATAAAGGCCCTTTCGTGTTTCATTTGTAATATTTTCAAGAGAAAGAACTCTTTCACACCAGCAAAATTTTAAATGTTTTCCCAACTCTAGTAATTCTACGATGCGACCACTGCACAGGTTATTTTTCAAGCTTGGGGTTTCCTTTCTCAATTTTGTTGCATTATTCATATCCAAAATTGATTTTTTGCGTTTGTTGAAGACGTTTTGCTTAACAAATTTTCCTTTATCTCGCAATTAATTGATCCTGACAATGAAACATTTTGATATTTACATTTATTTCACTTTAGGAATACAGTTTACGTTTCACAATATTTGCGACGTTGCCGGATGGATTTTACGCGATATAATACCATATTTGTATATAGGATCACATGTGTTGTGTGTACAGTCTGTTACAAAAGTAACCTTTCTTTAGATTTAAGAATCTCGAACGGTTGGTATTCACTATAGGGCGATATTTTTGTGTAGACTGTCGCGAGTGAACTACCTTAAACGACAGTGATCACAAAAATGTTAAGTACATTATTTGTTATAAGCTTAAAAGTTTCTATAATTGTTAAAATAAACACACTAATTAATACAAATATAAAAATTAGAGGATAGAAATATTCAAACGAGTGTAGTCATCAAATCTGTGACAAACCAAAAACATACTTTTTAAAAACCACTTATCAAACAAATCGGAACATAAAAAAAAACATTGAGAAATAATAGCTATAAATCTATTTTAGTTTTATAAGAAATAAGTAAATGAAAATTAAAAATAATACTGTCTCCAGCACTTGTAGATGCCTTTTAAATGTTACCTTCAGATATATTTTTTGCTACAATTTATACAATACCAACAGGTGTGCCTATTCTTCTTGACAGTTAAGAAACTATGTGGAAATTATGAATCTACATAGAAATCCAAGGCCATACTCGTCTTGGTTGTCACTTGTCAAAAAATACCGAATAATAATATCTCAATTTCAGATGACTAATAGTTAAAAAAATAAAAATATATAATATAGTATCAATTTTCTTCAGAAATATAACATATGTATTTCAAACAAATGAACACCTAAACACCAGACAACAACAAAAACCTTTACCTAAAAACTGGAGCCTGTCCTTTGCCATAGCTAAATTAGTCTTCATTTTTTCATGTAATCTCTGAGCTCGTTCCCATACTTCACCTTTGCCACCCCAACATTGTACAGCAATACCAAGCTCTAGTTCAGTAATACCTTTACGATATAAATCAATAGCTAATTCTTTCTGGCCTGAAAAAAAATACAGTTTTAATATATTAACCATGATCAATTCTAAAAATGTAATTTAATTATATCTCAATAATTTTTAACTATACAATTTATAGTTAATATTTGAAACTGATCGAAATTTTACAATGAAGTCTGGTTTAAAAGAAAATGTACCATATGAGCCGTTTAATTTGAAAGTGGCCTAAGTCCATTTATACTTAAATTAAAATATTTATTATCGACAATGTCAGTAGGCAGTGATGAAGGTAATTTTAATTAATTAGTTTTTAACAAGTTAAACTCAGTTTTTAGACAATTGCATTAGTTGAATAATTAGTACATTTAATTAATGTAGTTAAACAAAATTTACACAAACCCTTAGATATCTCAATTTAAATACAAATGGACTTACGCCACTTTCAAAATAAACGGCTCATAATTATAGTCTACAGAAAGTTGAAAGTGTGTAAATTAAATATGTATTAAATATGTATATTGAAATCATGTTAATTTTTTTTGCAGGAAATTCCAATTCCCATAACCCAAAGTGATATATAGACATAAAACAATATTATAATATTCATAATTTTTGCATTTTATTGTGGTCTTAGTACCAAATCACCAAATAGAGCATAAAAAATAACTTGTAATAATAAAAAAATTTTAAATTTTAAAAAGAAATGTTAACAACTAATTGTTTGTCAATTTTCTAAGATTTATCCCCCCAAATGGTGGGTATATTCCATATATCCCACCAAAAATGCTAAGTATTTATCACCTTTGAACTTTAACAGCTCCAATTTAAAAACACTAAATAATTTTAAAGGTAAATGCTGTTATTATAAAATACAAAAATAAGTAAATAATCATATAAAAAGGGATGTCTTTTGCTCATGTATATTTGTAACTTTCATACTCTCCTCCCCATGGCCACTCCCATGTTGTTTTTTTTTTTAATGAAACACCCTGTATATTATTGCATTTTCTATTCCCTTCTAATATTCGATTTCAAAAATGTAGAGATACCTGAGGCAAAGAGTAGAAATAATAAGAGAGGAAAGTTAGAGCGAGAATCTAAAATCGAGAGTGCTACAGCTAGACTCCAATTTAAAAGGATTGCATAAGTGGTGGCTGATTATTGTCACCCGGTGATTCTACTTACGCTTTATGTGTCTCTGTGATTTTATTTGGTTAGTGTTAGACTTATTTTTATTAATAAAAGTTGAACATTTTGACATCAAACAAGGTAAAATGTGATACATTTATAAAAATTTCATACATCCAAATTCCAGAACGGATTCCAAGCTTACGGAGCCTGCCAACTAGCAGGTAAATGATTATTGTAAACATGTTTAGTAACAGTTCATTCATACACATTATTGTTTCACTCGCTTGAAAGATGTATGATGAAGATCACAGTTTACCATCATTTTTCTTGAGAGTGGTGTTGTGCTTGTTATGAACAAAATAACTGCAAAGATATCAGACTAAAATGAATATATCAAAATAGAGTTATTTAATTTAACTTTCTTGTGGAAAGATTATTGAATTTTTATGGTTTTTCAATTAGGAAATTTTTATTTTTTAATCATTTTGGGAATTTTTTCATACATCATAACAGTATTTATCATGAAATATAATTATATAAGGATCACATTGACAACAGCGTGCACACTCCTGTTTAAATGTCCGAAGTGACAGCAATATTTTTGCCCCATGAATGTAGTAGGATCTCATCTTAGTAATCTTTGCCTGAGGTGTAAAGTGAATTGTTTGAAAGTTACAAATAATCAAGGGAAACTAGCTACCCCTGAGAACTACTACTTAGCCTATGGAGTCTACTACAAAAGACCAAACTAATCAAGGTACTCTAAACAATGATATCCACAATAAATCTGAATAGCCACATGCCCTCACAGTTCTAATTAAATCTAATGCTTAAGTTAAAAATAATTTCAATTTAATCACCTAAATGGTTTAATTATCAAAAATTAATGGAATTATATCAATAACAAATTATTTTATTAGACGTTGAAACTGACTTCGATTGATTTCCATACATGATACAATTTTTTCATAAAAGTATCACCTTTAAAATTATTTAGGGTGAATAGATTATTATTGACATTCCCAGTACATTAAATGGTTTTTAAATTATAATTTTATTTTATTCCTAATTGCTTACTATCAATTTTATTAATGTATTTTTCAATTATTAAATAATAACATTATCATATCAGAAATATTTTGTTTATAATCACAATTGATAATACTAAATGCTTGTACCAGAATTCCATAGACAAAAAATACATTTACCACATACATATATTTTGTAATTAAGATTACTTAACTGTGATTTTTATTAGAATTAAAACTTAATTTGCAATTACTTATATTTGAATATGCTACAAATAGAGCTGTTACAAAAATTTAAAAATTTGTTATGCTGGGCATATTTTTAGAAATAAGTAGTATACAGATAAAAACAAGATTTATTTTTACTATAAAATTGAAAACTGTTTAAAAATTATCCATCTTTGAGGTGGGGCTTGTAGGGTGGACTATAAGTTAGACATGAGCCACAATAAATCCATCTGATCAACTCACTCATTTCAAGCTAACCTACCATCTACCCATATTTGATATAATTATTACAGAAACACTATTGAACTGACTAGGAGCTTAAAAGTTTGTCATCCTGTTCAACTTCTGAATTGTTAAAGCTTTGGAAGCATAATTTGCGATGAGTAAAATTATAATTTTTTTAATATGAAAATGACATCCAAAAGTTTCAAAATGACAGTTTGATTTTAAAAAACGATTGAATTACTCCTATTCATGTGACAAACACATGATACTATAGAAGAAATGTATGATATTACGCGGATCATGGTGACATATTATGGTAGGAGTGGCTTTTACGAATTTGAGGTATCAGCTGATCAAAAACAGTGAACAAATATAAATTTTAATCTAGTGGCCAATCAACCATGTTCCACGCCACAATACGTCATTAGCGAACTCTAGATTTTGTCTGTAATTTTTTGTATCATGTGACAAACCAATTTAGGGTGAGATTACAGAAAGTCTGCAACTTTGCAGATCTGCAAATATGGCGGCAACTTTGCAGATTTGCAAATATGGTGGACTTACAGAAGCAAGTATCAAGTTTTCGTATTCCAAAAAATATCTGCAAATTCGCAATGTTTGTTGTGGTTTATTACCCCCAACAACACTTAACCCAAATCCACCTTTAAGGAGGTTAGGACATCCTACAAACTTGCAGATTGTCAATTTTTTACTATACTTTTTTTTTAATAACCTGAAGTCTTGTTCCTTTTAATTGAATACAGTTAGTGGTGTCAGATTATCGAGTTTTTAAACATAATAATGGATTTGGGTTTAGTGTTGTTGGGGGTAATAAACCATAATAAATATGTTGAATTTGCAGATATTTTTTGGAATACGAAAACTTGCATCTGTAAGTCTGCCATATTTGCCGATCTGCAAAGTTGCCACCATATTTGCAGATCTGCAAAGTTGTAGATGTTCTGTAATCTCACCCTTAGAGGTTTCAGTCCCCTGGCTTATCATGTTATTGGCTGTCATTTTCATTATAAATAATATTAATTTTACTCTATAAACAAAATATTTAGGTAACTATTCCAAGGTTAAATTGGGGCCAGTGGATGTTTTCTCACTATATGTTGTTATGAATGGGGTGTTAATACACTGTGACCTAACAGATCTATTGTGTCCCCTTCTGTCGCTAATGCAACGTGTGGATGCCTTTAACAACCCTTCGAATCCTATATTTTCAAGGAAGTGTAGGATTTGGAGTGGCTTCAATTTAGGTAAATCTCCCTCTTCTATTCTCATTACATTATGCCCATTTGAGCATCAAATCATCTTATGCTCAAAATCACTTGTGCATAAAATTATGTATAAAATAATAGTTTATCATGAAGAATACTTATTTTTATACATATTATAAAACACTTATCAAACATTTATCAAACAACCAAGCTGTATTGTATGCAAATAGATAAAAAAATGAATTTCTAACCTTCATTTTCTTCATCAATTTTTAAAGCTTTGGAAATGTATTCAAAGGCTCTCCGGTGGTGATGCTTCTGTTTGGCTAATAAGGGATCACCTGGGCCTGGACCTGTCGTTCTTGCTTGTGCCATTTCTGTAATTTCTTCAATAACTACAGAGCTATTTCTTTCACCATTCTCACAATCAGTAATACGATGACGCACAAAATAAGTTGATGAACTACAGTAAACAAAACGCAAAATAACAAAAATTTGATAAAGAAGAGACCGCAAAATATTAAATAAAAATATAATAGGGAAAGAAACTATACACAAATTTCGTTTATGAACAGATGTGTTTGTGTAAGAAGTAAACATCACATTACTGTGGGAAGAATCAGGGTCACTTTTTCGTGATTTTTTACTTGGCGACTTTCCACTTTGATTTTTTCGAACCATCCGGAGGCCATGACACAATTTAACAATTAACGTCAACGTCAAAGTCAAAATAATGTCATGAAAAATATTACTTGTGAGTTTGCGCAGCCGGGCTATTTTCAAACTTGGAAGAACTTTGTCAAAATTTGTTTTCGATGCTGGATCTAGGGTTTCTGAGATCTATGGTGCCAACAGGTCCGTAATTGGAAAAATTATACATGTGGAATGATATGTTGACAGAAAAAACTACTCCTCTAAAAGTGCGCTTTGAAAAATTCAAATAGTCATTATTTTCAATTTCATACGCAACTTCTGAATAATATTCTTCTTCTCAACAATTTTGGTTTAACAGCAAAATATACTTCTATTTTATCACGTTTCAAATTAAATCATGGGCCGTTTCCCGCCAACCTACATAAAATAAAAATCATAGAGCTCTTTCAGTCACAACGGTTTTGGTAGAATTCAATTTTATTTTATGTTGGTTATCGACATATGCAATGAAAGCGCACCATATTGCCGTGTAGCTTTTGTACCGTGTCATATACAAAAGTATCGGAAACAACATAATCGTATATACTAGGTGCACCCAATCAGAAAAGAGATGAAGTGGGCACATTCATTTCTTTAATGGAAGATTTACGTGCCGACGAAAATAAATTTTTTAATTACGTTCTGATGTCCATTACATCCTTTGATGAGCTTCATAACTGGCTAAAAAACAATATATTCAACGGCAGATTACTAAAATTTGAAATTGCATTGAACCTAAGGAAATGATAGCTGTGACACTGAAGTAAAAGCGTTTTATGTTACTAGTTTATTATCTACAAAATCAGAAAATAATATTTTTTATTATTTGAAACTACTTCTCGTAAAAAAAATACAAAATCTTTATAATATTAGTTTTATTATAGCTAAACCTGCGCTTTTTAATATGCACCTGGAGCACAACTTGCTAATTGTTGTTGTTTCAAGACACATAAGACAGGTGTGTAAACAAATGACACAACTGCACTAAAAAATAACTATTCATTTATTAATAATTGATGATTTCAGATAAAATACGTACATGGACAAGCAAATACAATAGTTATCTCTCAGTGTAGTTGCGCCATGTATTTTGCACCCGTCTTACGCCTATTGCATACTTACACAATTTTAAAGTTCATTATTGTGATGGAAAAGAATGACCTTAGAATTTTTTTTCTGACAGATGTTTCTCCATCAATTTCAGTTTGCGCTTTAGCTACATTGAAAAATCTAATTCTGCAATAAGCGTTTGTTATTAACTTAGCTATTTTCATTCTATATGGCACGTTCGTTAAAAATTTCAATTAAATTTGTTTCCGCAGACATCATGTTATTAGTAAAGAACAATTTTTTTTTTTTTTCGATAAAAGTTTTTCTTATATTTTTTGATAGTGCTATCAAACCTCTACGATTTTTTATATTGAAGAGCGCAAGGTTGTCTCTCTCAGTACCATCAGAACAAACCAATAGATCCATGCAATTTAAACATTTAACAAATTTTCGCAACAAAACCAATTATGTAGGCCACCTGCACATTTTCCGAAATGAATGATAATATCGAATCAAATATGGCATATTGAAGTCTGTAATATTTCTCTTTATCAGCCCAATGTCGTCGTCAGTAATTTTATTGGTGGCATTATTCTCTTACTCAAGAAGGTTGACAAAATATATCGAGATTGTTCACTCTTCATAAAAATTGTATTGCTCTTTTTTGCAGACAAAAAACAGTATTGACTAACTCACCTCTACAACCTCACCAAAATGCAATTCCATATTTTAAATGGGGCTCAACTAGAGCGTAATATACACTTTTAGCTGGCATGAAACCTAATTCTTTTGCCACAGTTCTGACTACAAAACATCCAGAAGAATGTTTTTTGTTTAGCAATTATGGTTCTTAAATTTCTAATAATTAGTGTATGAATTAACGCCCAGAAATGTTATTGTATTAGTCCCATTCTACTTTCTATAGGTGTCATTTCTGTACAATAATATCGTAGTGTCATCAGCAATTAGAGTGAAAGTACTTACAATGTTGAGTAAAGAGTAAAGAAGGAATAAAATGGGACTCAACACAGAACCCTGAGGGACTCCCCAACTTATATCCAAAACTTGAAAGTACATAATACTTAACTCTTACCATTTGCTTGCGTTCTAAAAGATAAGATCGATTTTATCAGCGCTTCGTCTTCGATTCCGTAAACTAGAAATGATTGCAACAATACTATATAATTGACACAATAAAACACCATAGTCAAATCACACAATATATCCGCTACAGCTTCGTTAAAATTAATTTTATAGCAAGCAAGATTGTAATAAAAAAACAGGCGGGCGGAGGAGGCGATCCAGTCCTGATAATTGATTTGTATTTTTCCAAAAACTCCGTAATGCGCATGCGTTGTAGTCTTTGAGTGATGCTTAGGGCCGATTCCACCGTTGCGTTAAACGGAGATTAAAATGACATGTTAGTGTAAAAATGTCATTTTAAACTTCGTTTAACACAACGGTGGAATCGATCCTTGCTGCTAAACATCGCACAGCTGTGCTGTGCCATTTTTATGTGATTTTTATTAGGTCGACAGGATTGTGTAGCATGTGTACGTACCGTGCGCTGAGGAGTGCGTTTAGAAACCCCGCACGGCGCGTCTCAACACATACATTAGAATAGGGTCCAGACGCGCCGTGCGTGGTTTCTAAACGCACTCCAGGGGACTCCGCCACAGATAATTGTTCTGTGGCCACGCCACAGACTCCGCGCTGCTCAGCGGTCCTTGTTCACTTGTTCTATGGTTCACTTTACCTAATCTATGGGTCCTTGTTTGTTACACTCGTGGACAAACCTTGTCCAATACATTGTAAAATAGATGGTCCGCGTTTAAATTTTCGTACCTGTACATAAAAAACGGTTACTATATTTACGTGAATAACTTTTTGTAATCCATGATTATTCATTCGCTTTTCTACTTTATTGGCCTGTTACCGGCTAAGATCAACTCTTGAATTATGATCTAAAGAAAAAGAAGAAGAATTTAATAACTGTCAAGTGTCAAATTGGAGATTTCCGTAAAAGCCGATTTCCAAACATGTCATTTTCAGCTTTTTGAAAAATTAAATATAAAGAAAACATTGAAGGAAAAGAACATGTCTCATCATTATGTTGTTACGGCTCACAAGCCGACTGCTGTTACATCATGTGTAACTGGTAAATTTATATATAAAAAATAATATAAAAATAACCTTTAATAATTACTTACCAACGTTTTTCAGGCAATTTTACGTCCCCTTCCGATTTAAATCTTATTGTTGCTCGAAATACTCGATTAGAAATATACTTAGTAACTCCTGAAGGTTTAAGACCTATTAAGGAAATTGGATTGTATGGAAAAGTGGCAGTAATGAAGCTATTTCGACCACAAGTACTTGTTTATTTGTTACAATTATTAATTTTTAATAAACTAACAGGACGTTTAAACAGTCATTATTATTTATTTTTTATGTATAAACATTTCAATTGCTTTGTGTAAAATGTATAAATAATATAAATAGGTAGATATGAAGTTTTAACAATAATCAAATTATTTCCAGCATGAGAAGAAAGATTTACTATTTGTAGTTACTTTAAGATACAATGCTATGATTTTGGAATGCATTAGTGATGGAGAAAATATAGATATCATCACAAAAGCACATGGAAATGTTTCAGATCGAATTGGAAAACCTTCTGAAACGGGCATATTAGCAGTGATTGACCCAAAAGCAAGAGTTATTGGGTTAAGACTTTATGAAGGCCTGTTTAAAATTATACCTTTAGATAAAGATAACTATGAATTGAAGGCATCTAATTTTAGGTACATAATTATATTTTTAAGCATTACATATCTTAGATTAAGCTTTTAAGTACAAAATATTAATGTTTAATTATCAGATACCATACAAATTGGTTGAACCATCTTACCTTTATTTTTGAATCAATATTACTCATAATTGTATCTACTTTACTCTTTTACTGCAGTAACAGACTATTTTTGTTTAATAGTGTGCTGTCATTGAGTGAAACAACTTTATTCGATCTCTTTATTTGTGGGTTAGTTGCGGGATTCGATTATTTTATCCATGATATATAAAATAATCGTTTCCCCCAGTAAACCCACCCATAAACAAGGAGTTGGAATATAGTCTTTTCCCCCAATGACGATACTCTATTCATTTTAAAAAAGTCAGTTCTCGCAGTGAAAGGGCTAATAATTGCTCTAATGCAGGTCTAGTTCCATTTTTTTGTTGTTAGTTCATTCATTAAGTCTAGCCATATACATGATTTCTATCACACAAATCTGATTTTATTTAGTAGTAGTCATTGTGTAGTAATATTTTTACTCTGTCAGTGGTGTTGCATAAGAAGGATTTTAGGTAATCTTGTGGTTGATGATCCTTTTAATGTGCATGTCTACATCGCTATGCACTGATGTCTAGGATTTGATACATGCCACCTTTCCAAATCTCTAGTTTCACTGTAAACTGCTTTGTAAAGTAGTGGTTTCTTATTATCATCTATTTTCTTAGATTATTTTTATAATTATTGCAATAATCATGTAAGTATTATTTAAATAAATATTGCAATAATTATTTAAATATTATTTAATAATTATAAAAAAAAATAACTAAGAAAATACAGGACAATAATAAACTGCTATAATGAAAGTGGAGGTTTAACAAAATGGCATGTCAAATAAAAATTCTGGAAATCAGTGCAAAGTGGTGTGGACATGTGCAATACAAGGACTGTCAACTACAAGATTACCAGGGTTTAATTAGGATGGGTGACAATAAACTATTATCCCTACAAACCTGCTTTCAGGCCAAGTCCTTCATTTCCTGATCATGATAATGTTTATGGGTACTTATCAACAATAATTATCAGCATTTCTGTGTTGTATACATTCTATTTCAAAATGACTACACCTCAGATAAATAGAGAACTGATAAAAACAATAGGATTTGAGAAAACAATGCAAAGTGAGCAATCAAATTAGATTTTTATTGGAAAAGTTTCATCAGACACACTGTGCCTTTGTCTGACATAATCATTTCTAATGTCAGATCGGATGTGTGCACTGAGATAGAATAAAGAGGAGATGCTAAAGTGTTTGCACCTTTGCATTACACTTTTACGTCATATGTCAAACTGGAGCTAGTGGAGCTAATCAGTTTTAGTGAGAATAACTCCCATTGTTTTTAAATAGCTTCATTTAAATGATATAAAATCCTTTTCATTCCATCAATCTTCAAATATAAAATTATTGACTTCAAATAAATTAAAGTACAACTCAAGTCGCCATTTTCATTACACTTTTCCGTCACTCGAAGTACGTCCAACTGTCATATCGGAAAATAGTGGTTGTCGTCTCTACCTTATTCTATCAAGTCATAAAAATCAATATTAATTGGAATTTCAGATGATCTGTTCCGATAATCATTTCTGACAATATCCAGATTCTCCACAGCATTTATTTACTTTTTGTTTTGTATCTTTTATGTTTCTAAATATTTATTTCTTGACACTTTTACTTTGTATTTTCTTTTATGTTTCTTAGATTCCATATTATATTATTAATTCATATAAGTGACATACTATTTTTTTTTTTTCTAAATATTCATACTTGAATGTTATACTTTTACTAAATCATTTTTAAGAATAAACGATGACTTAAAAATTGATTAGTTGAATTAGGTTTTGGGCACCAATGCATATTCGTTAAATAAGCTTATAATATAAATTACTTTGTTAACAAAATTTCATATAATCATTTCCAGAATGGAAGAATTGCAAGTTCATGATGTTGAATTCTTACATGGATGTGCAAACCCCACTCTAATTTTAATACACCAAGATGGAAATGGTCGCCATGTAAAAACCCATGAAATTTCTTTGAGAGAAAAAGAGTTTGTAAAAATTCCATGGCGACAGGATAATGTGGAAACTGAAGCTTCCATAATTATTCCCGTACCATCACCACTTGGAGGGGCTATTATTATTGGCCAAGAAAGCATATTATATCATGACGGCATCACTCCAGTTGTAGTTGCACCACCAGTTATTAAAGTAAGTATATTTTATTTTTAAAACATGTTGTAAATCCTAATATACTTTTAAATGCCGATCTCGAACAACAAATGACATTGAAGATATTGAAATAAACCTTAAAATTACAAACATGTACACTTTGATTCAACAAGTAGGCATAAGGGTGGTGTAATAATAAGTGAAAAATAATTATAATTTTACTATTTTCAAAACATATTATCTTTAAGACAGTTATTGGTGTAAAATATGGACAATTAATGTTATAAATATGTTCTGTCTAGTTGGGTGTCTATACCAATCACCATCAAGTTCAGATTCAAAATTTATTGATGAATTCGAATCAATTTGTAATGTTTTATTTTTCACTAATCATTATTGTATATTAGTTGAAGATTTTAATATAGACTGGTTAATTTCTTCTTTCTGCAGTAACAAAAAAAATGTTATAGAAACTTGTGCTAATGTAATTTATAATATTGTTCTAAAAGAAACACTTTATTATAAAACAAAATTTCTTTGGTTTGACTATGAGGTACACAATAAAATTTAAAATAAGGATAGAGTTTATGTTATGTTGGGAATGGGGTATTAATAGACTGCGACCTAAAAGATCTATTGTGTCCCCTTCTGTCGCTAATGCAGCATGGAAATGTCTCAATGCCTATAACGACTTCCAAACATATCTTCTCAAGGAAGTGTAGAATTTGGAGTGGCTTCAAATTAGGTAAATCTCCCTCTTCTGTTTGATATGCCCCTAGGTGTAGTGCCCTTGGATTCTGGAGTGCTAGACATTCAGTTAGAATGTGAATGGAATCCTCCTCCTCACAGAATCTGCACTTACTATCTTCCGCTACTCTCAGTTTATTAAGGTGTCCTTTTAGTCGGCAATGCTCAGTGAGGATCCCTGTTACAATACGTAGCCTGTTCTTGCTCAGGCAGATGCAGGCTTCCAATATTTTCTGGTTATATTCACCCAGGAGTATCTTAGCCTATGAGCCCCAAGAGATTGTTCCAATTATCGGTTCTTCTACTGCCCAATTCTTTTTTAATCTCTCCTAATATTATGTTACTGCAGGTCCCACAAAGGGTGATTGGGCCCCTTTCCTTGAGAGACTATCTGTAATCTCGTTACCTTGTACCTCGTTATGTCCCGGGACCCAAGTGAGAGTAACTCTATTTTTCTCGCCTGGAAGATGCTTGGGTATTTTCTCAAGCTTTCGGAGTTCTATATATTAAATGAGACTCTACTAGAGCTTAATAAACACTTTTAACTGGCACAAAACCTAATTTTTTTGCCACAGTTCTGACTGCAAAATATCCAGAAGGAAGTTTTTTGTTTAGCAATTCTATATATGGTTCTTAAATTTCATATTATTATCTCAATTAATGCCCAGAAATTTTATTGTGTCATTACATTCAATATTATGACTTCCTGACTGAATCTTTGGTAGGACGCATTTAATCATAGTGTCGTCAGCAAATAGAGTGAAAGTACCTGCAATTTTTTAAGTTAAGCTAATTCATTTACATAAAAGAGGAATAAAATGGGACCCAACTCAGAACCCTGAGGGACTCCCAACTAATATCTAAAACTTGAGAATCTGTATAGCTCTTACCATTTGCTTACGTTCTGAGAGATATGATTTTACCCAACTCAGTGTTTCGTTTTTGATCCCATAAACTCGAAGTTTTTGCAATAGTACTGGTATGATTGACACAATCGAACGCCCGTTTCTAGGTAAAGAATCAAACGGTTTTTCACGACTTTTTCAATGATTTTAACTAGTGTAGAAATAAGAGATATTGGACTAAAGTTCGAAGGATAGTAATTGCTGACACCTTTATGTTTGTGTAAAATAACACTGGTCTTAAGAAATGTCGGAAAATTTGATTCAACAAAAGCTTGGTTGATCAGACTAGCTAGGACCGACGTTGCTGATTCAGGAAGATTTAGGATAACTCGTATAGAAATATCCTCATAACCAGCAGCATTTTTGTTTGTTTCTATTATCTGAACATATTTTCATTATTTTAAAACTTGTAAAGTTTAGAGTAGAATTGGAGTTAACATGAGTATTTTTTATAGGATCAATAGGAGATTTAAAATTATTAGTCAAATTTTCAGCAATTGAACAATAATACAAATTAAATGTTTCTGAATCAATATAATTTTTTGCGGATTTAGAATGTTGTTTGTTTTTTAATTCATTGATAATACTTCAAGTTTCTTTATCCTTATTATTAGAATTTTCAATTCTAGAATAATAGTATATGTTCTTAGCTTTTTTAATAACAGATGTATATATTTTTCTGTACTGGAGTATAGTATAGTAAATACATTACTTGATGCTGGCAGAATTCCTGAATCAAATCAGTACAGTGATATCTTGCCTCCAATAAAAAAAAATATAATTAGATATGCAAACCAGTTTGATTGTAGAAAAAATATTCCTGTGAATCAGCACTACAACTTACCCTTTGTAACATTCAAACTAAATTAGACGAAAATAAATATGTTTTAGCAGTATTTTTGGACTCGAGCTTTTGAGAGAATTGGCATAAAAATAATATCAAACATGAAACAGTAATATGGTATTGGGGGGTAGAGTGTTAGATTGGTTTAGTAATTATTTAAATAATCACGGACAGAGAGTCCGTTTTGGTTACCAGAAGATCATATGACGTAAATAATGATATGGGGATTCCTCAAGGTAGCGTATTGGGTCATCTACTTTTTATTTTATACATTAATGATATTGAACTTTTTGTTAATTGTGAATTTATTAATCTTTTTGCTGATGATACTTTAATAGCCTGTAGTGATGCGAATTTGGATAAAGCCATAAAGAAAATGAATAATTATTATCTATAAATAAATAATTCAATATCAATAAACTAAAATTTAAAATTAAATGTAAGAAAAACAAAAGAAATGGTTTCACAACAAATTTGAACATAATAGTGAATACATTGAAGTTGTTTCTAATGTCAAATACTTGGGATTTCGACTAGATAATTATACATTTCGGTTATTGCGCAACTATTTTATACTTATTTAATTTAAATAAATTATACATGGTTCAAAATTGTAGAATAAGAATATTACTGAAAACAAATTATCTTACTCCAATTACATCAATGTTAAATACTCTAAATTGGTATCCAATAGAAAAAAGAATGTACTTTTTTATAATATGTATTAGTATAATATGGCATCAGAATACTTTCAGCAATTTATTATGTTCAACAATAATTATTATCCATACTTATAGGTACAAATAACATCTTCATTGCAAGAACTACATATCAAAGTACTATGATTTAAATGTTTCAAAAAATTCAATGACCTCCCTTTATCTGTACGTGAACCAACCACTGTAAAGTGTTTTAAAATTAAACATAAGGTTTTTATTACAAATATACAATTTAATTAAGACGTGTTTGGCTGAATGGCACTGTGTCTATGCCAAAAAAAAAATAAGATTTTATAAATTCAAATAATAAATAAATTTATTTGTGATATTATTTTGTATTTGGAATTTTATATGTATATGTATGTTAATGGTTTTCAATTGTGTAACTTTTAGATTTACGTATAAGCTCATTTTATTCTTTTTTATACGTATGTAAGGATTCCTAATTCAATATCTATCTAAAACAATATTGCTATTAAATTATTATTGTTGCTTATTTATTTTAAAAAATGTTCGGCAATGTAATCATGGATTATGATAAATTAACATATCAAATATATTTTAGCAAAGTACAATAATATGCTATGCCAAAGTAGACCCAGGAGGTCTAAGATACCTTTTGGGTGACATGGCAGGTCACTTGTTCATGTTGTTCATCGAAACGGAAAGCAGAGGAGATGGTGCTGAAGCTGTCAAAGATCTAAAAGTTGAATTACTTGGAGAAATTGCTACACCAGAATGTATTACTTACCTAGATAATGGAGTTTTGTTTATTGGCTCTAGAATTGGTGATTCACAATTAGTGAAATTGAACCAAAAAGCTGATGAAAATGGTTCCTATGTTACTGTAATGGAATCCTTTACAAACCTTGCACCCATTTTGGACATGTGTGTGGTTGATTTGGAAAGACAAGGGCAAGGGCAGTTGGTTACTTGTTCAGGTGCATTCAAAGAAGGTTCTTTGAGAATTATTCGAAACGGAATAGGAATTCAAGAACATGCTTCAATTGATTTACCTGGTATTAAAGGAATGTGGGCTCTTCAGGTAGCAGGTAAAAAGTCATTTTTCTTATCTTTTAACATTTTTAAGTTTGGTGAAATGGCGCGGTTGGTTAAAGTCTATCCTACATATAATAAATAATTATTGAGACACATTTTTCAATAAAACGCCGAACTCAAAAGTATAAATATTATATTCACCGATAAAGAACAATTAATTGCATAAATATATCGCCAATGTGTCTCTTACCACTGGCTAGTATGGAATACCTCGTGGAGTGAATTCAAATAGCCATCACATAAGTGACGCCGGAATGACGCTAGATATGGTACTGCCGTTATTGAGAATTGGGAACTCTGTTCCCGCCTGGAACGTAACAAAATATAATAATAATAATAACTCTACAACATTAATACAACCTTTTTATGTTTAATTATTAAATATTAATATCTATGAAAATTTTTTTTTAATACAGTGCGTTCATAAAATATGGAAATGTTCATTATCTATTTAACGAGTTATTTTCGGAGATAAAATTCGGAAAAATCGATTTTAAACTTCTCCTTTTTTTGTCAAAAAAAAAATAATTTTTATCCTATTACCTTACAAGATATGACGTTATCGATAATTTTTTTTTGTGTTGAAAGGTTATATTTTTATATAAAAAATTAAAGATTTCTGTATTTCATTTGTGCAGAGGAAAATTTGTATTAATACAATTCCACTTTATTTAATAAGTTTACATAGTAGGATTTGAACCGGTGCTCTACTTTTTTCCTTTGAAAATTTAAAAGAAGGACGGTGCTCACTGTCCTTTGGCCTTCATGGTGCTTACATGTGGTAAATATTCTCACTAATTTGTTTAAAGGTTTTTAAGTTGTGGATCAACACTTCTGTTGTTCTGTTGTTGATTCACTTTGTGGTTTCTGATATTTAATTTTTACTATAGCTGTTTTTGACGAATAAGTTTTGGTCAAATTACTACATAGTCTCAAATTTTTACCGATTTATCTGTCGAATAAAAATAAAACCTGAATTTTTTTTTAATAAAAACAGCTGATAAAGGTAATTACTTTGAATTTATTTCTATAGTCCAGGAAAAAACGTTTAAATTTGTGATTGCAAACTTATAGTCTGGGACCAATTGAAGGACTGGTTGTAAAAACATGATAAGTCACATTTTTTTAAAATAAAGGCATTTTCACTGCACGACAATAAAAAATAAGATCACAAAAGTTTGAACCAAATGGAAATTAAAAAAAAAAATACCATAATTAGCCGAACAATCAAGTGATTGCATTTTAACAAAATTGTATTAGTTATAGAAGTAGACGTGTTTGCCTTAATAAATTAATGTTGTGGTTTATCATGTTATTCCAATAAGCCTTTTAATTGTTGAAAATGTCAAACATCGGTTCTTCCTGTTTCAAACCCTTGTTGAAAAATTTGTCATTTGTGAACGTTGTCACGTAGCTATGCACATGACAGAAACTTGCACAGGTTTATGTGCTTCTGAACTTCGAGTTGTTGTTATACAGAAAAGGTATCTGGTATTCTTCTTCAGTGATTATCGCTTATCATTACCATAATTAGCAAACCACGTCACTTTTTGCCAAATTCACATTTTCATGCTAACTTGTAGAGAATAAAATCTCTATTACATGTTTCAAATCTCATAAATCCAGAACTCAGAATAATATTATTATTATGATGTCATGTTTTTAGTGACAGGACAATTTGTTCAAGTAAAAAAATCGGTAAAAGTACATTCCCTTGTTGGTATTCTCCTCAGCTTGGACATTTGTTACATGATAAAAAAGGTAGCCCATGGAACTTGTAAATGTACTAAGTCTTCTGAACATTACATTCATTTCAGTCAACTCAGAGCTCAATGCGAAATGTTATCAAAAGAGTGTTATGCTAGTTAAGTAAGCTGTACTAAGAATTCAGTTGTAAAAAATGTTAAAGCGTTCTGGAAATTTGTAAAAAATAAGAGAATAATTATTTACCTGATTCAGTGACATTAAACGATACTGTAGCTTCCTGCGGTAATAATATTGCCAATCTATTTGCTAGTCATGTTTCTCCTGTATACACGAAGCAAACCCTAAATTTAAATGATAGTGAAATTCAATCTTCAATATGCATATCTTCTTACTTTATCCAAATTTCCAAGATTTATGAAAAGCTGTCAATATTTGACATTAATAAAGGACCCGGCCCCCATGGAATCCCACTCATTTTCCTCAACAAAATTAATTTGAATAATCTAGACCACTTTTTCATATCTGTAAAAAATCACTAAGTACAGGAGAATTTCCTGACTTTTGGAAACTCTTATGTTACTCCCATTTACAAATCGGGCAACAGATTGATGCAAAAAATTATCGCTCCATTTCCATCCTAAGTACAATCCCAAAAATCTTCGAAAGTATAATAACTGATTTTGTAACATAAGACTGCTACAATGTCTTATATTTGGTTTTTCACCAGGCAAATTGCTGAACTAAGCTTATTAATATATGTCAACTTCCTGTCTGAAGCTTTGTAGAAGGGTCTACAAGTAGATTCTGTATATACCGATTTTTCCAAGGCCTTTGACAAGGTGAACCATGATCTTCTCGTTTATAAGCTCAATTTGCATGGAATAGATGGGATGGTCTTACAGTGGCTAAGTAGTTATCTACCGAATAGGACTCAACAGTTCCGAGTAAATCATCATTATTCCCAAATTTTCCCAATAACCTCGGATGTTTCTCAAGGGTCTCACTTAGGACTGCTACTATTCAACCTGTTTATAAATGATATCACAACTTGCTTTCCTAACACTAAAGTTCTATTGCTTGAAGTGCTTCAAGATCATTAGTGATTATGAAGGCACTCAGATTTTGCAATCGGATTTAAATAAACTAGTAAGTTGGTGCTTTAATAATGGCATGTATATTTAAATACTTACAAATGTCACATTATCCGATTTTGTCGCAGCCATCATCTAATAATGTATAATTATCATTTATTTCATCATGTTTTGGACCCTGTTGATCAAATCAAGGATCTAGGGATCACCTTTGACTCTTACATGAACTTTAATGGCCATATCACTGCTACAGTTCAAAAATCAATGAAAATGCTGGGCTTTGTCAACATGATAACTTATGATTTCACTGATCTAAACACAATTAAAATTCTATACTTTTTAGTTAGGACACAACTTGATTATTGTTCCCTCACTACTTAAGTCATAAAAGTAAACTGGATGGTGTTCAAAATAGTTTTCTTAGATACATAGTATTTAAGTTTAAGAAGAGAATTTACCATATTCTCCAATATTATCAACGGTAGATGTAATTGCCCCTACTTCCTTGCCAGAATCAATATTTTTGTACCGTCACGTGCTACTAGACAAATTAAAATATTCAATGTGCCTTTTCACCAATACAATTATGCTTTGAATACATTAATTCCTACAACACTTAGAATAGCTAATTCTCTTAATGATATTCAACTTTGTGACAGTTCTGTTCAGAGATTTAAGAACCACTTACACTGAATATTTTAATGTCACATGTAATCTCATATTCTTCATTTGTACTCATTATAATTTAATTGTTTTGTACATTAGTGTCTACTGCTTTATCCTACCCATTTGCTATATAATCGTACGAGTATGTTATGTGAATAATTTTTCATTTTTATTTTATATTTTTCTTAATTTTTATGTTAGCACTATTTTATTGTATTTTATTATATTCTATTGTATTTTATTATATCTTATTGTATTTAAACCAAATTGGGCTTTGTCCGTAAATAAATAAATAAATTTAGTACCATTGTACTTAGTAGCTAATCTTGTTGGTATCCTAAAGCACTTGACTTATTTTATTAAATAAAGTTGATTTCTATTGATTTCTCCTCTGCACAATTGAAATACAAAGATCTTTCATTTTCTCCTATTACCCAGTATGTACACACCAAATACCCTCCAGAACAAAAAATAAAAGCCCATATTTTTTTGTGAGTTCACATACTTCATAATATTTAACATTTTAAGTTACAGTCAGGAATCAGGAAACCATGAGTGCTCATATTTAACATTTATTTAATTTATTTTGCAATGAAAACTTGAAAATTATTGATTTCTTTTATATTCATTATACTGTAACTTAAGTGTTACATATGAAATGGTATGGGCTTTTAACTTTTTTTAAATATACCCTTTCAATTTAAAAAATGATCGATGGCGTCATATCTTGTAAGGTAGTGGTGATAAAAATTAAATAAAAAAGTAGAAAACTAAAATTAAAAATCGACCTATTCGAGCTGAAAATTATTAACTCGTAAAATAAGGGAGTGTTTCCACACTTTATAAATACACTGTATATATGAAAATATATATAAAAATATGATTCAAATATTTGTTATTGTAGGAAGTAATCAAGACAATACCTTAGTCCTTTCTTTTGTGGGGCAGACTCGTGTTTTAAGCCTAAATGGCGAGGAAGTTGAAGAAACTGACATTGTAGGATTTGCTTCTGATCAACAAACATTCTATTGCGGCAATGTTGTTCACGACCAGATCATTCAGGTCACTCCGATCTCAGCAAGACTTGTATCAGCTCAAAACAAAACTCTGTTAGCAGACTGGAAACCTCCGACAGATAAAAATATAAGTGTTGTGGCTTGTAACACACAACAAATTATTCTTTCTACAGGATCTGCATTGTACTATTTGGAAATTCATCCTAACGAACTTATACTTAAAGGGTTTGTCTTTCTATTTTTAAGTAGTCAAACTTATTAAAATATTTGATTTTTTGTACACATTCAGCCTATTATCATCTGTTTTTTTTTTTTTTAGAAATACTACACTGGATGTAGAAGTTGCTTGTCTTGATATAAGTGTTCTTGGTGAAGGAACAACATCGGATTTAGTGGCAGTTGGTTTATGGACTGATATTTCTGCTCGGATTTTAAGGCTTCCAGATTTATCTGAAGCTACTAAAGAACTGTTAGGTGGAGGTAACTATAACATTATTATCAGTTTACAGATCTTACTATTAGTTTCACAGTAATGAGAGATCCATAAAAAGGGGAAAATCAACATATTTAAAAGGCGTCTTTAATCGCGAAAAAGAAAAAATGCTTCTGAATTGTTTCTTTTGCAATATACTATCACTTTTTTGGAGAACCATATGTCATTAAATTGTTGTCTTTTCTGATATACATCTTGCTGTGAAAAGAAATTTTAAAAATCAAATATTTTTTTCTCTACAGACCGAAACGTTGGCGTTGGTCCATCCTGTATCGGGAGCATCTCTCTTTCTGGCTATGTAACCGCATACACGAGTTTTGAGTTCAAACAATAAAATTATCTACTCTTACAAATTGGGTTTAATCCATTATTTTCAATTCAATACATCCTGCTACTTGTGTCTTTGTTATTCATCTTTTTTTCTTTCTCTTTTAGAAATTATTCCTCGGTCAGTTCTGATGGCAAGCTTTGAAGGTCACAACTATCTGTTGTGCGCTTTGGGAGATGGATCAATGTTCTATTTCACACTACACAAAGACTCAGGATTGTTGAGTGAAAAGAAAAAAGTAACATTAGGAACGCAACCGACAGTTTTACGAACATTTAGATCTCTAAGTACAACAAACGTTTTCGCTTGTTCCGATAGACCCACTGTTATTTATTCTTCTAATCATAAACTAGTATTTTCAAATGTTAATATGAAGGAAGTGAACCATATGTGCTCGTTAAATGCTGAAGCCTATCCTGATAGGTAATTTGATACATTTTTTTATTATTCAGGGTCATAAAATCTAGATATTCATAAATTTAGCTTTCATTGTTAAGTATTGGTTAATTTTTTTTTCTCCTGGTACTCTATTTGGAAGTATTTATGAAATCTATAGAAGTAATAACAGTGTTAGCTTACCGATATTTTTAAAAATCAGTAATTAAGTATCACTGTGAAATATCATCCAACTCTATTAGAGACTCATTAAAGTTTAATATATTTGTAATTTACAGGTACATTTAGATATCGTTTGTGTGTCGTTGATTATATTTTTAAAAAAGGCTGCGGTAGGTTATTTATTATTAAAATTTTATTATACTCAAATCTATCATAACTAAGTAAAAAAAGGATCAAAATTAAAATACTAAATTTTTAAATTACCTATATTATTAGTAATATAATATAATTAGTAAAAGTAATTCTTTTTGTATGACGTATTTCTTCAAACCTCAATTAGTTATAAAATTATTGAAAATGTCTAATTTTATCATTTTTTTGCTTCAGCTTTTCTGACAATGAATAAAAAGATATTTTTATTTTACAATAATTTGTCTAAATCAATAAGCACTTCAAATGTCGATAATTGTCAAGGTATAAATGTAAACGTCTTTAAATTTTTATTTCGCCTCTTTCCGGCAATTAATTTTGTAATTATTAAAAAAAAATCTAATATTCGACCATTTAAAAACTAAACTTTTTGTACAGGGTAAAAATATAACTGCTGTTTTTTTATGTTTCAAACTGAACTTTTCGATATATTGTAGTGTAAACGTAGTCTACAGGTTCTATTCCCAGAATTATTGCAAGACTTTTCGTGACTCTGTACGTTGGTGTTTTTTTTGCGAAAAGTTTTACATAATGTTTTACAAATAATGACATTAACATTATATTATTTTTTCTAATTTTGACACAAAGTGAAATTTTTTTGGAATCCCAGCATGTGTCACGTTGAACATTATGAAACTGGTTACGAAAAATGTTTTATCACCAAAAAAAAGAAACGAATAAAAATAAACCTTTTTTAATTTTATAATCAATAAATTATACATTATGATTGTAGAAGATATTACTATCCTAAATAATTAATCATTTTAAAAACATGAGTTAAAGCCCCAACAAATTTAAAAGATGTGAAGCAGTTATTACTATTGTAAAATGGGTGTATTACCTATATATAATAGTATATGGGGATAGTTTTACACTACTACCTCTATTACCCTTTATAATTAACAAGTTGTTGCTCCATTTTTGTCATTTTGTTTAAAATTTATCTGAATTGAATAAAAATTACTCTTTTGCGTCTAAATCCATTTTAAAGGGAAAGTAAAAACCGCAAATATATAAATATACCTGAAAACTACTAACAGCATCAATGAGGTTATAACAATATTTTGATTTTTATTTATTTAAATTCTAACATGCACTACGCATCTTGTGAATTGAATTATCTCGTTATTTTCATTTTCTCCAACTAAAAGTAGGAGAAAGTTTTGAGAGAAAATTCTCCACCAATTTTGGTGAATTCGGTTTCAAGAATACGAATTTTTACAAGGATGTAGAAAGTGAGAATTTTCTCTCAATATTTCTCACTCCCCAATTTCAAGAATAGGCACCCAGCTATGAGGTTATGACCTCGCGACGTGTGAAGTTGTGAAAAATTAATTTGCCCACTGTATTTGAGAACTGGAATTGACGATTCTGTTTGAACCAAAACAAACCCTTTTTAAATATTAACGTAATGTAGGGTTAAGAAATTATTCAAATACATTATTACGCATTTTCATTAATAGTTTAAATTAGAATAACAAACAAAATAAAAACATTTTTTTATTAATTGAAATATCTCAATGACGGCGTTTTACATTGCACTAGAACACTAAAAAAATAGTATGAGGAAGTCACAAATTTCTATAGATACACTCACTTGATAGCCCACAATTCATATATTTGCGACGTTGCCAGATGGATTTTACTTGAAATAATAACGTTTCCGTATAAATAAGCTTCCATGTGTTGTGTCAGTTTCTTACAGAAATAACATTTTTTAGCATTGAGAATCTCGAACTTTTAGTATTGACCATTAGGCGATATTTTTGTGTAAAACTGTTGCGAGTGAACTACCTTAAGAAGAAGCTTTTAGTTTAGCTAAGAACATATTAAAAAATACAAAAAAGATTGAAACAATGGTATGTGAATTTCGTAAGATATAGTGAGTGAACACTTGATTTGTGCATTATACAATACATTTGCTCCTATTAAAGATTTATAAATAGGTTCACGAAAACAAGGTTTATTTTAACAGTTTGCTCACGATTAGTAAGGTAGTTAGTAAAAACATTTAGCACAGTGCCTCCCACTCCATGGCATTCAAGAACTGTTTAAAGCATGTTTTAACGCAATGTCTCAAACGCTTTTGCCAAGTCTACAAATATTCCCAAACATTTTTGTCCATTATCAAAATTTTTAATAATTTCATTAGAAACCTCATACATTACATTTTCCGTACTTTTACCTTCTAAGAATCCGAATTGATATGAATTAATAATATTGTTTAGATTAAAAAAAATAATGCAACTAACAGTACAAGAAAATGATAATAATTGCATAGATGTCAGTAGTGTTTTACCAAAACACAATTTTATAAATAATTAGTCAAAATAAGGAAAAAAATGTATGTAATACGTTACGAAATGCCATTTTATGTAACTTGTTCATGTTGCGGGACCTTGCTCTGCTCGTCCCGCAAATATTCAATTGTTACATAAAATAAGGCATTTCGTAACTGGTTACTTAAATAGCTATTTTAGTCCAAATTTGCAGAAGGTTTCGTCAAAAAAATTATAAATCTAATCTTCCTTGCCAAAAATAGTAAGCTAAATTTGGCAACAATTTATAAATAGGTTTTGAAATTATTACTCGAAAAAAATTATTTTAACTTTGACATTCTACGTTTTTCTAAATTTTTATTCAGATCGTAATATTTCGAAGCTAAGAATTTATCGTTACGCTTTAGAGCACTCTGTATTTATTTGATGATGTGGTAATTATGGCTACTGACAAATCAACCCTTAACAAAATGGTAACGCACAACGGGAATACCTCAGAGGTAGTGTGTACCTCACTTCAATTAAAAAACATGAATTATTTTTGTAGTAAAATAAATATTTAACTTGTATCTATGCAAAACATTAAAATTGTCCGCCACTGGTAATTTTTGGCTATAATTACGGATTACTAGAAGACCAATTTTATCAAAAGAATGTTAGGCGTTTTCTAATATTCTACAATATAATGTCCTGATGACAGATCACGTGACCAATAAATGACCGACTGATTTTAATATGATGAAAATTACTTAAGGACGACTGGCATTTGAGAATTTTGAAATCTTAACTATCAAACTGTCTTTAATTAAAACAAACCATTGACTTTTCCCACTATTCGACAATTTCGCATTGCTCATGCGCGAAAAAACTGCGGGACTCTTGAATCTAGTAATTTTCCAAACACTTCCTGCTATCTTCTTTTTATCCTCGCCCATACTTTCAGCAACTGTCTTCGATTCTATATAGTAGGGCGCTATGAAAATTTTTTAGTACACATTTTCAAAAGGCCAAATTATAAATGTATCGTTAATTACTACCCTGTAGAAGATGGAAATATTTTGTTGCAATCGATCTAGCTGAAGTAGAACTTGCGCATGAGTAATAGATATCATCAATAATGGAAAAGGTCTATTCGAAGCACTTTTTTAATAAGCATAAAACTAAATTCAGTAAAAGTTTTCGTCCTTTAAACGTATTTATGACACATTTACACACAGATATCTTATCTGTGTGTAAATGTTAGTTTTAGTATTAGATTTTATTTATGTATTGTTCTGTTTTAACTGTTTCGGTAAATTCCACATATGCCATGTGCCTTGCATTAATTAATTTAATAAGCCTTGAAAAAGACGAAAAATAAACGTCGAAACGTGCGTCGGCAAATTAAGAAGTTAATGTTTCCTTTTGGCACGTCCTCTTCCCACTAACCTCACACTCATAAAACTATAGGCAATTATGTATAATACAAATGCCTTCATTTACTTGCTGAATGTCTATCGCTGATAATCCTATTTTAAAAGTTAGCCATAAAACCCAGTGAGTTTCTTCATTCATATTATTGAGAATTTTAAGCGAACTTTTCCTATTTTCTACTCTAATAATAATTAATAATTTAAGGTTATGTCACGTGATTCATCAGTGCATCAACACAAACAAGTCGATGGATTTGGTGACAACCATCTGAGAATTAAGTTGAATTTAAGAATATGATGTATGACTCATCAAAAAATTGTTGATGGATAAAAGAACAGTTTTGATAAATGTTGGATGGCATCGATGAATATTAGAAAACGCCTTTTACTGATAGAATGACAGAGATTGTCGTATGTGTTGTCCATATAAAGATTAGTACGTAGTACAAGCTAGGCATTACAGTGCCTGAATATGAAATATATTTTTTTGTAAACTTTTTTTAATTACATGAATTTGATATTTTTTAAGGATTATTAAAATACAAATTGAAGACCTTTTTATAAAAACGACATGTCCAAAATCAGCTCTTTTTTTAGGAAAAACACTAGTAGTTTATGTTATAAGGACGAAAAGTTGAGTTTTTCAGGTGACTACGAGAAATTTGTCAAGCGAGTCCGAAAATACACTTTTTGTCCGTGTTTCATACATTATTTTTTATTCGAATGTGCTTATAGGCATAGAAAATTAAATCCGAAATGGTATTATTTCAACTTTTTCTTATAACTGAGGTGGCTGTGATCGATAGGAACAATTGCTGTCATGTCAGAGTGCTTATGTGTCAATTTTTCTCTTATTCAATCGAAAATGCTTGTGTTTAAATTTAATGTACATGTACATGGGTTATGGACTACTATTTTACAACAGCAAAAAAAATTATCGCCAGCAGCATTAAAAGCTAAAATGAAAATAAAACAATGTTTAGATAGCAAAGCCGTTTTACTTTTGGAGCCTGGGTCATAAAAGTATTTTTCAGTAGTTCATTTGAAGTATATTTAAAAATTCTTCTTTTCGATTATGTTTTCTGTCCTAAAACGACGTTTTATGACACATTTGAATAAAAAAAACATACTACTTTCATTGGACTTTACAGAAACGATCTTTGTCACTTTCGTAGAAAATCAACGTTTGTGTCAGTAAATACAATTAGCTACTAATTGTCACAGTTATCTCAATTCGGGCATTTTTCGGACATGTTGTTTTAAAAGAAAGTCTTCAATTATTGATTAACATTTTTGTTTTGCTATTGCAGTCTTGCATTAGCAACAGATACTTCAGTAACAATAGGAACTATTGACGAAATTCAGAAATTGCACATAAGGACCGTTCCATTGCAGGAATCAGCTAGAAGAATAGCTTATCAAGAACAAACACAGGTACATTATAAATTATTATATCCAGCTTTTCTCTTCCTGCTTTCTGACAACATAAATGGTTTTTAATTCATTTTTTTTAACGTCGGTCGATTTATAACTGTGCTGGTGTATTACCCTAAATCTAAACACTGGATAGGTGTTTTAAATAGCTTTCAAACAGTGTGTCACTTGTCATAAGGTCTTATTGCGTCATCTATGACTATTGCGCCACCTATTTCTACTAGTTTAGAAGCTTACAATCATTTATTTTCACCCTTCAAATTTCATTAGTCTAAGTATAACCATTCAAAATATATGAAGGGAGAGGAGTCTTTTGACTTTGAATTATCTGTCATGAGGCTTAAGTTTTACATTAATAATTAATTTGTTGCAGACCTTTGGTGTAGTCACAGCACGTATTGATATCCAAGACTCTACGGGATTAAATCCTGCAAGGCCTAGTGCTTCTACGATGGCACAATCTGTTACAATATCAAGCAGTGTAGGTTCATTAGGAATTAGCAAATCCAGTAGCAGCAGTTTGTTAACGAGTCAAGTTCCTGATTATGGACAAGAAGTTGAAGTTCATAATTTACTGATTATTGACCAAAACACATTTGAAGTATTACATGCCCACCAGCTTATGCAACAGGAGTATGCAATGTCTCTGATATCTTGTGTCCTAGGAAATGATGCAGTTCCATATTTTATTGTTGGTGTGTTTTTTTTTTCACTCGTCAAAATACTCATCAAATTACATTTAATTTATTTTCAAAAATCATTTATATTAAATTAAATATGAGATATCAAACGACGAAAAATTACTAGACTAGTCCATTCATTCATAATTAAGCTCTTTTTTTATTGTAATTGTTCAGGTTGTAGTGGGGGTGGTTTGTGCGAGTATGTTTATCTGAGGAGCGAGTGTGTTTATCTGAGGAGCGAGTATGTTTATCTGAAAAGCGAGCGTGCTATTACGCTTCAAAATTAATTGCGTATTTTTCTATACAACTGTATTAGTTGCTACGAGAAAAATTTCAACTGATAATAACAGGCATTAAGAATGCAAATATACTTCGGCAATGTAATTTTAAAAGCCCTTTATGCGCTTTAGAGCCTTATGTTTAGTCAATACCGAATTATAATCATAAACAGTCCTTGTAACAATACTCTCCCATACTCTCATAATAATTTGACAACTACGTGGATGACACGGTGAATGTTTGTAATTCGATTTTTGTAAACAAAATTAGTCTAGTAGTTTTTCAGCGTTGGAGATATCATCATTAATTTTATTAATAAAAAAAATCAGTTTGTGTTTCAAAAAATAAGTCAATGAGAATATTAGTTATTATTCCAAGAACGCACTTTTTACCTAAATGACTTCAATAATTTATGATTTTAGAATATTTGTATTTGGAATTTTATTAAATTTCTGGAGTTTATCATAATAGCACATTATTTTAGAAGTTTTCAATTGAAGACCAAACAAAAGGGACTAAGTGCCCAAAAGCATGAAAAAAGTTATGAGTAAAATATAAATTGTATGCATCATATACGCACATATACATTCGTCATGTTTATCCTACTGCAATAAATGGATTTCTTTGAGAATGCACTTAGAACCATTTGAATACCTTAGTATTGGTATATTGAACCTTTCTGTGAAAAAAATGTGTATTTTTAAAAGTTTGGCGCTTATGTCCCATTGAAGTTATGATCTTGCTTAATCTCAAATTGCCTTATAATAATACCACACAACCAGATTTATACGGAATCACCCAGAATTTTATAGAAACATTTTTTTCACTGAAAAATATTCACTTGTTTGATTCGTAAAAAGATAATACCATTATTTACGGTAGTCTTGAATTTTGTTTAACGTATTATTTAAAAAAAAATTAAAAAATGCTTTTTGTGGGATTATCAAATGTGCAGAGGGAAAGAATATCACTGGAAGGAACATGCTCATCTATACAGATAGCAGACAAGCACTACTCAGCCTGAACAGACCACGAACTTACTCAGGGTTAGTACGAGAATGTCACGAAGCTTTGGCCGAAGTATCCATCAACATTGTGGTCACCTTAAGATGGATCGAAAGGTAACCGTCTTAATGATTCACTAGCCAAGAAAGCAGCCAACCAAATACTTTTTGGACCTGGCCCTTCTATTGGCCTGACAAAATCGGCAGTGACGTACCTAATTAAAGAACATTCCCTTGTGAAATTCAAGGAAAGATGGGATGAAACAAGAAACTGCAGAGTTGCCAGGGAGCTTTTAAGTTATCCTGGCAACACTGCAACAAACAAATACTTGACTATGACTAGACAGACTCTGCGCCTAGTTACAGGCATTCTGACTGGTCATTGCTAAGTACGGAAACATTTCCATATCATGGGGCTGTCAGAATCCACACCCTGCAGAGGGTGCGAACAAGAAGATAAGACCATCGAGCATATCCTTTACGATTGCTCGACGCTCTCATTTATTAGAAGATTTGTGTTCGGCGAGTATCGGCTTAGACCGGCCGATATAAGAGAAGCACCTCTTGGCGACGTCTACTACATTAAATCTGTAGGCTGGCTCACGAGCTAGGCCTAATGGGGCCTAAGTGCCGTAAGGTAACCCACCCTCCAAACGTTACAGAGAGAGGGGGGAAGAATAATTGCTTTAGTAAAGCAGGGTAGCCCCAAAAAGCCATTGCCGGGTTTTTCTTAAGGGGTGGTTTCAAAAACCTATTCAAGATTATTAAAATTAGGAAGTCTAAAAAACAAAGAAGAATTCATCGAAGAGTTTCCGAACAGAAAGACAGATTTTAAGTCATACATAATCCAAAACTTCATAGATTACTTCTACAAGCGACGGGATAAGTATACCAGTGGAAACGATTAGAAAAAACAATTCTCTATTATCCAAACAGACATGTGGTCCAATTATAACATATTTAATTTAGCTACAAGTGCTTTATAATAATAATAATTTAATACTTAATTAATACTCACATAAACGAAAACGAATAATCAAGGGTAATATAACGAGACTTTGATAAACAGTCGACTATTTTTATTGGTTTTAAGCTTTGTCGAGACATAATTTTGTCATTAATAATCTGAATAGAGCCCGAGAGCTTTAGCTCAATCAATTGTATATATGAAGAGCTTATTTTTCACTCTTTCTATTGGTATTGTATTTTAACCTTCTCTTTGGGGATTTTCCCACTGATTTTTGCGTTTTAACTGGAGCAACTGTCAATCACGGTCAATATATAAGGAGGTCCTTTCGCCATCAATGTTAAATAAAAAATATTAGATTATGACTAAAATTAATTTTTTTTCTAATAGTTGAAGTCCTTATTTATCTAATAGTGAACTTTTAACTATACCTTACCGTGCAAATTTTTGAGAAAAATATTTTTAAAAATGTGAGTATTTGTACAGTGTCTTACGAGAAAGTACGACCTCAACAACAATTCTCGAATTATACTATTATTTATTGATTAGATGGAGTAGAAAAAAACTTAAAATAAGGTTTTTGAAATATTTAGGTTTCGTTTTTTACAATAAAATATATAGGTTACCGTTGAATTTATTAAGAAATTATTATTAAAAAGTCACAAAAAATTTTCAACTAGGTTACTTGAAATTTTTTTTAATATTAATTTCTCAATACCTTATTTTTAGTTTTTTTCTACTCCATCTAATCAATAAATAATAGTATAATTCGAGAATTGTTGTCGAGGTCTTACTTTCTTGTAAGACACTATATAAATAAGGACTTCAACTATTAGAAAAAAATTAATTTTAGTCATAATCTAATATTTTTTATTTAACATTGGTGGCGAAAGGACCTCCTTAATAGGAGACCATTTTGAGTTCCACAGCCATCCAGACAAAACAAAAACGATCGATTAATTTGGTGTTTGGAGTATCAAAAGTGGACTATAGAAGAATACAAAACGTCTTCTTATTTTCTGATGAATCCAGGATCGGTGTTAGTGATGTTTTGGGGCGGGATCATGAAACGGGAGATAACTCCCATAATCCCCATGCAACAAACTTTAATTGGGCAGAGGTATGTAGATTTGGTGCTACATCCCATAATATGACTTTGAAAAGGATTTTTTATTTATGCAGAACATGCCTCATCCCATACTATAGCAAAGTCGCCAAAAATGCATGTGAAACGGAGGGCGTGAGAGTATTAGACTGGCCTTCTTGTTCACCTGACCTTAATCTTATTGAGCATTTGTGAGACGTGTAAAAAGAAGGGTTAGAGCTCAACCCGGGAAACAGAACAACTGATTCAAGCAGTTCTTGAAGGATGGAGGGACCTACCTCAGGAAGAAATTGACAATCTCATAGAATGTATAAATTTATGCTTGCATTGAGGCAAAAGGTGGAAATACAGATTATTAAAACTCTCAAGAAGTCCATATTTTACTTAGAATTTTCATTTATTTATAAAATTAGACATCTTACTTTATTTTTGATATTATACAGGGTGTTTCAAAGATACACGTGTTACAATTTTTAATTTTTTTCTTCTTATTAAAAATGACTTTTTATTAGTTATTTAAATATCTAACTAATTGTGCTGCCAAAAAATTAAAAAGTCAGTGGCGTACATATTTTTTATTAAAAATGTGCTTTTTAGGTATTACTTTACAACCAAAATTTCATTGAAATCGTTAAAGCCGTTTCGGAAATATTTTAAAACCCCCAAAAAAAAAAACGCCTTGTATCTTTGAAATAAAGCACCTGCGGACCCATGTTGATAGGTCTTATTTTGGGGTAAGGAATTACTCCACGATTGTTTTTTGAAATACCCTGTATAAGGAATTTTATTTTATTCAATTTTTGCAATAAACTATTCTGATATCTAATCTGATAGCTAATCAATCTGCATTATAAAACGAAAACATGAACTGTCAAGAAATAGGTTTACTCTCTTGAAAAATAATTTTTGTATATATAATTTAAGCTGATTTCATCAATATTCATTTTGTGTATGAAATAGAATGTATTTATTTGCGTTGCAGGTTAAGTTGAAAAACAGCCTTGTGCTGAACTTCGCCTTTTCATCACTTTCCTTCTTTTTTTTTGTTATTGTAAATGTGTAACTATGATGAATAAAGACCATTTATTATTATTATATCCAACGACATTTTTATCATGAATTCTTTTTTCCTCTAAAATACTGGGTTATTCCATATAAATTTGGTTGCCTGTACGTTAATACATTTCATTGCTATTTTTCATTTTGATTACCTGTCTTTGCTGCTTTTTAAATTTCGGATTGGGATACAATGTAAACACCAAATGGTTATAAACTTATTTCAAACGGAAAAATCATAAAAAAGTGAGAAAAAATAATTCTTTAGCAGCTCGTCCCATTTGAAATGACACTTGGCAAACCGCTAGAGACTGACCATGAATATCACATTCAAGATATTGTTCTTGTTGTAGGCACTGCAAATGTCAATCCTGAAGAGGCAGAACCCAAACAGGGCAGACTTTTAGTATTTCATTGGGGTGACAATAAATTAACCCAAATTTCTGAAAAGGAAATTAAAGGAGCTTGTTATTCTTTAGCCGAATTCAATGGCAAACTATTGGCTAGCATCAACAGTACTGTTCGGCTATTTGAGTGGACTGCAGAGAAAGAATTAAGGTTGGAATGTTCACAATTTAACAATATTATTTCACTTTTTTTAAAAACCAAAGGCGATTTCATTTTGATTGGTGATTTGATGAGAAGCATGACCCTCTTGCAGTATAAAACTATGGAAGGTAAATAGTTTAAAATGCTATTCATTATTTACTTATAAAAACAATTTTAAATCATCTGTTGTGCAATTGAAATAAATAAAAAAAAATTAAAAAATCGACTTATTTGATTTCATTAATTAGTTTTTCAACTTCCAGGGAGTTTTGAAGAAATTGCGCGTGATTACAACCCCAACTGGATGACAGCCATCGAAATACTTGACGATGACACGTTCCTTGGAGCTGAGAACAGTTTCAACATGTTTGTCTGTCAAAAAGATAGCGCTGCTACAACAGATGAAGAGCGGTCTCAAATGCACGAAGTAGGGCAGTTTCACGTAGGTGATATGATCAATGTTTTCAGGCATGGATCACTAGTTATGCAAAATATTGGAGAAACGTCCACCCCTACAAGAGGATGTGTCTTATTTGGAACCGTTGGTGGTGCTATAGGTCAGTTAGCTTTGCTGCTATTAAACTATTATAGTCTAAGATCCCGACTTAAGTCGGAAGGTCGACTTATCGTTTTTTATAGTGAAATATTTTATACAATATAATGTATAAATTAACAACGTGAAAGGGTTGGCATCCCAAATCCAGTCCAGACTATTTTTAATTAAACATTAAACTTTTTTCGATAGTTATGGCATTGTATGTAGATAGCCTACTAGAACAACCTTACGTACGTTTTTCATTGGAAGTAATCTGTCGCGACATATGTTGAAACAAGTACAGAACTTCATCAAAATTGGCCTGTGTACTAGCGCCCCCTCGATTATGTAAATTAAAATTCTAATTACATAAAGTTTTCTTTATTTTTAAATTCATTTGGATAGATTGACAAATTCCTTCTGTTACGCCCCCACCTTAAAATTTGTTAGAAATAGTTTTCAACCGTAATTCCCCTCATAGAAAATGTCCACGTCAGTTTTATTTAGTTTTAATCTGAACTAGATATTTTGTACATATTTAGTAAAATTTTGGGCCTGATAGATTTTGTTTAGTGAATTTAATATCGTGCGATAGTAGGTGGAGGTTAGGTACTATAATATTTATTAGAAAAATGGGACACAGGAAATATACCTAGTTATTAAAAAAAAGAATTCACAACATATACAGGGTGTCCCATTAGTGCGTAATTGTTCAATAATTCTATTTGTCTTATGGACACACAAATAAGTTTCAAATAAAAGTTATATTGATTTAAAAAAATGTATTTTAAAATTTTGGATATACAGGATGTTACATTTTTGCCTGACAGATTAAAATGTATATTTTTTAAATGGAACTCCATTATTTTAGTTTTAGAATACCATATTCAACCCTAGATTTTTTAAATATTACAGTTTTGCCAAGCAATTAATTTTTTGTGAAGAAATTAGGGAATGATGCAGACACCAAATTAAATTATCATAATTTTGGTAGGTTAGTAATGATTTCAAAATTGTTTTAAATACAGGTTTAAAAGATATCAAGCTGACAAATAGTGGTGATTGAACTGGATTATTTTATACAGAGTATTTTGAAACATTTCTTAAATATGGCTAATTTTAGGTTCAATTTACTCAATTTTTTCAAATGCAACAACTGTATTATTTTAGCATAAAATTCCTTATAAATTTACCTATACAACGATACCAATATGTTAGCCAATAACCCATCAATTCGTAATTGATTCATAACTGTTTTATTATTGGAAATGCGAAAAAATAACAATATAATAGTTGTATGGCCATGTTTAATAAATATTCTAAAATATAGAGGATGATCTATAAACGCGAGGCTGACCAAACTTATAATTTTTTAAAGCAAAACACCCTGCAGTTATACATATTTGATTGTTTTCAAACCGTTAAACAATTTTAATAGACTTCCGAATTTTCAAATTTTTAAACTAGTTCTATCGCCACTATTCGTTAGCTTGATATCGTATAAGTCTGTATTTTAAACAATTTTAAAACCATTATTCTCTAATTTCATAAAAAAATTGATTGCTTGGCAACTCCATAATGTTTTTTTAAAAACATTCTAGGATTGAATAGAGTATTACCAAACCATTCTAAAAATGAAATAAAATTCAGGGTGTTCTATTTAAAAAGTATACATTTTTATTTGCCGGGCAAAAACGCAACATCCTGTGTATCCAAAAATATATTTCAAATATGTATTTCAAATTCATTTAACTTTTATTTAAAACTTGTTTCCGTGTCTATAACACAAAATGAAATATTGAACAATTATGCAAATGGGACACCCTGTATTCATTATAATGAAGAGTCGATTAAAATTATTTACGGGGGTCAAATTTAGATCAGATTTGACTATTGTAAGAGATGAATTGTTGGTTGAAATAAAATTTCCGTATTACATATCAAATCCAATAAGTAGATAAGGCAATTAAATAAAAAAAAAATACAATTTTGGATTTTTGACAGACGCCGATAATTTTAAAATCAATGGTATTATCAAATACAAGGCCAATTATATGGTGTGACAATTTAAAAACTTACAATGGCCTATATCTCGCAAACGAAAGATAATATCAAAAAATGCTTAAAATCGTTTTTAGGATAAGAAGGGGGTTCTAAAATAACATAAAAGAGAACTCATCAACCCCCTAGGCCTCACCTACCCCAACTAAAAAAGTTTAAATAGCAAAACCCCTACTTGTGATGCATCATTGAGTAGCCAAATTCTATCCAATGGTATAAATAATAATTGTACAGGGTGAATCAATAATTGTGAAACCTTGATTTAAAAGGAAACTTAAATGAAGTTTTTGTTAAACTACAAATTTGTGAGTTCTTTTTTATGTCATTTTAGTTCCCCCGTCATATCCTAAAAACGGTTTTAAGCATTTTTTGATATCTTTCGTTTGTGAGATATAGCCCATTGTAAGTTTTTAAATTGTCACACCGTTAAAGACTATTTTATTGAAAAAATTGTTTAAAAACAAAGAGTTATTTAGCATCTGATTCATCAGAAGTTGCAATATTGCAATCAAATTTTTAGGTATTATCATTATCAATGAACAATCAAAATTCTTTAAAATTTAGTCATAATTTGTAATAGAATGCTATATTTACTTCATAATTTCTGACAAATGTGTATTCTTTATTATTAAACTGTAAACGTTTACAAACAGAGAATATATGTGGTTACTCCAAAATGGATTTTCGATAATAGATTTATCTTTCTCTATTATATGTGGAAATGAACATGCACACTCTCTTTTACTAAGCAACTGCTTCACGTGCAGCTATTATGAGTCCTTTTCTATCTAATAGAATAGTTCATGCAGTGCTTCTCTGTTGCGATTCACTCTCTTACTCAATTCTAGCAGGGGCAGAAGTTGGAAAGGCTTTTCGCAGTTCTCCCACTTCATACACATAAATTGATACTTTTGTGATGGAGATAACCGAAGTGGACGCGATACATTGGCGTACAAAATTATTTTATAGATATTAATAACAATTTCGGGTAGTTTAATAAATTGTCAATAGCTGTTGAAATTTTGTAGGATTATGATTTGGATATTATATTTGTTTAATAATTATTTCTAATCCATAAATCCATGCGATTGTGCGGTTCCGCCGGTAACAATAGACCTTCTCATCATGTGATGAGCACAAGCGCAGCCACCATGTTGAAATAGCGGTAATTCAAAAATTTCGTACTGTTTTGATCGACAATGGCTGGAAAGCAATATTATCTCTACAGAAAAATTAATCATTAGAAAAAATCGTTGATGGTGATTCACTTTTTCATAACTCTGTAGAAGCGCATAGTTGTGAGAAGTTGAAAAGGTGGTTGAAGTGTCTTAGACGTTTGATACAAACGAAAAAAGTGGATTGATTGAAAGGTTAGGTGTATCAATACTTCTTAACTGTGTACAAAATTAATGAAAACAAATAATAATTATAACTCTACTCTAATTAATTATGCCAACCAACTGTTAATACTTGCAAAAACACTTTAATTAACATGAAAGTTAATCAGGAGTATAATTATTAAAATATATTAGGTATTTAATATTTTGAGGATCAACAGGACATTTTTAATCATATTACTGTGTATACCGAAGTAGAATTTAATATTAAAAAAATATTGTTTAATAACAGATAATAATTTTCTTCTGTTGGACTACTTTCTCCATGAAAATGTAATTAACAAATATAAGTATATTCAGTAACATCATCAATCCATCAAAAACCGTTGTCACTTGGGTCTTCGAACACATTTTTTCGCACCTAATGCACATTTGCTTGATAAATTGATAATTGTTTACGATATTGCAGCCAAGGCTTTGGAATATTTATAAAATAATATGTATTGTATGTATTGCCTTTGAATGATTTATACCGTATGTCAATTTTACATACTCCATAACAACACCTTTTCGTTGTTCCTTTCCGTACAGATAACATAATTATAATTAACTGCAAAAATATATTTTTCAATTAGGACACTAAAATTATTATTACTTTGCTTTTTCTTCCTTTTTTTGTAAATGAATATACTTAAATTAATATTTATCGATTATATTTTTTTTCACGTGGGCATTTTAACATGCTTGTTTACAAAAACTGTACGAAAAAGATGGCTGATATTGTCGCATGCGCACAAAAAAAATTATGATGAAAAGGTCTATTTAAAATTACTTATTCTGTGAAACGACACTGGCAGGTAAACATTACCATGAAATTCTCGAAGCCGTCCGATGTGGTTTGACGTTTACCCCCTCTCTACCTACCAAAAGCCTTTCCAACTTCTGCCTCTGCTATACCCAAACAAAACGCTTCAACCCTAAGATCGGCCGACTTTTTCCAAGCCAACCCTATACCACCGTGTTCGTAATAAAAGTATCTACATTTTTATGTATAAACTAATAAGAAAAAATGATGAGTGTAGATTACTTCTATCAGCTTATACCTGCCAACCCGGCATTAAGGGCATGTGCCCGTAACTATCGTAAAAATTTAATTCAATAATTTTTAATTAAAAATAGCATAGACCAAATATGAGGCGCTAACCCTGGCACGTTGTGTTGATTTATAATAGATTGTATAAAATATATATTTAATTAGGAATCGGGATATTGTACTATTAGAACACTAATAATATATTTAACTCAATAAGCAAAGCTCAGTGATACATTTTCATTGATAATGTCCAGCAGATTTGGGTCGGATACAAGAAAAAAGTATCCGAGTACCGGATACGGATACTTACAATGTATCCGGATACTTTTTATATCCTAAAAAGTATTCGGATACAAGTTTCCGGATACTTTAAAGGATACTTTTAAAGTGAGTTAAAATAATGTTTTCATACCAATAGTTATAAAAAAACATTAAAACAAAATTAACAATAAAACAAAGGTGCGTGTAAATAAAGCGAGTCACGCCTGAACCGCGCCAAAAACCATCCAGTGTCGTGTCCATATAAATCTAACGAAATAAGCTCGTTGTTGGCGCGACTTGCCATGTCTATACAACCTTTCGTCAGGTGTATTCGGCAATCCATTTTTTGTGGATCCTCCGACGAGCGGTACTTGGTAGAGTCGAGAGCGTCGAAAAGAGGAGTGAGAGATTGCTGAATATTTCGCGTATCAAGTATGAAATAATCAGAGGGAATTTTAATGAAAAATATTACGCAGGCTTTAAACTTTTTCAAATTTTATTAAAAATGGTCAACATCTGAAATTTAGCAATTATTTTTAACTTTATTATCAAGTATAAGTTATAAGTACCTATTTATTTAATAACTTATGAATTTATTATTTTATTTCTCGACTACATTTTAAGAACTAATAATGTAATTAGACATTTTACAAAACAAAAAATCCGAGGTACCTACACCTACTTATCTTTGTGTATAGCTAGGCACTAAAACTGATACAGAAAGTTAAGTTATACTGCACTATATAAAAACAGGAACAACCGTCTCTGGTCTTTGCCAACTGCAACATAACTGGGCTAATGGGACCTCCACAAAATCGTGATGCTAACACCGGACAAGAGTTTGCAGAATTTTTCCTGTAAAAACGTGCCGCAAGATGCTGAATTCCGACCGTCTGTATACTGGGTGAATCATCGAATTTATCCTTGGGGATAAAAATTTTTTTTTGCGTTATTTTAAATTTTACTGAGTGAACTAAACAAAACTACAAATCATAATAAAATAATTATTTTACTATTTTTTATTTAAGTAGGTACCCATTGCAATTGTGTCTTAAATATTGTAATATTGAAATATACGTATTTTATTTCTAATTATACAGGGTAGCTCAAAGTATTTCGATTATATATTTTAATAGAGATAATATGGATTGGATCTGTTACGATTGTGGTAAATAATTTAAAAGTATCCAAATGCGAAAAAAGTATCCGTTATCCGGATACTTACAAATTTGGTCACGGATACCGCATACAAAATTTGAAAAGTATCCGGATACAGCACATAAAATATTCGGATACTATATCCAGATACTGCCCAACTCTGATGTCCAGTGATATCTTGTTAATACAATTTTATATTAAAAACACTAAAAATATTAAATGTGCAGAAACGCACTGCCTCTAGTATATTTATCAAAATATTGCCACCACTTTTTCCGTACATTAGATATATTCTAGGATATATTGTATTTTAGGTTTGGTAACACAAATACCACAAGATTTCTATGAATTTTTACAAGAACTCCAAGATAAACTGTCATCAGTGATAAAATCAGTTGGTAAAATTGAGCACTCTTTCTGGAGAGCGTTTCACACAGATATAAAAACAGAGAACAGTGAAGGATTTATAGATGGAGATTTAATAGAAAGCTTTTTAGACTTGTCGCAAGATAAGATGAAAGAAGTAGCTGATGGAGTAGGGGTAAGTAATTCTGAATTTTATACCTCCTGTGTATTCCATACATTTCTAATTTGGATTAGTATAGTGGCTTTTTGTTAAATAAAAATTAATCGTTCTAAAAGAGTGATGGGTTGCTTGGAAAAGTCCACAGACTAGTTAACTTTGTTTCATCTTATTAACATAAAAATGTGAAAAAATATCAAAAAATCCAAAATTTGGAAGTATTTTACAAATGACTTGCCTAAAAAACGAAAATATAAATGCAAATATTGTTTCCAACGTGTTCTTGAAAATACAACCAGGATGTAGAAACATTTAACTGTGTATCTTCTATGCCCAAGGTCGACTACTTTTCTGGACATATCCATCAAACTAGTCGAAGAAAAGTCCCATCACTATTTTAAAACTTTGATATGTATGAATGTATAAATGACATTAAGTTCAAATAACGTGAAGTCAAAGTTCATCAGGCTCAGTAAATTTTAATAAACGTTCTTGCAACCGGCTGTACTTGCAATGAATTTTTTAAATAAGTTTTGTACCTTTGACAAATAAATAATATTGTACACAGTGAAATATGTTTGTCATATTCAACATTATTTATTTTTTCTTTTGTTGCAGATGACTGTAGAGAATTTAGTGAAAATGATTGAAGATTTAACTAGGATACATTAAATAAGAACATGAAAATATAATTTTGTTTCAGAGTGGATTCCTTACTGTAAATTAATCAAGCAGTCTGTTTTATAGTTGCCTGATAATTATGTTTGAAATAAAAAATTTTCTTACAAACTTATTTTATTAACTTATCTAAAAACACAATATAAAAATAACTTATTCATCCATCATTTGAGTGCGACTTATATATTCATAGGCAGCCTTAATTAAGAATTGGAAATTGGCATTATCTAGTAGCTGTCGTAATTCTGGACCTTCCAACAATATATTCATCGGAGGAAGTAGCATCTGAGGATTACCACCTATAAAAAATATAACGTAAGAACAGATAATATTGGTCATAATAATATAATAATAAAGCATTTATTGTCGAACATAAGAATCCATTTACAGGACAATTTAATTAATAATTATAAAAATGTTAACATCAAACAATATGGCCATTAGTGCTTTGTTTAAAAAAAAATAATTATGTACACAAATAAAAATCAATCACTATATTGAAAATAAAAAAATAAACGATATTGTTTGAGTAGCTGTAATTATATATTATAATGCCTAAAATGGAGCTTAACCCTGAATATTGCAACCCTACTTATTTTGTTAAAATTTTGGCAGCAATAATTTAAGGGCGAATTTAAACTCAGGTTAGTTTTACTTGCAGGGGTTTTAAATACATTTGCAACTCTTCAAGTACAAGTTTGTGCAAAAAAGAAACTTAACTGTCTTAGGTAAAGTTCAAAAACTTCTAATCCGTCACAAAGATTATTCATAACTGATCCTTCTTTGTGGATATATTCTATCTTTTTATATAAATTTTAGAAACCCTTGTACATTCTCCAGCATAATTTTATAGTTGTTATTAAAATTACTCCCATGCAATAGAACAATATTCTAGTCTCGAACATACAAATGTAAAATTCAAAAGCTTTAATAATAATAATAGCCTTTATTACCCAACAGATTTTAGCTAAAATAGCAGGTCAATCAATTAATCCATTCGTGATTTTGTATAAAGAAGTCAAAGCTAGAATTCTCTGAAATATTCAAGTTATCTATGTTAAAACTATCCATAAGTAGCTGATAATTGATTCCTTTTGGATGGTAGACACCATTTACTTTGAAAGCTAAATATTTCAAAAACTTCCTTTGAACAGATTCAACACTAATCATGTGAATATTATAGTAGGGATGTCAGATAGTTGAACAGTAGTTAAGCTTAGTGGGGATGTATGAATGGAATAGTACAATGTTTTTAATGCTCCAATGTCCCTGAATCCATGACAGTTTCGTGTAACAAAACCATACATTTTGTTTGCATCAGAAACCTTTTCAAATTAATATGCTCAAGAAAACTTAGTCTCGAGCCAAAAGTGACACCCAGATCAGTGATAGAGGAACAACGTGACAAAACTAAACCATTAATATTATAATAGAAATCTGTAGTACATCTTTTTCTGGTGTATACCATCACTTTACAGTTAGATGCATTTATCATTAACATCTATCTAGATCCTGCTGAAGCGGTAAACAGTCATACATGTCTAGTATTAATAGATATATTTTAAAGTCATCTGCATAAATAAGTCTACAAGAATTTAAATGGAGATCGATATAATTAATAAATAGCAATGGTCCAAGGTAAATTACGCTTGTGAAGAATAACCGTAATGAAAAACAAATTACTGCCTTTCCAGAAGATATGATTTACAGAACTTCATCAATGCTGCGAAAAATCAAACTGGTTCAACTCATCAATCCCATGATCCATTCTGCCAAAAGCCTTCGAAAAATCTGCATAAATAACGTCCACTTACCTACCCGTATCAACTGTATCAGATAAGTGTCGAGTTATTGTAAATTACTTTCAGTAGACTTTTTGTTTAAGAAATCATACTACAAAGGAGATATTAGCTTACAAACGGATATGTGATTGTAAATAACAATCTCGAAGATTTTGGAGAAATTCAATAGAATAGACATAGGACGATAGTTTTTGATTTGTGTCTTATCACCTGATTTAAGAACAGGAATAATTCTTGCCTCTTTCCATTGCTCCGGGAATCTTTCTGACTTTAATGCTAAATTAAATATTATGTTTAGTGGATAAGCTAATACAAAAATACAATCTTTGACCAAAAATGATGGTATCTCATCAAAACTTAATTTTTGCCAGGCTTGAAGGACATGGGATTCACTAATATTGTCAATATTAATGGTGTCATCAATATCATTAATGCTCTTACAGTTTCTAACAATGAAACCATTACATTATATTGCTTTTGAAACTTTTTTTTAATGTTGACAAAATGTAAATTTTGTGTCAAAGTCTCCAAAAGTAGAACATCGCAAAAGAGAGGTATTAAAAACCAAATAATCAAATTCAAGAAACTCTTTTTTTCTGCAATAACTAACAATATTGCATTTGACGATATTCAAAAATAAATTGTTTTAATATTATCAATGTCTAACTGAAGTCTTATGCAGTCATCCAACCTAAAGACATCAGGCCTATTCTCCAGTTGAGAGAATGATCATTTCATGCGAACTGGACAGCCGTTCTCTTAAAAAGTGTGTGAGTGATATTCTGGAATTGAAGTGAATGATCACTTCGCATGAAAATCGAGAGAACATACTTCTCTTAGTCAAAACCAGTAGAAAAGCATCATTTCGGAGAACATTGGGAGAACTGTCATTGTTGTGCGCTATCAAAACGTCACTTTTTTTAATTAAAATGGATTTTGACGAAGCTCTTATTTATATTCATATTTTGAATGATCTAGCTGAAGCGGAAAAAGATGCCAATCGACCAAATAAAATTTTTTTAAGAAATGAGGATCCTTTTGACTTTAGTGACCAAATATTCATACAAAATGTTCGTCTAAGTAAACCTTTGGCACGGGATTTAATAGATAATAATGGAAAATATAATCTGTTATTATAATTGTCAAAAAATAATAAAAAATTGAAGTAAAGTGTCTTCTAAAATAGTTCTAACGCACAACTTAAATTTGGCAGCGGTGCTCCGTGAACCTATGAGATGTGAATAATTCAAGAATACCGAATACGATGACCAAGAGAACAAATTGGTGATAGGACACTACACATCACATAGTGGAATGTTCACATCGTTCAACTTGGAGAATAGGGTCCCTGAAGATTTTCAAATCACCAGCATTATAATAGGTAATTAAAGAAGTTTACACTACAATATTATTTATATAAAGATAAAGTAACAATAAGAGAGCTAAGGTTAGATCCCGAGGGACGCCTGATGTAGCTTAATATTTTTGAGATATGTATCTATTATAATTTACGTATTGTTGACGGCCCGATAGGTATAATTCTAGCAAGCTCATCAGATTAGTGTTGAACCAAAATATTGCAATTTCCTTACTAAAATCTTGTCATCAATATTATTAAACGCCTTTAAGAAATAACATCAACTTGAACTTGCTCAACCAAAATATTTGACATTGTGTTAGATGATTTATTTTCAAAAAAAAGCATGTTGAATGGAAATTCGACTATATACAAAACCATAAATATGCTCATAAAGAATGATTTCAAAGACATGAACATTTGAAGAGTAAATTAATTAAAAATAGACAGTGAAAAGCACGACTTATTTATCGCTGTTCAAAGTAATGTTAATTTATAGCAGTAAAAAAGTGAAAAAAATATTAAAATATGCACTAAATTGATTGTAAAAAAATGTGCATTTCATTGGCTAAATTATAGTAGACACATCAAGTACTTTTATGCAGTTAAAATACACTAAAACATTAAAATAATAAAAGTGGAACTAAAAATAAAGTTCATTATCTCGTTTGGAATTTATCGAGCAAGTTGCCAGTGGCGTAGTTTGATTTTAAACTGAAAAATATGGTCATATATTTTAAGTGTTGTACTTGCTATGCCGGAATTGAAAAGTATCCTGAAGAGGAATTGAAAGAGATGAAGGAGCTGTTATAAATCAAACAAATAGAAATAAGCAACTTAAAAAAACCTTGTGAACATTCCTAAAATAACTTATTTGAAATAGAAAGAAAAATTGCTTTAGATAGGAATGAGCAACATATTCTATTAACTAATCTAAAAAAAATTAAAGTTTAGTAACTCTGGAACTATAGATTCGACAGATTTAAATGATTTAACTGTTCCTACTACTGATAACATAATTTTTATCACATCCTCAGTCAATAAAGAGTTTCCCAACATGTCTCAAACTCAAAATCCAATTTAAACATTAAATGCGGCGAGCTTGGTGGCCCACATTGATGAAATCTCTAATTATGTGTTTCTGAAACTTTTTTTGACTGAGGATATTTATGATTCAGAAATAGATATTGAGGGATATAAAAATTATAGAGTTGACAGTGAAATTAGGCATACAGGGAGTGCTTTAATGTATGTACAAAGTGAACTGAAAGTTTTAAAATATTTTAAATTTTGTATTCCAAAAATTTATTAAATTGTCTCTGTGATAGTAATAATAGGGAACATTTTTAATTGTATAGGTAACCTAACACTTTTTAGATTGTTTTAACACTTGGGCTGAGGAAAATATATGTGATAATTATCAAATAGTTGTTTCTGGAGATTTTAATACTGACTTGTTAACTAAAAATACAAACAGCACGAAATTAAAGGATATTTTAGTTGATACTGGAGTAAAAAATATTGTAGCAGAATATACAAGACCAAATAGAAATGGTGGAGGTACACTAATAGATTTAGTTATAATAAATAACGATTCAGACCCAGTTCAGGTTATCCAAACATCAAGAATTTCAGATCATTTTATGCTTTTATGTACGCCCGTGAGATAAGAAGTTTATTAACACACGCGTTTTTCTTATCTCACTACTTTTCAATCAATCAAAAAAGTCAAAATCTATTTAAATTTAATAACAAATAATTACTGTCACAATCTAAAGTGCTATGCACTCCTTGTGCAAATTTCGCATGCGTACGTTAATAAACCTCTTATCCCACTTACCTATATCGTAAATAACTATTAATGAATGAGCTATTGAATAGTGATAACCTATTTGCTTTCGAAATTGGATGCAGAAGCAAGGTCTTAAATTTGATTTAATAAACAACAAATTTTCAACATTAGCATGGAACTATCGTATTAATGTAAAATATGATAATTTTGTAACAAATATTAGATTCTGTAGCGCAAAAAAAAAACAAATAAAAATATTTCCAAGATACAAAAAGTGGTGAAATGAAAAAGTAAAAGCTGTCACAAAGTACAGACATCTTGTATATAAAAAATATTCACAAGAAAAAACAGAAAATAATTGGAATGAATATAAAATACACAGAAACAGGGGCGAAAATATTTATGAATGTAGAGTAAATTCCAAAATGTGGAAATCACTGTCAGCCCTCAAAAAAAAAAAAAAAAAAAAAAAGTCAAATGATTTAATCTAACTTGAACTAGAAAATAATGTGATTATAAAAATATTTTTGGCATGCTGAATGCTCTTAATAAATTTTAGTCGATAGTATGATTGATCATACAATATCATATTATCAAATTTTAGACAGACAAAATGGACATTTTCTTTGTGCACGGTGGATTCTTTAAATAACATTATTTTTGCAATAAAAAATAAAAGTACCACAGATGGCATTAACCTTAATATTTTAAAAAACTTTTTCCAACCTCTCAGAACCACTTTTAAATTTGATAATCGCGTTCTTAGGAATATCAAAAATACCAAATGGTTTAAAAATATGGTAGTCCCTGTTCCTATAATGAAAAACGCAAATAAAGCTACTGATTTAAGACATATTAGTATGTTAAGTTGTATAGAAAAAATCCTTGAGAAAGTCGTTTATGAACAAATAAAATATGGGTATAGAACAGGAGCATTGAAATGGTGTGTGGATTATCTAAGTAACAGGAAACAAAGTTTAAAAGTAAATACCTTCATATCAGAAGAAATTAACTGTACCAAACAAGTTACACAGGGAAACATATTAGGTGCCCTGTTATTTTTAATTTATTTCAATGACATTGTTGAAGTCGAGGGTCAATGTGATATTTACGTACTTGATGATGATGCCCTTATATATTTTTGTTGTAAGGATCCAGATAACTTAGTAAGAGTTGTTAATGAAACTCTGAAAAATGTTTATAAATGGTGTTGCAAAAATTTGTTAAAAATCAACACAAATAAAATGTATGTTGATAAGTAAGAATTATGGCTATGTGCAATTAATTGAAAAACAATATAATATTGGAGAAAATTCTATACAATTAGTAGAAAAATTCAAATGCTTAGGGGTAATGATTGACAAACAGATGAAATTCACAGACCATGCCAACTCTGTCATCAAAAGTATTACATTTAAGTTAAATTTCCAATATAGAAGTTCATTTGGCTTATCACAGTGGACTAAATGTATTATATATAACACTGTCGTTCTACCTCACTTTAATCATTATTCTACAATACTCTTTTTCTAAATCCAAATAAGTTGAACCAACTGCAGAAGCTGAAGAATATTAGGAAATTAGCTAAATAAAGAAAATAATAATTGCTTATAATTCACAACGTTGCACTTTTCTCCACTTTTAAAAACAAGACAAACCTTGGTCATTTTACATCTAGTTAGAAACTGCAATGATTTCAATGAAATATTAAAAATTAAGCACAATGGATAAGCCAATACACCAGCATAATCTTTAACAAGAAGTGATAGAATGCCATCCTGACCCATTGTCATTTTATTTTTCAATTTTCAAAAAAAAGTATATTTCATCCATTTTTAGCAGATTAATAACAACGTTGTAAATTGGGACGGCCATGGGAAATTTATTTGCAACAAATTTAGACAAATCACATCAATAATATTTAAAAAATGCGCACCAGGGCTTGATTCTATTGTCTCTCTTATTTTTAAACTTTATTAATTAGTGGTTTTTTCATTGTGACTGGAAAACTGCTCTTATTTAACAGAAAAAACAAATGAACAAAAAACAATGATTTCTTCAAAGTGCAGTTTACTTTTCACCCGCAAAAAACTTCTTTAACGCCCAGCTGCTTAAGTCTAATCTCATAAATTATTTAATTAACAGGCTGTCCTAAATTTTATAATTAATACCAATTTATAACATTGATGATTGTATTCATAAATATTAAAAGTGGAACCTAGAATAACTCATTAGCGAAAAATGTATTTTATAAAATTACCACATTAATAAAAACAGTTTACCTAAATCCAAAAGTAAATCAATAATCTTATAAAATAGTGTTGTATTTAATACTTCCATCGGCGAATCCAAATTACGAAAGTTCCAAGAATCTCTAACTATTGCCTCCCTCCAAATCTTAAGATGTAATTCATCTCTTACTTCTTCATCTTGAACAAAATTCAAAATATCCAGTGCTTTCTTAAATTCTAATTCTGTTGCATCTACATATTCCTTGCATATAAATAAGTTAATTAAATCTTTTGGTTCTATAACGCAAGGTTTAATGGTATCATAACCAAACTGTTGTAATACATAATCTGGCAACTCTTCTTGGTAATTAATAAGTTCTAAGCGGGAGTTAACATTGTCCACATATATATGAGTATCACTTGTAGTCGGTCCGGCAAGTTTGGCGAGTTTACTAAGACTCAAAATTGTTTTTTGTCTTGTGAGTGATTCTTTTTCAGCAACAGAAAGATTATCTAAAAAATTAATTATTTATATTAATTAACGAATTTAGTAATAACGGACAATCGAGAAAAATCATAATTGGTGTTGGCTGTGAAATTTAAATGTCTAGCCACTTTCACAGAATGACATTTTAACCTTAAAACTGTGTCAAATTTGTCAAAAATTCAATTTAAAAAATGGTATTCAACACAAAGCAAAAATTATCGAATGTTACTTCTGCACAGGTGTAAAAGTAAATTTAATGGTAGATGGCGAGTGGCAGTAATCAATTCTAGAATGCATGGCTGATTTCTTGAAGAACATCCTATATTAGTATTTGACTAAATTGGTTTTTACAATGTTTTGACAAATTCTGTACAATTATATGAGACTGGTAGCATCGATTGAAAAAGTGGGCGGCCGTCTAAACGAATAGCTGAAATATTTCAAGCCGTTCGGCATGTTACTAATGAACATTCAAAAACATCGATTTCAGTAGTGGCTCAACAAATAAATTTATCTTATGGCACATGCCCATTGGCTGTGGAATAACTTTTTTTGGGAGGAGACTTGAACCTTGCTTGGAGTGAATCTAATGCACATCAGGTTTACTTTAATACCATGAGGGGGCTAAGCCTTCAGACCACCCCCCTTCCGCCGAAAATGCACGGGCCAACTACTCATTTTAAAAAAGACTTACACATTTATTTTCCCATATTTGGCTTGGTTTTATCTTTCTGAATTTAATTCACAGAATATGAGGTGGTGGTCAACTGAAATTCTTTATATTTTTGTTGAAAAGCCATAGATCCTCAAAAAGTTAGTTGGTATTGTTGAAATATGTCAAAGAAGATTTTGGCTCATTCATAAATCAACTGTATGATAAGGAGTTACAAAATGGGTATTTCTAACAAGATGATGCAACAGCATATACGACCAGAGAAACACTTTAATATCTTAATTTTTAGATGACACGATAAACAGGAATACTCAAATCCCATATCCAACTAGGTCTTACGATTTAAACATGCGATTTTTTTTGTATGGCCCTACACCAAAAATTCAACACAAATTCGTAATCTGCAAAAACTGATAAATAGCATAACATAATTGTGTGAAGAACTCACTGCAAATGTGCATAATGTTTGTTGAATTATTATGTGATTAGACATCATTTCTATAGTTTTATGTAAATTTTGATTGTTATTTAGATATTAAAGGAATTATTTATTTTTTGTTGTATCATTTCGAGGTAATAAACTTTGTATACAATGAAAATGTCATTTTGTGGATGTGGCTAAAACTAATCCAAAAAAAAAATAAATTTCACAGCTAACACCAATGGTTCCTTACTTAATGGTTTTATCAAAAAAAATTTAATTAAGTAAAAATAAACTTACATAATGTTGATGCTGCTAATGTAAACTTATGATCAAATATCTGTTGCATCCAATATAGTGATGGATGATCTGACAAAAAGTTGGATAGTTTTTGTAAATGTTTAGTCTTGCCCACCTTCCTGTACTTGTCTATTAGCTTTCCTTGTTTATTTTCTTTTATAAACCAATTATAAACATATTCCGAAAAGCCGTTATTGCTAAAACGATCCATGTATTCATCTAAGCGAGCCTGATTGTCAGTTTTTTCACAAACTATTACCAAAGTTTCAAAATCTAAATATTTTTCAGCTAGCAGAATTGCTCTTTCGTATTCCTTTTCATTCACTAAAATAATTTATTCATAAAGTATCGACATTTTCACATAACATTGAATATAGAGTAATATAGACCAGAAATGAGACTATATTTTTAATTTAATGATTTTTTTTTGCCTATTCAACTTTAGGCTACTATTTTAAACTAGAATAAAATACGACAAATAAAATTTTTAGTAATTTTGTTGCCAAATTAAACTTAAATGAAGATATATAATGCTTTTTTTATCCCCTTATAAAGCTTGTTTTTTCCTGAAGATTCAATTTGATACGGTTTGTCTCTTTGTCTCCTTATAGAGCTTGATTTTTGCTAAAAACTTTCACGTTCATATCATTTTTCCTTTTTGGGTTTATAGGCTTTTTTAATATTTCAACCCCCTTTATCCCCCTATTTTTATTCAATTTTTTTTTTAAGAATCTATGGGATTCATTCCCGTATAGAGCTTGATTTTTACTAAAAATTTCATGTTAATATCGCTTTTGATTTTTGATTTCTATTTTTTTTATTTCATCCCTCCTTCAACCCCCATTTTATTCAGATTTTTTTTTTAATCAATCGGAGCCACTTATAGAGCTTGATTTTTGTTGAAAATTTCAAGTCGATATTATTTTTCGTTTTTGAGTTAGGATTTTTTATAATATTTTAACCCACTCAACCAATAATTTTTATTCAATTTTTTTCAGGACCAATAGACTTCATCTTCTTATACAGCTTGATTTATACTAAAAATGTCATGTTGATATCACTTTTCGTTTTATTGATTTATAATTTTTTTAATTTCAACCCCCTTTAACCCCCATTTTTAATCAAATTTTATTTTCAAAATTAGTAGACTTTGTATCCTTATAGAGCTTGATTTTTACTGAAAATTTCAAGTTGCCCGTCCGATGTCACGGACGGACGAAGCGAATGCATAATACTCTTCACAGACTATTGTTTGAAGAGTATAATAACACATATACAGTCAATGTGTGTATGGTTCCAAGACTTTTCAAAGTTGTGACGAATAATATCTTTTATTGGGCAAATATATTTAGTTATTTCTGACAAGTTTGTAATCTTTTTGGGCCTAGTTTAAGGAACTGGTCAAACCTATATCATATATAGACTTTAAATCACCATCAACCAAACTAACAAATTTATGATATACATTAAATTACTAATAAAATAAGCTTTAAAATGAGGTGTCACACTTTATAATAGAAAGTAGTCAAGAATTGAACAGTACTTTCGCAGTTATCCCACTTCATACACAGGATTTGACAAATTTTACCACAGATCTAATAGTCCCTCAAATCTGACTCAAAAAGTGGCACGTCGTCCTTTTTGGTTGCTATTTGCACTTAGGTATAGGAAAGAGGGCGAACACCATGTACTATGTCCTGGTGACCTGTAAAATTAAAAGTAAAGTTGCTTATCAATGCATTTTTCCTTTTCTGCTGGCAATGTAAACGTCAATCACAATAAAAAAATCCCTTTGCAAGTATTCTCTGTCGTCCGGTTTTGCTACCGGTGTAGGGATTTCGGCCACTTGACCGGATATTTACCTTTTCAACGAAATTCGGGATATAGCTTTTTTTGTCTCCAAGCTTTTAATTTTTTATTACTATTTTTTTTTATTTTAACTACCCTTAAGCCTCGCCTCATTTTTATTCAGATTTTTTCAAAATCAATAGGATTCGTCCCCTTATATAGAGCTTGATTTGTGCTAAAAATTTTTCGTTTTTGAGTTAGAATTTTTTTAATATTTCAATCTTCTCATTTTTAATCTTTTTTTTAGAATTAATAGGCTTCGTCCCCTTATAGAGCTTGATTTTACTAAAAAATTCATCTTGATTTTACTAAAAATTTCATCTTGATATCGCTTTTCATTTTTTACTTTTGTTTTGTTTTATTTCATTTCTACTTGACTAATTTTTCCTGAAAATTTCAAGTTGATATTTTTCGTTTTTGACTTATCATGCGGACAAAAAAAGAAGGTATATTACCTGAACAAACTGAGGCTTTTTCCTTTTTAATATTTGATAAGTAAATTTTGAAATTCTCGTTGCTGCTAGAACATGAGCTGTATAGTCATGTAATGGCATTTGAACCCTATTTTGGTCCCTGACTAAAAATATTTTACTTTTGGGTATTTTTGCTAATTGCTGAATTTTCCATAAAATTTACTTTTAATTATGTGTCATATTTGGTACTTTCCCTATTTAAATTAACGTGATGGATGTGAGGGAAATGTGTGGCAGTTGAGAATATAATGGAAAGATGTCCCCTTTAACCGGTCCTGGGCGTTTATCTAAAATATTGATGCAGTTCCTTATAATAGTTTGCGGTATGTTTTCGTTTGGCCACCTTGAATATAGTATAGGTTTGACCAGTTCCTTAAACTAGGTCCAAAAAGATTACAAAGTACCTAAATCTATTAGCCCAATTAAAATTTAGATTACAGCCTTGCAGTTGCCAAGAATAATATGTTTTGTTAGGGTTTGTTGTAAATACTGTTACATCTGAAACCGAACTATGGACCTTGAAAAAAAAAAGAGGAGTTGTTCATGGGCCCAGTTCTATTAATCCCTGTTTCCCCTATTTTTAGATTGGACCACTAAGTAAAGCATTACATAAATAGGACTAAATATTGTTTAATTTTAGAAAGTTAGTAAAATTATGAGCATTTGTGGGAAATTATTGGTTGAGCTATTACTTGTTAGCCTTACATAATGGTTTGATAAACTTATGCCTGTCAGTGTAATATTGCCGATACAGAATATTCTCTCTTGCTGAATTTTGTATGCTTTCAATGTGACTTTTTCTTCCATCTAATAAGAGATCTGTTAAAGCCACAAAATGGTCCAGTAGTGAATTTCTTAATTGCCCTTGACCAACCAGTTTCAATCCATAATTATAAGTCAATATGTGCTAAAAATATTAAATTATTATTACCACACGAGCAGTTTTTTTTAATAAAACAATATTAATTACGAATTACTAAAAATCCTAGTTAGTATGAATTTTCCAATAAGAAATATACTACATTAAACTTTAAATATTTACCGAAGGCAATTGTGAAAATTTCTAATAAAATTTTCTACTTAAACCTTGCAACTGAATATAACAGTTTGTGTTTATTTTATCACTAACCTGTTGCAACAATGCATCCGCAACACCTTCTTCTCCATTCGCAACTGTCCAAGGTAAATATTCAATATCAAGGGATTTAGTTGATTCTGAAGGCAAAAAGTTATTGGCATTTTGATTTCGATATTGGATTACTTCATTTAATACAGTCTGCAATAGACAATATAACATTATTTCTGCTTGATTCAAAAGTATAATAACGAAACATAAAGATATAGGATATTATGATATAGCTGTTTTTCCAAACATAAATTGAAACTCTCAAAATAAGATAATAAAAAAATCACACCAGTATAATTTCATTAGTGTCATGCACATTTTGGGCAACTTGGGCAGGGCTTAAATCAGAATGAGCTGCATCCTCACAACAGTTAGCCAATTCTTGAATTGCAGTATGAACTTTGCTAACTTCTCTATAAAAAACATCTTGGTTTGTAAGACCGTTAGCGGGTTCACTTTCAAAATTCACTATGGCCTTCTCAATGGCATTTTCCAATAAAAGATTATTTGGTAGACTTTTAAGTATTATAGCGGCTGTATTTTTTTCCAAAAATTCTCCTAGAAATTAAATTTAAAAAGTATTAAAATTATGGAATGAAAGACTGTTCCAATAATAATATAATAGAAAAATTTACATATATACAGTGTTATTGAAATACAAGTAGATATTAACACAGTTTACCATTTAGACTTTCCTAAAACATTCAAAAATATATTTTTGTAAAAATAGCAATAATTGATGGAGTAATAAAATTTTGAAAATCTATGCTAAATCTGGCGTACACTACTGAAGTTTATGTCGTTAATGTACAAAATATAGGTCATCAAAGATCATCACCCCCGGATACCCAAATCTTACACTGTCTTTCACATTACATCAAGATATTCTAGTTGGGAACTACTCAATAACTCACTGGTTAGTGTAGCGAGTAATGTCAAAAAACATTTAATAATAATAATACAATAATTGCATACAGAACTATTTAACCAATTTCACAAAAAAATAAATAAAACACCACGATTCTCTAAACATTTTAACCTCTAACCTTAATTTGCTGGAAAGGAAGGGCATGATGGTTTACTACAAACTCCTGACTGTAGATAGTCAATGTAAAGGAAAAACTGGGGGACAAAAGTGACTGTTGAGTAAAATGAATAACCACCACCACATTCTCGGTATGGTCAAGAAACTCATTAGTTCAACTTAAAAAATGTATAGTTCTTTAGAAGAAAGGAGTGTAGCACTTTGCATTTTTGTTTATCTGACCAAAGCATTCGATATAGTTTGCCATAAAAAAATTGTTGGATACCCTGGAGCAAATAGAATAGTTAATAAAAACAAGTATTAGAAATTAATAATTTAAAAAACCGACTTCAAAAACGTGTAGATGCCATCACCACATCTTAATCAAATTTATATGGGACCACACCTGAGGTACCCCCTTACTAACAAAAAAAGAATCATATAAATCAGACAAGGTGGTACAGCATTATCGCTAAACATACATAAAAAATGAAAAGTTTGAGGATTTTCTCATGGACCCAATTATTAGATTTTGATCAAATTTATAAGGGGCCACCCCTGAAGTACCCCCTTTCTAACAAAAAAAGAATCATTGAAATCGGACACCTTGTTAAAGAATTATCGCTGAACATACATAAAAAAAATATTGCGACGAATTGAGGGCCTCCTCCTTTTTTGAAGTCGGTTAATTAATGGAAAATTACTTAATAAATATAACATAATATGTTGAAATAGATGGAATTTTAAGCGACTTAAAACGGTTACTTATAGTCTTGGTCCCTGCTTATTTAATACCTACTTTAGCAATCTATTTTTTGGGGCGTCATTAGTTTTAATTTTTTTTGTACCTATCTAATTCTATACTGTACTTGTATTGTTTGTTATAACCAATGACAAAAAACAACTAGACTAATCCATCCATTCATAATTATGCCCTTTTTTATTGTAGTCATTCTGATTGTGTTTATTATTACGAAGACAGAGCTGTCGCATCGGCTGCCGCATTAAAAAGAAGGAGACACCTGCTAATTTGAGCGGGGATGGCTTGTGTATGTTTATTTGAGGCGCAAGCATGCGTTTTATGAATAAATCAGTATTTACGTCTACTGCGCTTGCTTTACACTGCTGTCACATTTCAAAATGAATTGGGTACTTTCCTGAAAAACACTATACAACTATAATAGTTGCGACAAGAAAAAATACATTAAACTGGTAATAACTGGCATTAAAAATGCAAATATACTTCCGTAATGTAACTTTGAAGGCCTTCTATACGCTTTAGAGCCTTATGTTTAGTCAATATGGAATTATAACCATAAACAATCCTTGCAACAATACTCTCCCATACTCGCTCATAATAATTTGACTACGAGGATGACACCATGAATGTTTGCAATTCAATTTTTGTAAACAAAATTAGTCTATTAGTTGTTCGTCGATGGTTATAACACATAATTTACAATTAAAAACAAATCTGTTAAGATAGTGGTGGTTCTCATATGAACGATGAACGTGAAATAATCTTATATATAGTTCTGCCATGAAGTTAGGCTTTTTTTAATTACAATGTTTCTCATGTTGCTGTCAAACACAAAAATTGTAAACCTGCATTCAAGTCTCAGACTTATTGTCAGAGGTTATTTGTTTACTGGGATTATTATTTGTACATTTCTATTTGTATTGTATTTCTTTCAATAAATAAACTTCATAGACTGTCACTTATAATATGTACCTACATGTATATCAATAAAAACCTGTGTTGTAAATAAGATGATTTTAACTAATAATTGTTAAATAATTTTAATAAATACCTAACGCATAAACAGTCGCCATGGATGTATTCCTAAAAATACAACCCGAAAGTTTATTCCACAATCCCGATTCTTTCAAAAACTTCAAATACAAAGACATGGCTTTTTGTTTATCTTCTAACTGGTGTAGTACTTGCATGGAATGAGAGCTACCAATGCCTGGAGGTGCATCTTTAGTCCATCGGGGATCACCCGCAGGAATATCGTCTAATAAGTCTTTGCACATATGCAGTACTACTTTGTCCAGAGCACTGTTAATGCTAGGAGACGAATAACTATCAGTTGGAAACAGTTCATTAAGAATATCTTGATAAGCTGACTGAAATACAATTAAACATTTTTTTACAAGTTTGTGGATAAATTAATTGTGATTTTTTAAAATTATTGCAATGAATAACATTTTTCGTTTAGGCAATATTATACAGGAGCAAATCAAAACCGGTTGTCATAAAACTTTTAATAAAAAATTTCCATGTGGGAGTGATTTCGAGTAATTTCTTAAACATATGCAGAGCATTTTTTTTTATTTTCAGAAAAATAAATATTTAGTAATAAATTAGAACAACTAAACTATATTGTATATAGTTACTTTTTTACATACCTATGTGTTGAAATAATAGGCTACTGATGAACATAAAAAATATAACCAAATTACATATATTTCGATTCAGAACTAAACAATATATTACTGTAAACTTAAGAATTATATATTTTGTAAAATGACTGTTTCATCCCACTACTAAAAATTAATTTGTATTTGTCACTATTAGATAATGTCACAATGTAAATATATTATTCTTTTTAGGTGAGCAGAAGAATGATCGAAAGTCAAAAGTCGAAAGTGACAAAAGATCGAAACCAAAAAAAGATCGAAATTAGAACAAATAAAGGAAATAGCATATGATAGAAATTACACATAATCGAAATAACATATGTTTGAAAGTAGTAATGATCGAAATGGTATAAGATCAAAAGCATTGTTAGGAAATTAGTAAATTGGTAAATATATATGTTTTTGCAAAACAACCTGCGGTGTCTCCAAGCCGCACAGATTAGGTAATGTGGTTTAAATGTTTTTTTTTTTACTTTTTCTCGTTTTATGCGAAACAACTCGCGAGTCAAACGGTTAGGTAAATTAGTTAGATTTCTTTTTAATTAGAATACTAGTAAAATATTTCTATTTACATTAAAATATTTAAGTTTAGATTCAACAATCTGAGTTCATATGTGAGAATAGAGTACACTGTGATAATACTATCAGGTACCTTACCGTCTCAGTTTATGTATTCCATTTTTTTAATGTCGATTATTTTTAAGCTATCAAGGTTGAAAACATATAGCACATGCTTTGCGTTAAAGAGGTTATAAAATAACAAATGAAAGATCGCAATATGCTCCGAATGATTGTTTTATTTTTACGTTCAATTAATTTTCGATCATTTGAACTTTCCACTAATTGATTTTTCGACATTTTTTAAAGTAAATTTTCGATTATTTGTACTCTCGATGTTTTTGTACTTTCGACTATTTATAATTTCGATCAATTCGATTCAATCATGTTCCAGCTCAACTTCTTTTTAACACAGCACACACAGGTACACGCACCTAGGTCCTAAGCTTTCGTTCTTTTTTATGTTATTACTAAGGGATTAATTATTGTTTAATATAAAATGTAAACCGTAAATGAAATAAAAAATAAAAATCTACCAGTTTTTATACATTATAAATTTTAACACAAAATTACTAGTCATCTTGAAGTCTGCCATTTTAAGAAAAAATAAATATTCTTTAGTAATATAAAAAATGCTTACCTGTTGATTTCTAATGTGAAAAATAAATGCAGCTTTCAACTGGCCAATTGGGTCTTTATATGCATTATATATTTCTTCTGGATCAATGTTGTAAACGGTAAGGTTATTTATGCCAAGATTTTCATTAAAAGAGGTTTCAACTGGCGTGTTAGGCGTCATGCTTTGGTTCATAAAATCAGAAATTTGATCATTGCTGCAAACAGCTATAAGCCCATTTATTCTAGAAAAGAACACTGGAGCATTGATACAAACAGATCCACCTAAAAAATAAGTATTTTTAAACGGATGCAAATAAATATGTCGAAAATATCTAAAGCTTTGTTTGTCCTACTCTACGTCAGGGATTTACATAGGCAAGGTGATAATTTAAAAACTTCATGGCTATATTTCATGAACTAAAGATGATAGAAAATACTATCAACCCCCTACTTGTCATACATCATTGAAAAACTAGTAAAACTTGTTTTTCAATGATATAAGTTAAAACTTATAAAGGGTGGTTCAATAGTACATAATAATTAAAAACCTATTTAAAAAGAATATGGCAGTTTATTTTGAATTAAAATATTTTAATTAGCTTAGTAAGTATTTAACTAATTTAGTAAATGTTTAAAATTATTTCCATTGTTAGCTAGACAAAAGTAAAAATTTTATTTTAAATTCAAGGCGAACATAGGCAATATTTCAGTAGGAATGTTAAGGCATGTTTGCAAATTCTTTGTAGCAATCTCTCAATTGTGGCGAATTGATTTGAGATACCACCATAAAAAAATATTGAGATCTAAGTGGCCATTCAATAGTGCCTCTTTTCCCAATCCACTTATTACCATAATTATTGTTTAACCATATCTACACATCAGATATTCCTAAGAGATTGATGTCTTCTAAGACGCCAGTATCCCATATAGAGTCCTATTATGGCTTTTAGTTCGCTTCTGAGCAGTTGATTTTGTCTGCTCTTGGTTGGACCCTTATGAATATTTTGGACTAAGTTCAGGAAGTTCCAACCAGAGCCTAATCTGCACTCTATTTATCTGTTCCGTTAGAACCTGTTTAACATGTCGATATGAAATATCACATGTGGGTTCTGGTCTAATTAGTTTTCTCATCTCCCTTCCTGGCTAGATGGTCTCCTTTTTCTCGTTTCCTAACACTACCTCATGTCCCGGCACCCATTCAAAAGTGACCTTCGTTATGTTCTTTCAGGGCCTGGAGGGACTGTTTGCAAATATTAATTTAAATTGTATTTCTAACCTTTTCAGTGCTTTAAGGGCCTGACTGCCATAATAAATACTTATCATGACCTTGGTACAGGCATTTATTGCTGTTACTGCAGCACGGACGAGTGTTGTCAGTGACTCCATTTTCACACTAATGGGCCTCCCCGAGTTCACAAAGTAAATCCCAGCTCCTGTGCTGTTTTTCATCTTTAAACCTTCTGAAGACCAGATTGACTAGTTTTGTATTTCCCTATTTTCCCAGTTTTTGGCCCTTTCTAATATTTGAATATTGGATTTTGATTTAGTTTCCCTAATACTATTATATGGTGTCCTCTTCTCGAAGGTTTTCATCCAAATCCATTAGTAAATGTCGCTGCCCTAGCTTCCTTCTCTACCAGAATGTGTAACGGAGGAAGACCTAGCAGTAGCTCCACTGTAGCTGCTGTTATTATTAAACAGGCTAGTCTTCCTACCTTATCAAATTTTCTGCTAGTGAGACCATATGTCACGTCTAGTTTATTGGATACAATAAATTCTAGAAGAGGTCCTCAGTTATTAATGTCACTGCTCCCCCATACTATATGGTGAGCATTCGCATCACCCAGTTTTCTCACCTCATTGGTTGGGGCGAGCCCAGGTTGGTCATATGCAGATAGACGGATACAACAATCAAATTGGTTCCAACATCTAGCTTGAAGGATATTGTCACTAAGTCATTTGTACAAAATTCCCATAGTGAAAACACCTTCAAGATTGTCTTTGAAATAATGAAGGTTCTTGTGTGTCCAGACGTTGAGTGAATCATGTGATAGTCCCCTGATATGTGTAACCCTCCAATTCGCCCTTTGTATACAAGAGGTTCTTGGATAAGATCATTGTCTTGTTTTATTATACATCATTGTAAGACAGCCGTTGCCGTTCAACATTCATGAATACTTGGTTGGATTCTTTTTTTAAAGGTGCTCTTTAGTTCTTGACATAGGGTCCTCTTCCTTCTCTCCTCGTCTTCGCCTTTTTCCAATTCAGCTTAAAATATGTGTACCTTCGATTTTTTGAGATAGACTAAATATAACTATATTATTTTTGTATTATTGTTGTGCCAGCCATTTTCGACTAGTCCGATCCTGCTCTATGGCGAACTTGGGCGTCGTTCAGTCTGCTAAGAGACATTAGATAAGTTACCGGAAAGGTCTACTGCACACATGTCGACTAGAGGAAGGGCATCGAGAGCATCTAGAATCTTCGGGACGGGTCTTGTATGCCCAATTTTCATATAAATAGTGCGACTTTTTGTATATGAGTTTAGTTTATAGTAAAAGATCGATCAGTATACATTAATATTGTTAAAATTAGGAGTGTTAAGTATAAATAAATTAGGTTATAAAATATATTAGTGTATTCAGTGTAAATAAATTAAATTATTAACTGTTTAAAATAAATATACGTTACATTATGTACTTAATTTTATGATAACATTTGAAATGTTAATTGATTTTTCAGTTTACCTAATAAAACATCTTGTGAGGAAGTAAATTCCAGAACATCTGGTTCTTCTTGCGGTTTAACTACAGTAATAGTCTTTGCATTGTAAAGATATGCACTAGTTCCACATATCAAAAATCTGTAAGATAATGACTCAGCAATATTCTCTTCTCTATACAATCCTGACATGGGTAATAACACAAAATCTTTAATGAATGGTGTAGCACCTTGTGTAGAAAAAGATATCATTGCATAGTGGACCTATAAAAGAAATAAAAACAACATTGTTAAGGGTTTGGCTAGGCCCTCAGTTTTAAAAAGTAAACTAAAAGTTTAATATGTTTATAGACTTCGCTAGCACATCCATTTATAAATTAAATCGAATACGGTATTCTAATTAAAACACAATAATGAATATGCATATTTGAAAACACTATTTATCTGGTTACTTGTAGTGTCCAACTCGATAAGAATAAATTATAGAAAATTTCAATATAAGCTGTTCGTTGTTGGTAATATCGAGACTGTGTTATCAAGCTAATTATTTATAAGGTATTAACAGATATATGTAAAAGATCACGTATATATTTATAATGCAATGGATATTTCTGTACGTTACAAGATCAATTACATTATAAAAACAACAAATTAATGAAATTGTATATTAAAAAAGTGTGTTTTTTATACTGAATTATGTAAAATTTGTTTTTCTCAGCTGCCTATTCTCGAAGGACATTATCACCAAGGTCAAATACAAAATAAAGATTATTTTGGTTTGAAATGGATATAACGTGCAGTGTTGCTGTTTGGTTGGAAACGTCCCGCTTGGGTAAAATTTTTAGGTGGATACAATATTATTCTAAAAATTTGTTAATTCACTTTTCACCCTTATTGGCTCCCTCAATTAAATGTGGTTGCCATTTTTAATGAATAATATAACCTACCCGAGTTATCTTTATGGCCAAGTTTAATAATTTGTACCTAGACTATGTGGGTCTTACAAATAACAAATTTTATAATGTCATTGAAGATGACTTAATTATAGCACTAATAATACTACACAAAATTAATACAAATACAGTAATTTAATATCACACTATTATTTAAATCTAAAAATGGCAACTAAAAAAGTCAGTTAAGTACGTTTTTAATTTTTTTAAAGAGGTTAGTAATCCGTATGTTGTTTATGATGCTTGGAAGATCATTGTACTGTCTTAGAGCATTCAATAGTATGCTTCGGTCCACCTGAACATGTTCTTATGGCTGTGGTTCTGTAGCAGAGGTTGTTCCTGGTATTGAATCCATGGATATCATTGTCAGTAGGGACGAGTGTTTATTATTCAGAGACACGTTATGAACATTTAGTTCTTTTATTTAGATTATAGTTATTACTTAGATGTCTTCTTTGCTGCTTATTGGAACTGAAAGTTCACCATCATGTTTTTTGTTATTTAAAAAGAACGCATTAACCTAAAAGGTCATGACCGTATACAGTAATTTATTAATATATTTTTGATACATTTATTTACAATTTGTGTAATAGATTCACTGTAGATAGAAACTTGATTAGGTTTGTAGAGTGCAATTTACTATTTAAAATTTCCTTTATATTATTAGGTAGCTTGTGCTGCAAAAATTTTTGACACAGCACAATTAAATGGGTCACTGTAAGAGGCACATTACACAAATCACATACAGGAGGATCACTTTTGTTGTTAAGATGTTTGTGGGTGAGAGCAGTGTGATCTATTCGAAGCCTGGAAATTATCACTTGACGATATCTTTCATTGAAAACAGGTTCCCAGGGACCTAGGACTGGTTTTATTTCTTTTAGCTTAGAAGATATTGCTTGCCATTGTTAATTCCAGATAGTTATTAATGTTTCTGAAGATATTTCTTAAATCTGAGGCGGCGGACTTACACATCGTTGGAGCACTTTGATCTCTGATAGCTTCTCTGGCGTTCCGATCTGCTATTTCGTTTCCGACAATTCCAATATACGATGGAACCCATATAAATATAATTTTAATCTTGGTATACTGAAGTCGATATAATTCTCCTTTGATAAGGGATACCAATGGATGTTGTAAATATATTTTTTGAAGTAGATGAAGTGAGGATAGTGAATCTGATATAATAAGACTATTATTTGTTCCAGTTGAATTATCTACCTGTTTAAGAGCTTGGAGCAGGGCATATAATTCTCCTGTGCATACATATGCTGTATAAGGTAACTTGTATCTACAGATAATCTCTTCTAATACTACTACTGCGCCTACTCCATCATCAGTTTTAGATGCGTCAGTGTAGATTTTGTGAAAATTATGATGTTCTTGTAGGATTCTCTTGAAATGCGATTTCATCAGAATATGGTCAGTGTTTTGTCGAATTGTGTTAAGAAGAGGTTTATTGAGGGTTGGAGAACGAGCCAAGGGGGAGTTTTGCTGATATTAGCTGATAATACGTTAGGAATTTTTGGCCACTGTAGTGTATGAAGAATATTTTGAATTCTAGTAGAGATGGGTGCATAATTAGAATTATGATTAATAAGAGGATGGATTTTTAATGAATTCAGGTATGTGGGAAATTTTAATAGCATAGGTGAATGTTATGTGAAGTCTTCTTTGTTCTAATGTGGATTCATTGACTTCGCAAAGCATACTGTGAGTTGGAGAGGTTCTGTATGCTTCAAGGATTATCCTTATTGCAGAATTGTGTATACCGTAATGTTTTCTTATATACACTTTATCATTTTTTGAGCACAAGAACTTATAACCATTATACTGTTTTAATTTATACGCCATATTAAACAAGTTCTTATTAATAGTTGTAAGTTGTTTATTCACATAAATAGTGGATTCTTTGGTATTATTACGACCTTTGTGGCTATTGGGGAACTTATTTTTTATTTCCTTATTAGAGAATTTTGTAATTATTATTGTTCCTTTTTTGGTTTCCTTGGTACAACATTCACAGATATCATTATTTAAAATTTTATTTTGATATAAAGCATCAGCAATGTACTTATGTCTAACAATTGGTAGGGTATCAACCACTGAACCATTATAGATCGGTGTTAGGAATTAACAGAAAAACATAAATATAAATTTTTAGATGTTACCAAGATCAATGAAGGTTTCATAAATGTCAAATAATCGAAAAATTATTTAAAAAAATATTTTCGTAATTAATGACAACCTAATTAGGTCCACAGCTGTCTTCTTTTAAAACTTTTATGAATATATTTAAATCAGCAACATTGCTTTACAATCCTTGCAGTTTCTAGGTATGTGCAAAGTCTGGGATAGAAACAAACATTTTATATAAAACTAGAGTTGGTCGATCATGATATTTAACATATTAAGGCTCTCCCAAACCAAATCGAAAATTCCGCGACGACCGCAAATATTCGCTGCGCCGAATACTTTTAACACGGTGACAAAGCTACATGTTCAGACTAGCTCAAATTTTAACCATTTAGAATTAATAAATTGTATACTATTTTATTAACTTTTTTGCTTATAATTTTTCAAACATTCAGATTATTAAAATATTACCTACGTATTATGTTATAGCACTACATTAATATTAATTTTGGGATTTTAGTAGTTATGTAATGATTTTTTTTTTAAATCAACTTTTTCTGAATTAATTTTATTTTAGTTACTTTTTTATGACAATTTTTTTGTTTATATGATATCTCACTATAAACATTTTTTTTATCATTATGTATAGGCCTATATATTGGTATAATCTAGCTACATAATAATATATCTGCTCCTAATGTGAAAATATTTAAAAATAGATATGATAACTTCATTATTCTTTAATCAATTTTCGTTTTTTTTTTAGGTTTTCAATACGTATTTCTTTTTTTTTTCTTCTTCGTAAACCTCACTTAATAATAAATATTTAAAATTACGCAACACAAATTATATTAGGTATCTAAAACAATATTATTATTCTTTGTATTAAACAAAATTTGTGATTATGTTGCTATATTTTGCAGTTTTTAATGTGTTTTGAATGTGACTAGGATATTTTTATGTTAATTTTATTAAAATACCATATACAGCTTTGTACTCTTGTTACTGTTATTCAAATTAATGTATAAATGTATGCATATTGTATAAATGTGCGTATAAGCTAATATTACTTTATCTTTAGCACATACAGATTCTTGCACCTAGGTGCTTCATTTTAATTTCAGTTTACTTATATTTTAATTTAACATGAAAAAATGTGAATGTGAATTTTATAATGAAAATAAATAAAAATTAGATGGAAGAGTATTATATTATTTTAATACTCTACTCAACGTATTGTAATAATAAAAATAACACTAGGAGGCTAATAACCATAGCAGTTGATGCCGATGACACAAAAAAAAACACTAGAGCTGTTCTCTTTCCGTTGTGCTCAGTAAAATAAAACACTTTAGTTACAAAAAAACATTCAATGTATAACTAATTATTTTCTTACCTTGGGTGATACCTGTGTATTCATTGCAGCTGCTAAAATTATTAAATTATCTTTGTCAGACTGGATATCTAATAACCAAGTATCTATATTCTGAATGTCAAATAACCAAGCATTTGTTTCAGACAAATCGCTCACACTCCACACTAAGCTATGAAATTTTTCTTTTACTATCCTGGTCAAGTCAGATATAAAAACTAATTGTTCACTTTCAAAACTTGATAAAATCCATTTCTGAAGAGAGTGGCCAGCCAGTACATAAACTATCCAATATCCATCTTTACCTGGTGTGCTTAAGACCCTAACAAGTCTCTAAAAAAATTATTACATATATAATAAGCGAATATAAACTAAAACAAAACAGTTTTCATAGATTCTAGTAATACGAATTAAATTAATTTTCTCTAAGATCTATAAGTATTTGGCAACAATAAATAAACCATTATATTTTCATGTAAAACGTGAAATTAACAAACACTTAAGAACAATTTATTTACTTACAGTTTCATTAGACTGTTCACTGGATATTGGGCCAAATATCAAAGAAGACATCCTTTTACTGATTCCACCTAACCATCCACTGGGTGTTTTAAGTGGTTTACATTGTAACAAATGCCTACCACTGTTTAACTGAGGTTGAACTAAAACTACGGTACAAGTAGTTGTAGCTAATACACATCCTAAACCTTCAATATTAGTTAGACTATCACATTCTTGACCTTGAAGATCAACACTCTGCTCTACAGTTACACCTTCATGGGCTATAGCAGGCCAATACCTGAGTACTCCTAAAAATAGCATCATTTGAATCAATTACAAACTCAAATATTGAACTTTTTTTATAATTAATATTTTTTTTTAATTTTGCCTCGTGTTCTTTGCAGGCTTTGTTACTGTTTCCCATCGCCAATTTAGGAACAGCACTGTTAATTAGAACCCAACAGTGAATGGTAAGTGGGGAATCCTATCTATGCATTAGAAGTTAATATTTAATTTATTAAATTAAATAAAAATCCCTGCCACCGGTTGGATTCGATCCTGAGACCTTTCGATCTCGTTATGACCACTGAGCCAACCCACCCCCTAATATTATGTTATTAAAAAAGCTAAGGACATAAACTATTATTCTAGAATTGAAAAAAAAAATATTTTTGTTAATAAGGAAGCCATTTTTTGAGATACAGGTTTGAAAATTGGGATAGTTCTATTTTTTAAAGGGACAAACAAGATTATGTTATTAGATTTGTGTTATCTCATAGATGTCGCCACATACGCCATATTAAAGAGACGAAAACAGCTTAAAATTTTTTGTTCCTCATTAATTAACAATTTACGTATTAAATTTAGAAAGGCTTATCATTTTTGTATAAAAAAGTTATACTTCTTTGATCTTTAAAATATTAACCGTTTTCGAGATATTTGAAAGTTTGTAATTCACCACCTGGTCGCCGGGCCATAGTAACCACAAAATGTAATATTCCCCTAATTGAAACCAATTCATAAAAAACGTTTAAGGGCGGCGTCTGGCCATATCTCGAAAACTGTTTATTTGAACAATTTCGCAATTTTTTTTTACAAAATTGTTAAAAGAAAATACTTAAAAATGATTTTAACTTTGTAACTTTCCGCTATGTCACGTAATATATAACATAATTGTGTTTTCGTAAAAAAATCTATATAATTTTAAACCAAGCTTTTTAAAAAACTAAACAATATTTCGAAGTGCGATGTGTTTCATAATTTTTCTGTGTTGGTTGTACGGGTTGTAACGGAAAGACAATATGTAAATATGTTTAGTTTCAAAGAAAATTCCTATGTAAGTCAAGGCGATTATGTGGTTTAGATACCAAAAGTCAAAGTCATTTTTCGAGTACTTTAAAACAACTCCGTTTCTTAAGAAGTCTTTACAACCCCTAGGCATACTTCATGAACGGTTTTCAATATTAAAATTAATGCCAGGCAGTATATTTTTCCCGAAAGCTTGGTTTAAAGTCAACCGCGCATATAAGGCAGATTTCTATGGGTGAACGCCAACCTTAAATGATAATTAATATCGTATTCTCATATCTCTACGTAAGCCAAAAATAGTGTACAGGGTGTTTCAAATCATTGGTCGTTCCTAAAATTAATTTGATTTTGAGATAGTTTGTATTTATTTTATGAACATATTAGATTGTAATGAAACAAAAATTATGAAACAATAATACAAAATTATTTGTTTATTTTAACGAAACGCTGCTTAACATATTAATAATAACGGTAACAAATCTGGTATTTAAATCTAAAAGGAAGATTGCGATAATTATAGCATTTACTGGATAGGTACCTAAAATTTAATATATTAAAGCACAAGTTTGCCATGGAATTTTGACAACAAAACAATTTTAAGTAAAAATTTGATGTTTCTGAAACAATAGGAGTGCGTTTAGAAACCTCGCACGGCGCGTCTGACCACATACATTAGAATAGGGTCCAGACGCGCCGTGCATGGTTACTAAACACACTCTTGTTTGTTGTTGTTGTTACCAAATGATTCGAGTTAATTTGATACATTAGTGAAAATACCGAGACATAATCTCTATTCAAATGAAGAAATGACAGATATGATTTGCAGCCTCTAGAAAATACCGCGAATTATACCCAAACCGAAGGCAACCAAACCACAAGATATTTCAAAATATTTATAACCGATTGGATGAAACAGGCTCTTTTCGACCAAAATACCATACAGGGCGTCCCACAGCAGGAAGATGAAATTTTGGTAAGAGTAGCAAAAAGTCGTGAAGTAAGCACTCATCAATTATCTGCAACTACCGGAATAAAGCCAATCATCCGTGGTTAGAATTTTGCACAAGGACAATTTGTACCCATATCATTTTACACCTGTGCTTCAAAGAGATTATCCTGCAAGAGTTGAGTTTTATCAGTGGCTAAGGAGAAAACAGAATAATAACCAAACATTTCTGAATAAAATTATTTTTACTGATGAAGCAACATTCACCAGACGCGGAGGTTTCAATTGGCGAAACAGTCATGTCTGGGAAACTGAAAACCCTCATGTAAATAAAGAAAGACATTTCCAATACGAATTTAAAATAAATGTCTGGTGCGGTTTAATAGGAGATACATTGCTGGGTCCATTTGAATTACCTCCCAATTTAAATGCTGAGTCATATTTAAATTTTTTAACCAATGACAAACGATATTTTGGATGACCTTCCATTAAGGTACGTTTACATCTGACATTTATTGCATGATATTTATGACAGTTGTTTAGTCCAGTGTAAACACTCAAAAATATATGTCCGAGAGAAATTTTTGTGTGTTTACACTGGACTAAACACAACTGTCAGACATAAATCTCATGCAATAAATGTCAGATGTAAATGTACCTTTACAATCAAGAAGAAAAATGTGGTTCATGCAGGATGGTGCACTTCCACATTTTTCACTGGTTGTACGTGATTACCTGAATTAAACTTTCCCTCACCGTTGGATTGGTCGTGGTAGTGAATTTCAATGGCCATCTCGCTGCCCCGACTTTAATCCACTGGATTTTTATGTGTGGGGTTACATGAAAGCTATTGTTTATTCTCAGTCCATAAATTCCAGAGACGAGTTATGGAATAGAATTGTAGATGCGGCTGATTCAATTAGAAATAATAACGCCACATTTTTTAAGATCAGACGATCCTTAAGTGAACGAGTACAGAGGTGTATAAGATTTGGTGGTGGCCATGTTGAAAATATTTTGTAGTATTTATTTTAAGTTGAATGTTAACAATATCTAAAGATTATGTGGGATGTATGTTTTAGGTAAATTCGTTTTAGTTAAGTAATGTTGTTATGGTTCTTGTTCAAGTGTTTTATAATTTTGTCTTTATTTTTAGGTTAAAATACAAGAATTTGTTATCTTTATTATTGGCCTGTTAAGCAGCATACGTTTCGTTAAAATAAACAAATGATTTTGTATTATTGTTTCCTAATTTTTGTTTCATTACAATCTAATATTTTCATAAAATAAATACAAACTATCTCAAAATAAAATTAATTTTAGGAACGACCAACGTTTTAAAACATAGTGTATACTATTTCTGGCTTACGTAGAGATATGAGAATACAATATTAATTATCATTTAAACGTTTTTTATGAAATGATTTCAATTAGGGGAATATTACATTTCGTGGTTACCATGGCCCGGCGACCAAGTGGTGAATTACAAACTTTCAAATATCTCTAAAACGATTAATATTTTAAAGATCAAAGAAGTATAACTTTTTTACACAAAAATTATAAGCCTTTCTAAATTTAATACGTAAATTGTTAATTAATGAGGGACAAAAAATTTTAAGCTGTTATCTTCTCTTTCAATTCAAATCGTTTAATTCAAATCGTTTATTTTACATAATTTAAGTAGTACATTAACAGAACATTGTTTGGAATGGATTCTCTAAGTCACGAGTGACTTGTCGAGAGTACATCCACAGTCATTGGGATACTTACCTATCAATTTAACATAATAATACATATAAAATACAAAATAATTTTCTAATAATTATAGAATAAATAAAAATAAAAATAATCTTGTCAGAACCCAATTATAGGCTGATGCGTCAGTCTCCGCCAGCTGAGCGATACCAAAGACGAAATACTAACCATCCAGATAACTGATAGTTTATATATTACTTTTCTTTTTTTTTTTAAATTTATAACTTTCAAATAATTTACTTTAAAAAAGGCAACTTTGTAATTATTGTCTCACTGTTTACTTTGAACCAGTGAGAAGCTTTTACATTAAACATTTTTCTATTTATTATATTTATATTTTTGATATGTGACGGTAACATGTTAAAGAGTCTTGGTCCAGTAAAAGATACATGCCTCTGGCAGGCAAGGAATTCAACCCTGTTTGTATAGACATGATCTTGGGTGATGGATCGATCTAGTGTTAATATTATGTTGAATATAATTTTTATAAGTATTTTTATATTTCATATAGTTTAAGGTGCTTTTTACGTAGAGTTCTCTTATTGATAGAGCTCCACTCTCAGTGAATAAGCTTTCAGATGAATATCTTTTTGGTTTTTTATTTATTATCTTAAGAATATATTTTTGTGTTAGTGTTAAATTCTGTAAGATATTACCACACGTACTTCTCCAAATTTTTAAACCATAGTTTATGCTAGATTCAACTAAAGCTTGATATATAGTTTTTAGCAGTTTTTTGTCATAAATTCCCTTAATTGGTAAAACTTATATATTGTTTTCCTAATTTTCTTAGTTATTTATTGAACATGAATATCATATTTAAGATTTTGGTCAATATAAACACCTAGATATTTTATATTTGATGCTGAGTTTATAGTTTTTGTGCAGTTGCATATTGTATCCTTATTAAAGCATTGGTATGTATGTATTTTAATATCAGGTTGGATATCAATATTATTATTATTACTTATTGAAAATGGTACAGAATATGTTTTGCTTTCATTTATGGTTAGAAGGTTTTGATCCATCCAGAATTTAACTAATGTTATATATTTTTCTGCTAGTCGATATGTATCTGTCCATGTTTTAGCTTTAATTAATATAACTGAGTCATCTGCACAACAGATAATGAGGCCATTTTTTTCTGGCAATATCTTTGTAAGGTAGTTAATGTAAATTGAAAATAATAGAGGGGCAAGGGCCGTGCCCTGAGGCAGACCCAATTCTACTTTTTTCTTACAGCTTACATTGTTACCGATTTTTGTTTGTTGTGTTCGACCATTGAGGTATTAATCAAATAGTTTCCATTCAGCTCTTTAATATGGCGTATGTGGCGACATCTACTAGATAACTCAAATCTAATAACATAATCTTGTTTGCCCCTATAAAAAATAAAACTACCCCAATTTTCAAACCTGTATCTCTAAAAATGGCTTCTTTATTAACAAAAATATATGTTTTTCCAGTTTTAACAGCCTGTCAATCAGAAAGGAGCTATCTCAGACCCATTGTTGAAGTAAAATATTTTTATTTTTGCCTTCCGAATCTACATTTACAATTTGACCCATTACTTATGACTCACCCTGTATACCGACAAACTTTTTCGTTTTCTATACCCACATGGATATTAGCTATTCTACCCACATACTACAAAATGGAAAAGTATGCCATTGCGTTCAACTGAAGGAATATATTTCATATATCCATTCTACCAATATTAAACAGACCAATTACAGTTCATATTTTGGCCAACCCGCTATATTTTTTTTTAATTTTATGTACGTGACAATTCTGTCAAACTAATTAGTATATTTTTGTAATTGAGATTAAATATATTAAAGTGAGTTATTCTTATGAAGAATGGATAAAAAAATAGCACTTCTATTTTTATTTCATCTATATTTACAAATATATTATAAAATTTAATAAAACTATATGAAATCGATTTAATTACGGATATTAATGGAGCTGAGAGTAGTGAATTTGACTGTCATGCGAGAGGTTCTGGGTTCAAATCTAAGATTGGAGACTAATTAGATTATATCTTTTTTTTCAAGTTTATTTTATTTTATTATTTTTTAAATTTTTCGATTTTCGTAAGTGGGTACTTAGAAAAAATATACTGTACAACTCGACTGGATTGTGCGTATAGCACTCAAACTTCGTCTTCGTGTGATATGGCCATCATATCCACTATAGTATTATAGCCGATATGCTTACCAATATTACCTACCTATGGCACTAGACAAAAACATAATTTAACTCTCCCTATAACCCGTTTAAAAAGAACGGAAACTATTGACGTAAAATTATATAATTCTCTACCGCTAAAAAATCGAAATAATAGTTTTAATAAATTCAAAGGGAAAGTTACACTAATAAAAAACCCTCTCTATAGCCTTAATGACTTTTATGATTTGATGAAAAATTGAAATATCAGGGATGTTTGAACATAAATGGAAAACGACATCAAATTTATTGATGTAATGTATTTTTTTAATGTGCTATTTTAATGTTATCTTAATTTGTTATTTCAATGTATTTTTTTATCTATCGATATGTCAATCCATATTGTAATATCGATGTAAACATTTTTTAAGATATTATGTATTTATCTAACTGACGTGTTCACAAAGTCCTGTACTTTTAACGAACTAAATAAATGATTGTGATTCTTGTTGCACAAACTACTATTTTGCTTAATAAACATATGTCCGAAAACGGTTCGTTTCTTGATATCTTAATAAGTTATCTTTTGGATATATGAACGTGTATCCAAGCCCAAAGGACGCAAGTCTATTATTCATATGTTTATTGATCAAAAAATGTTTATTTTGATGTCTCCTACCACCCTTAAAAGTTTGTCGGTATACTTATAGGATACCCTGTATAAAGACGTTAGTTCTAGTAAATAACAATTACAATTGTTAAAAGGTGGCAAACTTCTATAAAAAAAAATATGAAATATAAAGGAGCATAGATATTATTCTAACAAATATCTTTGTTATGGAGTGAAGATAAAGGTAGGATACCTTTGTGTCAAAATAATTCTGATTTCTACAGAGATAGGCCAATTATATTAGCTGAGCCATAGCAGCTAAACTAGAAATTTAAAAAAGTTCCAATTCCTATTACAGCGGTACAGGGTACTCCATAACTACAGAACAGGTATCAAGGTAATTTTTATAAATGGATCAGTCTGTTTAATTGGCTTTATAACCAAATTTTTTTTGGTGTAATATTCTTTTTCGAAAAATTACTAGTTTATAAAAACTGCCACAAAATTTTTCCGAAAATTCTTCATGTAACCATATACCTACGCATATAGTTCTCCATTTTTTTTTTTAGTCATATAGAGTGTTTTCAGCATAAAAACAAACAATATCAAATATTTCTAATTGCCATAACTCTTATTGTGAAAACCTAAACTAACTGAATGAAGGGGCTAATTGGAGTAATATTTAAAAACACTAAAGTATCATAATTCTTATGACTGTAATCAAAGCAATCTTATAAAGTAAAAGAAGGTTGAAAAAATATGAACTTATTTTCTAAGTACAAAAAAAATTAAACTATTGTTTCTTAATAAAAACGCAATTAAAAAAAAAACATTTTTTTATCTAAAGAAATTGATAATAAAGAAGGTGTTCCAAATGTCTTCTTGCATGCATTTTACAGAGGCGGATTCAGAACCTTTCTAAAGGAGGGGGGGAGGGTAATTTACTGGGTGCGTAGTGTGGGCCGATTGTTTTTTTTATTAGACCTCTACTACTAGGGCTATAAGGCACAAGGGCAATTTAAAACAATACAATTTTGTTACAAAAAATGTTTCCTTATTGGTCTTCTAAAAGTAATTATATAAACAATAGGTACTGATGTAATTTATTTGAAAATGAATGATAGCAAAATTATTATGTCCTATGCGAGAAACCCCAATATAACATCATAAATTAGTGACGGAGAATTTCTAAAATAAAATTTTTACCATTAAAATTTTTAAAAATACCAATGTATGTAATCTCTACAGGTAGAAAATATTTACAATTCTAGATCAATTTAAGTAGACCTCAACTTTCTTAGAAAGGATTAAAATTTCTAATCGGCAGAAAGTGTTATGCAGACTGTAAATTATTTTAGTTAAGATTTACATTTCTGTTTGTATAGTCCTGTGATTTTAACAAGCAGAATTGTTAGTTCTGTAATAATAGGCGATAAAAAGCGATATTGATAAAGTGAATTTGTGCAATAAAAATGGCACAAAAGTCTTAATTATACTCCTGTGAAATTAAAGTGCACTTGCATATGAAAGGTTTAGTGTTAAATGTACAAGACGCACTTGTACATGCACATTTCAATAGTACTGTTTGGAGTATAGTTTCTATGTATTCAAATATGGCCAGAGTTAGAGAAGATACCATTTTTAGACTTTTGAAGCAACGAAAGGATGGAATTATTACAGTAGCACCTAAAACGTCAACTGGGAGAAAACCCATTTAAATAGACGGTACTATGAAACAACTGATCCGAAAAAAAAGAGCATTTGTTTTATTTACAAAAAAGATACCTATTTTGGATAAACTTTAAGTACACATTAATGGAGACGAAACTTTGCCAAACTTTAAAAGAGACAAATTGTGGAAAACTTTACATGAATTAGACTTCGCTTGGGAGAAGAACGATAGAAAATCTGCGCTCATAGAGAAAGATGAAATTAATTGTTGGAGGAGGCAATATTTAAGAGAAATTAGAAAATTAAGAAAAGAAGCAAACATATTTTTTATTTGGTTGAAACATGGATAAATGAAGGACATTTTGTAAAAAAAATTTGGCAAGATAAACAGGTGACGTCAGGCATTTATAGAAGATTTGTCTACTGGCTTAAAATTACCAAATGGTAAAGGTCGCCGTTTAATTATCATTCACATTGGATGAGATAAAAGATTTGTTGATAGAGGCTTGTTAGAATTTGTTTCAAATTCTACGAAAAACTATCATGGCTGATGTTTTTGAGGAATATTTCAGTCAAATGATAGATTTATTACAGACCAATTCTGCAATAGTTATGGACAATGCCAGTTACAATTTAAGATTAAAGGAACCGTTACCTAAAACTAAATGGAAAAAGCAAGAACTCTCTGACTGGCTAATAACCAAAAAAATAGTGACAGGAGACGGATTACTCAAAAAAAGAGTTATGTAAACAACATTCACCAACATTTAAGAACTATAATGTAGATGAAATAGCAAAAGAGTTTAACTGTTGAAGTCACCACCTTATCACTGTGAACTTAATCTCATTGAGCTAATCTGGGCTCAAATGAAGGGATATGTCGCGAGAAACAATACAACATTAAAACTTCAAGATGTTCGTCAACTATTATGTGACTCCATATCAAAATTTCACCGGACAATTGGCCAAACCCTATAAGACATGTCACAGTAGAGAAAGAGAAATTCTGGAAACTTGATATGTTAATAGAGGAAACAATAGAACCAATTATTATTTCTGTGGGAAATGAGGAATCTGATGATGATGACTCCTTATTGGGAGAAAACGTATTTATTTAGGTATGTAACTCTATATGTACATTAATTACAATGAGTTTATATGACGCTAGTACTCGAAATACAAACAAATAAAACGAAATATGAGTGTTTTACGAGAAAAGATTTTTTTGCAAAGATTTTTTTTAGTATATCATATAATTTTGGTTGTGTGTATATTTATTATTAAATTTTAAGGAAATGTCCTAACCTAATATCTAGTATACTATTTTTATAAAAATAAATGTGGGTAATTAATACTGACAGTTTACTATTTTTTATATTAAAGTATATTCCTGTCCCCCATCACTGAGTTATAGAATTATTGGTTAATCCCTTAGGGTTTGCTCATTTACATTTTATGATGTATTGTATTCTAGGTTTTTCTCGATGGTCATACTAAAATCTAATGAAAATTCAGATAAGAAGGTATCAATATTTACTTTTTTCTACTTTGAACAATCCTGTATATAGACCTTTGCCATAAAAACTCTGCTATCGTGTATTTTCAAATAAACTATAGTGATAACAAATATACCGGGTGATTGTAAATGACTAATTTTTAATGATTATAAAATATTTTTATGTAATAAGTACAATAATTTAAATTTAAATAAATAAGACAAAATACCTTCTGGTGAAACAGCAATACATGACGGGATATTTGAACCTGTGCTGATAAATACAGATACTAATTCAGCCCTATGAGCTAAATCACTCTGTGGTAGCAGTAATTCAAAACACTGATTTAGGTTACCATGCTTTCTTTGGGGAGTTCCAGGAGCAGATATAATATGCCTATATTGCCAAATAAGCAATCTTCTTCCACAAACGACCCAAGCATATCCACATTCAGCTATTCTAGCGGAAACGACTGTATTTCCTAAAAAATATTTATTCAAAATATATGATAATAAATTATACTTCTCACAAAATAATGGAAAAATGGGGTAAATATTAAAAAATAATGATACTTTGTTTACTAATAGACTTTCCTCAATTATTTTTGAAGTAGGTATGTCTATGCAATAATTTATTAATTCCAAAAAACTTACAGCGATTTATCGCCTTTTAAATATCATTTGTAAAAATTAAAAAATTGTTCAATTTTAAAATCAAGAGATTTTGCCAGACATTAAACGTGAAACAAAGTGGAATTACTTTAGCTTTGCAAAAGTGGATGTAATAGGGAGATGTGGCACTAGTAGATGGACGTAGTAATGGTACCAATATGGCGCCTTAAGCATATCTGGACTTTTTTGGTTAGAATTTTTTGGGTTGTTCAATGCCATCGCAGTAATTTTGATATTCATAATTTAATGAATACTTACATGATATATTAAATATAAATTAAATCGCAAATGAACATTTGTATCAATATTCGGGGTGGGTCACCAGTAACGCCTCAGTCTGTAGGGCCAAAATTGATATTTTTTTAAATCTGTTTTCATTACGAGATGTATACCAGAAAAGGCAACAAATTAAAAATAATTTTAATTATACAGGGTTTTCTAATAAAGTGATATATATCAAAGTTAGGTTTTTTTAAATGGGACACTGTATTTTATTTTATATTTGAATTGCCCTCGATTTTCCCATTATAACAATAGAAAATAGTATAAGATTATACAGGGTATTGACCACAATAACCAGTTTTATATGAAAATCGATTGATTTCAATGACCTGTTAACTGCAAAATAAACGATTGAAAACAATTTTTTTGTCTAAAGTTTATATCAATACATCATTTTCTCATTTTTTTGTTTATATTTTATAACGCCATTTTAAAGTACCTAAATTAAAGTTTCATTTGAGTTAAGGAGATGCTGAGATCTGTGATGCTAATTTCACAAACCCATCCATCCCACTGTGTTAGGAATTATTGTAAATGAGGACCTTACATCATCCTACTTGATGCTTATTGTATTTAGGTTTACTTAAGGTGGTTGATTTGGATGTTTTTGCTTGTTTTTAGGTCTTTTTTTTATTTAAATTCTTAATATTTTTTAAGTAATTAACATTTAGTTGAATGCTGAAAAGTATATTGTACATTTTATTACTTTTTATATACTACAAACTAAAATAATGCCATCTGCACACATTTATTTAATAGCAATTAATTAGAGTTTGTTACTGGTCTAATATTTTTTTGAACAACTAAATGTGTACTGTGCATTGGAAAAAATACCAACTACTGTTTATAAGATAGAAACCGAAATATTGCTAGCTGCACACTTATTTTTTATTAACAATAACTAACAGTTAAAGAGTTTGGTCTGGGGTCTAATTTTTTTTTTAAATTATAATTCTACTGAAGTTTAAAAAGTTAAGGGGACCAACTTAAAAAAATCTTAAAATGGGACAGAAGTTGCAACCAAAAAAAAGCAATATTTGTTACCACGAAATTTTTTATGCAAAATACAAACTAGAAATATCAAGATATTGTGTTGATACCATATCCACTCCAGATTCCAGCACCCAAGACAAACAACATTAGAGAATATGCGTAATATACAATGAATCTCATATCAATAAGCATATTATTATTTTGTTTTGTTTTGATTTTCATTCAAATCATGTTTTTTTGTGACATTAAATATTTATAATCACAATTGTATACAGCAATACAGCACAATAGGCAGAAGGACTATGGTGGATAGCATATTGGATTGAATATTCAGTTCAATAGAGGACAAATATTTATATTTTTATTTTCAATAATAAGGAAATATCTATGCAGTGTATTCGTATAGTATGGAATAAATTTGGTATTTCCTAAACTAAAAGCTTTTTCAAAAAAATCTGAAACACGTCGATTTTTAATTTTAATATTCTATATTTTACAAGAAAATTCCATTGTACAGGGTGATACACATTAAGGTGATGAGATCATCGGCAATTATTTTAAAAGTAACACCCTGTATTTTGTGATATTTTTAGATCAAGAGAAATAAGCTGATTTCAAAAAGATATGTATTCTACAACTAGTCATAATACATCATCTCACTATCGTCTACAATTATTTTTGTTTATAATTATTACTTGAAATTATTAAGAAATTGATAGAGAATAGAATTATTGGGAAGCTAACTTCTGATCATCAAAATGTAATTTTTAAAATACTTTTTTCGGTAGAAAATTCGACAGAACAATTGATACAAAGTATCAGGAAATCTAGAACTACGTCGGATACTTTAAGAACCCCCCTTAAAATAGGAGATCTGGGGAATTTCAAAGATATGAGCTTAGCAAATAAATTATTTCTTATCAGTTGGAAAAAGTACCCTACTAGTTTTTAGTGAAATATCATTATTTTTATTGACTTTCAGTAATAGTAATTCATGAATGTTCTGTATTATTGCTTAGAATTAAATACTTCTGATGATTGGGTAAAGAGGCAGATCGCGAACTCCGATGGAAGTGTGTAATTTATTCAATGATAAATATCCAGAAAGACCCATAACACAGTCAACAATAAGTAAGATTGAAAAAATATTTCGTGAAACTGGTACGGTTGAAAATGCACGCAAATCAGGTCATCCCTCTGTAAATTATGATAAAACATTAAATGTTCTACTTAGGGTCGGTCTTTTCACCTTCAGATAAAGTGCCAGGTAATTTTTATCTCCTAAGTAACTTAAAAAGTAATCTTTTCACTTCTGGATAAACCTAACTCCTGAATGATAAATTAACTTAGTTATGAAATTCCTGATAAAATACTTCACTGATGGATAAACAGGTAGCTACATAACCACATAAGGTTAAAAACTACTGGATACTTACAATACATATTATTTACTTGAAAAAACCGAAAATTAATTATCTGACAGATAGTAACTCTCAGATAATATATCCATCAGTTAGTTATCTGGAACTTTATCTGAAGGTGAAAAGACCGACCCTTACTTATAAAGAAGATGCGCATACTTCTGTTCATCAGGTTAGTCATAATCTTGATGTTAGCAAAATAACGGTATATAAATTAATAAAACTTGAAAAAGGCATCCCTATAAAATCAAACTTGTATAGGAATTAAATGAAGATGATCCAGATAGAATAATACAATTTTGCGAAGTAATGATAGATATCTGCCACTGAGACCCTCTCTTGGTACAAAACATTATTTCTGATGAGGCCAGTTTAACATTAAATGGCGAATCAACCGTTAGAATTGTAGATACTGGGCAAAATAAAACCCCAACCAGATGCGTGAACCTCATACACAACAACCGCAAAAGCTAAATGTATGGGCTGGCATTGTAAGAAATAAAATCATCGGACCCTACTTTTTCGAAGGTAATTTATTTATTTGTATCCAAACAGGCCAACGGCCTTATTACATGGATAAAAGTATCATAATACATAAATAATAATATTAATAATAAACAGTTGGTAATTACAACTAATATTACAACTTATTAAGTATTAAAATTAATCAAGAGTAATGTAATAATTAAATACAAGTTTTCGGAACATATTAAATGGTAGATAGTGCCCAGTCTACATCAATACAAGTGTTAATATTACTTGCCAATCGGAGCATCGTCACAAGAGGTAACCTGGCAGTGGTAAGAACTAAAGGAATATTAAACATACATGGATGTTTTATAGTTAATTTTATAGTTAATAATTTTATATAAAAAAGTCAACATTATCATATTCCTTCTGGTGTGAAGGGAAGGTATTTTAAATTATTTTCTTAAGTTTGCAGTTCTGACAATATTGTAGTCTGGGTATATATGGAGTTTTTTGAAATAAAGATAGAAATTTATTTTGTATTTTACAATCTCATATAGATTAGTTGGATGTTTCCTCATCCATACCTCAGCTCCAAATTCAAGTGTTTGTCTAACTAGAGCATAATAAAGAATTTTTATAGATTCTATGTTAGTAAAACTTGTAGTTTGCCTAATTATGAACACCAGCATTCTATTTGGAGCCTTAACTATATTTTTTACATGATTAGAAAAAGATAGAACACAATTGTAGGTTATACCTAAGTATTTTACCTCTGTACGTCGTTCTATTACTTCTCCATTTATAAGGTAATCGAAAATAACAGGATTTTTCAATCTACTTATTGTCGTGCTGCTACATTTTTTTGTATTGAAATTTAATTTATTTTTATAACACTATTCATTTATGTTGTCTATATCTTTTTGTAAACTCACACAATCTCTAACAGTCTGTATTTTTTTAAGAATTTTAAGATCATCGGCAAATAGAAGATAGTCTATAAACCTCAGCCTAGATGGTAAATCATTGATAAAAATTAAAAAAGGAAGGGTCCCAAGTTGGAGCCCTGTGGCACTCCACTATATGATATAAATTTTCCCGATGTGTTCCCATTATGCTTAACAATTGAATATCTATTTTCTAGGTAGCTTTTAAATAGTGTAAGAGTACTATTTGTCAAACCAAATTTACTCAGTTTTAAAAGCAGGACATCATGATTTACCTTATCAAATGCTTTTTTAAAGTCTGTGAATATTACATCAAGTTGGATTTTGTTTTCAAGTGCTTCATAAGCTGTAGTTACAAAACTAAACTTTGTACTGACACATTTTTTTGAGAAAAAACCATGCTGCTGGGATACCAGACTGCTCTCAACATGTTGATATAATCTTGCATACAGTATATATTCATATAATTTAACAGAAGCTGATAAAAGTGATATGGGCCTTCAGTTTTTAAGGGAGTATCTTGTAGCTACTTTAATTAATTTATTGGCCAGTAGAATTAATCATGGAGGCTTTGATGAAAGTTTATAGTTTCAACAGGATGGTGCGCCTATGCATTATCCTGTAGATGTTCGAAGGTGCCGAAATTTTTCCAAACAGATGGATTGGTAGACGTGGACATATTGAATGGCCAGGGAAGTCACCAGACTTCAATCCTTAAGATTATTTCATGTGGGGCCATCTGAAGAATGTTATTTATAAAACGAAACCAACAAATAATGAAGAATTAAAAGAGAGAATTCAAACAGAAATAAACAATATTTCTCAAGAACCCATAAACAGGTTCAACAATAATTTGTACAACGTTTGGGATACTGTCAAATACAGCAAGGTCTACTACAGTTCAAACATTTAAGATAAAGAGTCATGTATCAATTAAATAAATATCAATAAGATGTATTTTCTAAGTGCATATCTTCTTCAAAAGTAAGTAGAACATCTAATGTTTTATCATAATTTACAGAGGGAAGACCTGATTTGTGTGCATTTTCAACTGTACCAGTTTCACAATTTTTATTTTTTTAAACTTACTTACGGTTGACTGCATTATAGGTCTTTTTAGATATATATCATTGAATAAATTACACACTTCCATCTGAATTCGTGATCTGTCTCCTTATCCAATCCTCATAACTATTTCAATTCTATGTTTTACATTTACGGTCATTTCTACTTCAAATTAATTCTATGCAATAATACAGAACATTCTCGAATTACTATTACTGAAGGTCAATAAAAAAATGACATTTCACTAAAAACTAGTAGGGTACTTTTTTCCAATTGATAAATAATTTATTTTCCAAGCACATATTTTTGAAATTCCCCAAGTATCATACCTTTTTTGGAATCAGCTCATTTCTCTGGATCTAAAAATGTCATAAAATACAGGGTTATATTTAAAAAAATTGTCGATGATGTCATCATTTTAATGTATATCACCCTGTATAATAAAATTTTCTTGTAAAATGTAGAACATTAAAATTAAAAATTGATGTGTTTCAGATTTTTTAGAATAATCTTTTAGATTAGTTAATATCGAATTTATTCCATACTTTACAGACACTCTCTATGTATTATCTTTATAAGGATGCATAGGTAAATATATTTTATTTTTAAATAAACACGCAAAAAAAAAGATAGAGAAATAAAATATAGAACAGAAAATTCAAAAACACACAATTCAACTCAAAAATAGAAACTGACCAGGGGGCTATTTTCAAACTCGAGAGAATTCATTTCTCTCAAGAGAAATGTCATACGTCTACGTAAAATCGTATTTTTAGGGCTCTTACGGCCAGTGTGAACTCACTGACTGTTTCTCTCGGTTTATTTTGAGAGAATTAAAATCTTCATAAGAATTTTAATCTCTGATGCCTTTAAAAACAACATTTCCACATTGACGTATGACATTTCTGATGAGAATCTTGAGAGAAATGAGTGCTCTCATACTTTGAAAATAGCCCCCCCAGGGGGGCTATTTTCAAAGTCGAGAGAATTCATTTCTCTCGAGAGAAATGTCATACGTCAACGTAAAACAGTATTTTTAGGGTCCTAAGGGCCAGTGTGAACTCACTGATTGTTTCTCACGGTTTATTTAGAGATAATTAATATCCTCATAAGAATTTTAATCCTCGAGGCCTTTAAAAACAGCGTTTCCACATTGACGTATGACATTTCTGATGAGAATCTTGAGAGAAATGAGTGCTCCCATACTTTGAAAATAGCCCCCCTGGCAATTATTATTATTAATGACATAAGAAGAACAGAGCTGTCAAGAAACACTGCTCCTTGTCTAACAATAATAGAGAATAAAGCAGATAGACACTCTTCATTCTTGCTCAGATTAGTAATAATAAAAAGATGATGTCAGATGTCATAAAAATATCTTTGAGCTAAGCTATTCTCAACTGATGCTTAAACCTGGGAAAAACCTGGAACAAGATAAAACCAGGAAGAAACTGGATGATATTTCTTTTACCCCGTACAGTAAGCAAAAAAACCTAATCTGTCCTGGCCAAAACGGGAAAGTTGGTACCTTATAAAAAGTATATTGGGCATTTAAAAAAAATGCCAACTTCTGTTTATAGGGTAGAAATCAAGAACTTTACCAGGCATTTATTTTTGATTACTAATAGTTTTAAGTACAGAGTTTGTGAAAGAGAAGTACAGATTAGTGTTCTTTATAACAAGCAAAAAATTGGAAAAGAAAAATATATGAAGTTGTCTTAAACAACTTGATACCAAAATGAAGAGAGAAATTTAAATTTGAAAATATTAATATTAATAAAATTATGATTTAGCAAGTTGTAAATATCCCGAAATTTATAATTTTGGGAGTGAGGATGACCAGGAACTTGTTGGATACGTTGTGGACAGTAGGTAGACTTTTTCATAATTATAATGTATATAAAATATATAAAAAAACCTTCAGTTTTTTTTTACTTTGGCCTTCTGCGTTTTACTTTCTTCATATCAAATATTGTATTCTAGATTCAAATTTCAATATATCTTCCACAGTCACCCTCTAATTGTAAATTTCTTTAAATTTTAACTAATTTGTTAACCTTTTTTCAATTTTGCGAATAGTGAGGGTGGCATGATTCCTTAATTCCACACAAGCTAACTTGCTTCTGGAGATCAGATTTGATTTGTAAGGGCTTATCCCACACTCACTATTCCCAATACCAGTTTTTTGTCACTTTGTTTGTTTCTTGTAATTTTTAATTTGTTCAAACAATTGTATATATACTATTTTAACTTTTGACTTAAAAGTCTAATTCAGATTTTATAATATATTTTGTAAAATCTTGTTAAATTGTAAGTTTACATCCACAATTTTTGTAGATGAGCACTGATGATGGCAAATAAGCCGAAAGCGCTTTGCATTGATTAATAAAAAAGTTTTGCACGAAATACAAGTTTTTCCTTTTGAATCTAAACTACGTGCACACAGCTGTCAACCTTTTTTGGTTATTTTAAAGTTTAATATATATTTATGTTTGAATGTACTTACTATCTGCAAATGTCAGAGCTTCTGTAATTAAAACTGGTAAAGATTGACCAAAACGTTCAACATAATTATGTGTAGATTTCAATACTATTTGTACGGATTGTGTAGATTTTCCTGATACACTTAATCTCCTAAAATGATATAGAAATAAAATTTTATTAATGTTAATAATTATTGATATTTATACATACGATGATTTTCTAAAACTTGCTGGTAAAATTCTCTTGGAATTAAAGTTCTGACGAGATCTAGGAGAAAACGGACTTTTTACAGAAATTGGACTTTGAAAACTCTTATCCATTTTAAAAAATAAATTAAATTATAAATTTACCGAATTTACCGAAAGAACAACAAAAAAATCAAGTTAGGTTAGTGTTAGGTTAGGTTAAGAAAATCGTTAGTTTTGTTTATGGTTTGTTTAGTTTTTATTTGATATGGTTGGTAATCACTGGCGTTGGCTGTCAAAATTTTAATGCGACCAACATGAGAAAAACAAAATTTCAGTACACGTGGCTGTTCAGGGATTGGTCATTCGCCACCACGAATCTCAACCTTTCTCTTTCCTTCTTAACATAAGTGATAATTACGTACTCTCTCCTTTGAGAGGATAATTTTAAATCGTCAAAAGATTACAACAAAAATTTGAAAGTTGTTTAAAAAGTTCATGGCTTTCTTCAAACATATTTTTTAAATATTGGTTATTTCTACAATTTTTGATTGGTTGGACTTAGGGCGGAGCGTTTCTTCCTTCAACCAATAAAAAGTAAACTCGTTTAACAAAAACACGTTTGAGTCACTTTTGAATATGATGTTAAATGTGCCTTTAATTGAATGCATGACGTCACATTCGAAGATCGTGCATTTCCGCTTCTCCCACCAAATTTTGTCTTCCCTTCCATAGATATTAACTAGGCATTGATGCCACTTCTGTTAATTTTTCCCCAACGACCTGTCAAACAATAGCAGCCAGTGGGAAGGGCTCGTATATCTAATGGGGTTGCGACATAGTTTTGCATCCTGGACGCTATTTTTATCCGAAATAGTAGTCGCCAACCCTGGCAATTCATGAAAAATGTATAAGCGGTTTTTCAAAAATAATATATTAATTATATATTGATTGTGTTCGACATAAAATAATATTTAAATGTAATACATTATTCATTATTTAACGTATTATAGATAGAAAACATTGTATGTAGGACCCATTAGATATATAAAATAACCCTCTTCACTGACAGTTTTTTTGTTTGGAGTGCCTAAATAACAATTTGCGATTATATATAACGCGACTGTTCCACTGATTCTCGGACGACTTAAATTTTAAAGAAACCAGAAGTATTTCAAATATATAACGATGTAAATATATAAAGTATCGAACGGCGGGTATTCATAATTTTTAATATATGCTTCGGATCGCAGGCAAACCATATATTAATTTTTAATTAATTTTATATTGGATTTGACGGGGTCGTATTAGTGTAACTTATAATTTCTGTTGATAGGTACTACATCCAGATTACAAATCGTAGTGGGTTACTATTTCGATGATGATAGGTGGAACTTTTTTCACATCTGTAACTCAAAATGGCACCATTATAATCACTAAGCCGCTCCCTGAGCGCTACGGTAGATAATAATAAGTAATAACTCGATCAATGAAAACCTTTGGGAAGTTGCTCATAGAACAATCTGTGGATCTCATTATTTTTTGTCCAGAACAATAAAAATGTCAAACAATATATTGCGCAAGACTTAGATTTCTTTATGGACATAAAGCTATTTACAAAAAAATTGAGAAGAGAATTAATTGTCCTCTTGATTTATTTGTGCTTATATTACTGTTTTCTATTTTTAGTACATTGCAAAACTTATGGCATAACTCTTCTTCTGAGCTTCGAAGCATAAGGTTTCCTCGTAAGGGGGTGAATTATAGGGGGAGTATTATAATATTTATATATAGGCACATCATCATGCCTCGGCCCCTATACAGTACCTATATATACTGCCCTGGCTTTCTCTAGCTTCTTTCGCCGTTCCTTCCTAATTCTATCTTTTTTATTTTATTATCTTCTTCCCTAATAGAACCGTTTTTGCTAGATTATTGATCGTATGTACAATATTTCGCAGAGCGTGGCCTGTCGATACATCTCATATGCATCTGATTTTTTTACGGCCGTTTTTGTTTCCAGTCTATTTGACTGTGGTCTCTTTACAGCAAAGCATCTGCCTCGCATTCGGAAGGTAGTGGGTTCGATCCCCACTGTCGCCTAATCTGCTGAATTTTTTTCAGAGGTTTTCTCATAGCATTAAACTAATATACTGGGTCAGTATATTATAACATCTTCTCAGATACACCGCACCCTTCCTTCCACCCCATTCCCTCAAACCCGGCTCCCTCCAGGAGAATGAAATACACATCTTTTACTACCTTGTTTTCAGTCCACAATATTTTTAGCTGTGTTTTCAGAAGCTGTTTTTACTACCTTTTTTCAGTCCACAATATTTTTAGCTGTGTTTTCAGAAGCTGTTATACCTAAACTATCTTTAGATTATCTCAATAAAGTTCAGCCACGAATTAAAGACGAACACCCCATCATCGATTATTTATATTATTTTCATATTCATTTGCTTAAAAAATAATATGGCTTTATTAAAACATGCTATTCAATTTGATCAAGCTCATTTCAAAACATTATATAAATCATAAAAAAATCTGTCAAACAAAAAACATAAGAAATGATTTATGGAACATATGGCAACGATGTTTTCAAATAGAAATCAAGGAATGGGTTATTGAAAAATGATTGAAAATTATTTTGTTTCTCTGGTTTTCTGGATGAGCATATATTTGTTTTTTAAAAGTCAGAAGATACTTTTTTTCGTATTGAAAGGCTTCAGTTCAAATTCTAATTCTAAATTAATAGAATTTCAATTTATTTTGTTTTTCATGTTTTTATGTAGCTGCTATAAGGAAGCATTCGTTGCTTTATCTCCCACCTACCTCGTATTTTTAAAACGTCATAAATGAACAAAAAATGTCAACAATTGTGTAATAATCCTTTTTGAACCCAATTTGTGGAAAAATCAAATCAAAAAAAGCAAATTAAATCGGTTGTATATGGATATGAATGAAGCTTTCTCCCTACATGTGAACGTGCGTAAACGGTTCCCGCGCACTGCGTGCTCCTAGTATTTTCATGGCTCCATGGCATATCCGCCATGATGGCTTTATGCTCAACACGCTCAACATGGAAAGTTTCAAAGTTGTTTTATCGTATTTGTGACTGAGTGCGTGTAAATAAAAACAATGGGAACATACTAAAGGAATCGAAGAATTGTTTAGTGCCCTCCTCGAACGGCCCGAGGGACGGGGAGCTAGTTTTTAGGAGTTTTTATGTTGGCCTTGTCGAGTGTTTTGTGCTGTCAACAAATATGTCCAAGCTTTCATTTAGGGCGAGGGCCCTGGATGCTAGCAAGCCCATGCCTATATACATGGCTGAGGAACTCCCGGATCTTCCTGATTATTCAGCGATTAACCGGGCAGTTCCTCAAATGCCATCAGGAATGCAAAAAGAGGAGGAATGTGTAAGTTATCTGAGATCGACATCAGGCATTTGTTAACATAGTTGGCGGCCATGTTGATGGTATTCGCGCTCCCATGCGCAACCGGCGAAATACTATTTTTCTCATGGAATATCACTTACACCACACTTTTTTACCAAACAAAAACACTTTTAATGAGCAAAACGTTGAATTAAATTTATTTATACCATGTTCCACAGTTGTCATTACGTTTTATTGCTTCTTACTAAGTGACATTAGCTATGTATAGTAAACATTCTATTATTTTGAGTCCCTGTAAATAAATGATAATAAACATTGAAATGATTTAATAGGAGCACCATCTTCAAAGAGCGATCGTTGCTGGGCTCATCATTCCTACTCCAGATGTATCCGAAATACCTGACAAGGAGTTCATTGAAAGGGTTTATCCTGCAAATTATAAGCAACCTCGACAGCTTATTCATATGCAACGTAAGATATGCTGGCATACCTATTTCTCAATTTTTTCTACATCACAAATTTCTGCTGTTTGATATTTAACAAAACACCACTCATAGACTTACTAGTCTTCTGTCTTCTATAAATCGCAGTGAAGTGATGTGGTTATAGGTACCTACTACATAGTGTGACAGTAAATAAATATAACTTTGTGTTTTTGATGACTGTTATCATAATCCATAGACCTTACTATTTTACATAATTGATTCATATTATAATATGTAATTAATTGCTGTTTGTCATATTTATGAATGATCTATGTCAATCTAGTTTAAATGTATCCAGATCTATAGCTGTTTACGCTGATACTAATCTTTTGACAGGAAGAAAGACATTCCCTGAGCTACTTATCAGTTACATTGATATATTCTGTAAAATTAAAAACTTGTTTACAATAATAAACTTATTTCAAGTGAAACAAAAACTAAAGCTATACTGTTACTACTGTTAGGTAATGAAAAGCTACATGTTTTAAAGTTAGACTATGCATCTGTTGAACTACAAATGCAAACTTTTGGGTGCTTACATTCGTTAATTCCTACGTTGGTTGAGACAGAAGAAACAGCTTCTAAATTGAGTAAAATAACTACCTAGTAAATATTTAAAAAAGGAATCAGTGATGTCTCTCTATCTACTTTGCTACTTTTGAATCTGTTTGATACGGAATCATTTTTTGGGGCTCATTATACTACTGAAAAAATAGTTTTCATACAAAAAAAGACTAATTAGAATAATTAATAAAATGCAATTCAGGGACTCCTGTAAATAGGGGTATTTAGGAATGGTTAAATTTTTGATCCCTGGGTGATTAAGCATAGACATTAAATAAGAAATTATCAGTCTTGTCAATTAAGCTCAACTGAGAAGTTCTCTTATTATATAGCAATACATTTATTTAGCAGATGTATGTTAACTATTAAAAATTGTATAAGTACTAACACGCTCCAAAAATAAATTAAACTTAGAACCCTACAGTGTATAATTTTTTAAATAATCCAAGTTTAATTCTGTTTGTAATTTCTGTAATGTATTTTACACCAGTTTTTGTCTATGATGTCATTTTATTTTGTTTGTATATTTTTCTTCTATAGGTAAATAATGTTAACATTATTTACTGAATTAATAATTAATTACTTATATTGATTCTTTGTCACAATTTGGGAATAAATATCTCAACATTTTTTCATTACAGTTGTCCTACTTTTCTTTGAGTAATAAGTAATGTGAGTAATAGAACATTTGTATGACTGTCATTTCTTCATGTTCATACTCATACTTAAAGTGGCACTAAATCCCAGTTTTAAACCACTAGTTCTGATTTAACATGTGTCCCGATTTTGTCCTGCTTTTGTCTGATTTTAAAAAATATTTCATTTAGGCTGCCTAAAAATACAATTTTTATGGTGATGTGACAACCCACTCTTCTATTAAATATTTGTCATTATGTGGGTGGTGCGCATGGGGTTGCAAATTCACGAACAGAGAGAGACCAGCAGTTTTGATTTTTTCAATTTTGCTGCTTTCTACTTATCCAAATATGGTCACCTTACTCATACTGTGCTTTAATTTCTTTCGACTCAATTATGAGTGTGGTAAATAAAAAGAAACAAAATGCATAAGCAAAAGGATTAATTGTGTAAATGTATTGAAATAAAAATACAGTATTATTTTATGGTAAAACAAATTGAAGATAAAAAACCTCTTGCACTTGCAAATCTTTACATTGCTATTGGATGATTAGTCAACACAAGACATCCTCCCTATTTATCAGAAGGTGATAAGTCAAATATTTCTAAATACCCTATTGTTGTGGTAAGTACAAGAACAAGCTTTTATTAGCGATGTTGAATTAATAGTAAATAAAAAGCAGATGGACCTCTTTAATTATCCTATTAATTTTTATTATTACTAATGAAAATTCACTATAAGGCCAGTAGTGGGAATGTGAACAGTCTTAATAATTTGTCAAGCGCATCTAATGTGCATATTGCATTGGTATCTCAGAATCTATGAGACCTAAAAAAATATGATAGCATATGGAAATCTAGTTATAAGACAGCTACAAGTTCAGAGCTGAAATCTTTGAGTACCTATAGTAGCTATTAAATTAAGAATTTGTTCTTTTATTCGCTTAACTCTGTACTTACTATACTTACTGCATTTGGTATATTCCATCAAATTTTTAAAATATCTACTTGTATAATTAGAAGATATCAATCACACTTACAATACATGCCAGAAAACATCTAAAAAAACCTTAGGACAAAGAAACTTTACATTCTTTGCATCCAGGATATTCAATTTGCTGCCGGATATCTCTAAATTTTATATAAAAAAATTAACTCCAAAAGTAATTTAAAAAGCTCTTAACAGATAGTGAGAGGCATATTATTAGAGAACTAATAAATAATTAAATAATAAATATCTAACCCTCTACACTATTTATTAAAAAAAAAAAACATTTAAAAGTTCCTATTAGATAATGACATGCATAATATTTAGGTAATTAATTAATAAATATAAAAATAATATTTAAATTACTGTTATACTATTAATATAAAATAACATTGTTCATGCTAGTGCTTTTTCTATTTTTGTCTATTAGTTCTTTGCTAATTTTGTGTATATATTTTTAATTTTTTATAATGAAAAAGTTGATACAAACTCTAATGAAAGAATTAACACTTAACAAAAGTAATTTAAAAAAGAAAAATAATTCCAACTCAAAAGTGATTTAATTAAATATATAATTACTTTTTAAAAAGACAATCTGTCAATTTATTAGTTATGTAGGGTGTCCTGTAAATATACTGACAAACTTTGAGGGATGGTAAGGGACATCAAAATAAATATTTTTTTTAATAAACATGTCTGAAAACCCTTAATTTCAGAAACTCAAGGATTTTTATACAAAAATAATAATTATTTTGAATAATACTTTTTGTCCATTGATGTTTTGATTCTTTCTTCATTTTCGAAAAAAAAAATATATATATATATATCAAAACTGTACGTCTCTAAAGCAACTAAAAATACAACTCAAAACGAAAGCGAAGGAAGATACGAAAAAAAAAATTTAATTAAAAAGTTGCTTCATCAAAAACATAAAAATTTTAAAAATATACAGGGCGATATTTTTCAGCAAAAAAATAATATGCTTGCCCCGAGGGTACGCTTATGGAAAATTTGGATAAACGCGAATAGTTCCAAACATCATGATCTCAACAAACGGAAAATGAAATTGAAATCGTTTCAAGATATTGATTAAAAATCGATTTTAATTTTTTTAAACTTTTACTCCCTATTTCTCGAAAAGAATTTTCAGACATAATATGTTTATTAAACAAACAATATTTGTTTTTGATGTCCTATACCATCTGGTATATTTACAGGACACCCTGTATATATTAGAATTATTTGCTACAATAAAAATAAAAGTTTTCCACTATTCACCTCAAAGACGAAAAATTACTAGACTAATCCATTCATTCATAATTTAAGCATTCATATTGTGTTTTTTATATGGGTGACAAAGCTGTCACATCAGCTACCGCATTTAAAAGTGCGAGATGGCTGTTAATTTGAGAGGGGATGATTTGCGCGAGATTAAGTACACGTTTTAAGAACGAATCAGTAAAATTACAACTACAACGCTTGCTATACACTGCCGTCACACTTCAAAATAAATTGATTACTTTCCTAGAAATTAAGAATGCAAATTTACTTCCTTAATGTAATTTTAAGTCTTGAGCTTTTTAGGGCCTTAGGTATGTTAAGTCTAGTCTGAATTATAACCATAAACAATCCTTGTAACAAGACTCTCCCATAAATTCTCTCATAATAATTTGACAACTACATGGATGACACCCTGACTGTTTGCAATTCAATTTTTGTACACAAAATTAGTTTAGTAGTTGCTCGTCATTGATTCACCTACTTTATGACACCTGAACATTACTTCACTAAGTTGTCATCATCAGGTTAATAATAAAACTGTTTTTAGTAGTTGAAACTTTTTAATTTACTTGATTTATTTACCAAAACTTGAAAGTAAATATATAATTTATATTAATATTAAAGAATATTTTCACACATTTAATGTTTTTCTAAGATGACACAGATTTCTTAAAAAATCCATTTATAGAAATAACCAATTATTAAGTATAAACTGAAAATCTTATGATTATCATTATTTTATATATTGTTATCAATCCTATAAACCCCTAAAATGTAATGATTTTAACATAATGAAAAACCTAAATATAGTAAGTATGTAGGTGCAAATTGAAACTACATTTGTTTTTAAAAAGAAAGGTACAATACTTATCATTAACTGACTTCAAAAAAAGAGGAGCTTCTCAATTCGTCAGAATATTTTTTTTTTATGTATGATCAGCGATAGTTCTTTACCACCTTGTCCAATTTCTATGATTATTATTTTGTTAGGAAGGTGATACTTCAGGTCAAGATCTGATGATCTATCAAAAAATCAAAATTCTCAATTTTTAAGGGCATCTGCAAGATTTTGTAGTCGTTTTTTTTTAAATTACTTTTAGAACCTGTTTATAATATCAATTCCTAATATAATTAAGTACTTAATAGGGCATATTTCATTTCAATAACACCAAGAAGAATCTTTTTGATTTAGTTCATTCTTATATCAAATGACTATTGTGTTTCAATTAACAGTAGTGTTCTTAAAGTTACGACAAGAAATCATAGCAAAGTCTACACAAAAACAAGTCCAGCACACAGACAGAATTTTTTTTTTATATAGATTGATAAATATTTTGCTGGTTTAATTTGAACATACTTTACATGATTATAATTGCAGATAAGTATGTTCAACATTTCTCTGGTCCAGATTTGTAATTTGAAGCAAATCTGTTTGAGAGCTAGGGGTAATCGAAAATAATATATTGAATATTTTAATTTAATTTACATATAAATTATACACACCATGTAAATATAAAATTATATATTTCTACTGAATTTAAATATACATCTAAAAAAGCAGAAACTTGTGATGTTTAAATAATTTTATGCATTTAAATGTACCTTGAGTTTTTATTCCCTAAAACTTATAAACTTTCATTATCTTTTTTTTATACCTTAGCATTTACAATGGAACAGGATATTCCTGATTATGACATGGACTCTGAAGACGAGAGGTGGCTGCAATCACAGACTCAGAAATTAGACCTAAGCCCAGTCAAATTTGAAGAGATGATGGACAGATTGGAAAAGAGTAGTGGTCAGACTGTTGTAACACTTAATGAAGCAAAGGCACTGCTCAAAGAAGACGATGATCTCATCATAGCAGTATTTGATTATTGGTTGAATAAACGTCTTAAAACGGTAAACCATATTTTTGTTTTATACATTTGTATACTATACAAAGTTTATTCTAAAAGTAAAATTGTGGTATTGCCATCTTTTACATAAGATATATCCATAATACCTAAATATTAAGAACAGTAATACATCATTAAGAAACTTTCTTATACTTACATTAAATTAAGTTTCTTTTGTTTTTAATGAGTTATTATTTATAAATAAATGTGTATTGCTGTAAAACGTTAAATTTACAAATAAAAAACTATTTCTAACAAATTTCTTTGAGAGAAAAAGACTATTGAGCTCTTAATTTCAACTTTATAGTCCAGTTCGTCAATCACCAGTTATTAAATTCATTGGTATTTATCATTGAGATAGAATAAGGAGGAGAAGCTATGACGATGTTATAGTGTCCGCACCTTTACATTTCACTTTTACGTCATATGTCAAACTCGAGATAGTGGAGATAGTCAGTTTTGATGAGAATAAATGCCATTTTTTTTAAATAGCTTCATTTAAATGGTATAAAATCATTTTCTTTCCCTCAGTATTCTGACTTCAAATAAATCAAAGTACGACTCGAGTCGCCATTTTCATTATATTTTTCTGTCACTCAAAGTGCATCTATCTGTCATATTGCAAAATAGGAAGTGTTTATGTCGTCTCCTTTATACTATCTCCATGGTTTTTATAAATAAATAAAGTGGCAGTGATTCCTAGTAGGATTTGATGGTTAGTTTATTTTATGGTTACAACCATATTTTAATTCTAATGGTGGATCATGTCAATAAGGCTGGGTAGGGTTTTACACCTATAAGTTAATAGTCACCCCTGACCACTATGACAAATAATAATATAATAACTAGAATGAAGATATATATTGATTGGCATTCTATATTATACTCTTCACAGTTTAACAGGCCCCGTCCCCCTTAACCCCCCATTTTTATTCATTTTTTTTTTTTTTTTTTTTTTTTTTTTTTCAGAATCAATAGGCTCCTTATAAAGCTTGATTTTTCCTGAAGATTTCAATTTGATATCGTTCTTTGTGTCTGAATTTTATTAGAATTTTTTTTGTTATTTTTTCAATATTTTAACTAGTGGTGGGCAAAATAATCGGTTATTTATTATTACTTTTAATCGATTATTTTAATATATTGATTATTTTCGATTAATCAATTACTTTCGATTAATCGGTTATTTTATAATTTCAACCCTCCTTATCCCCCATTTTTAATCATTTTAATTTCTGAATCAATAGGCTTCATACCCTTGTAGAGCTTGAATTTTACTAAAAATTTCAAGTTGATATCTTTTTTCGTTTTTGAATTAGGATTTTTATAAATATTTCTACCCCTTCAACTCTCTATTTTAATTCAAATTTTTTCAGAATCAATAGGCAGATTTTTTTTTTTTAATTTCATCCTCCCCTTAACCCCTCTGTTACTTATATTTTTTGCAAAATCAGTAGGCTTTGTACCCTAGCTTTATTTTTGCTAAAAATTTCAAGTTTATATCAATTTTAGTTTTTGAGTTAGGATGTATTTCTACCCACCTTAACCCCCCCTATTTTTTTTTATTCAGAATTTTTTCAAAATCAATAGGCTTCGTCCCCTTATATAGCTTGATTTTCCTGATATTTTCAAATTGATATCGTTTTTCATTTTTGACTTATGATGACAAAAAAACGTGACATCAGACAGCCGGACGGATGAAGGGAATGCATAATATTCTTCACAGACTACTGTGTGAAGAGTATAAAGTGATAGTTGTCATTGTCAAGAAATATAAAAATAAAAAAATTGATGTTTTTTGAAATTTATATTTTTGAATCAGGTTTTGACCATGATTAAAGGATATTGAAAATTTTCAAAATATAAACAATAGAAGTCCTAGAATTTTACATCAGATTTTTTTTTATAATTATTATTTTGTTGAAAGGTTTTTTTTTATTCTAATATCGTTTCATATTCAACAACTAAATTGCAAATCAATTCAATTTCTGCTATTGAAAAAATGGCCAATTTATTATTTTTGCACCAGTCATTTTGACCTTAATTACAAACAGTAAAAATATAAAACTTATAGGTAAAATAAGGTATCAATGTCAAAACTTTTTTTATTTTTTGTTGAAATTTGAACTACTGTCAAAAAACCAATGTTATATTTTACATCACTTATTAATTATCAGTGGGTTAAAATTGTATTGATTATTTAACACATAGTTTTCCAACCTTTTTTGGCCTACCACCAACATTTCAAAAAAAAAAAACTCCATCGAGTACTTTTGAGTATTTGCCAGGGGGCGATAGTTGTTCCTCAACGCCCTCCTAAATTTGCCTTGGATGAAAAATGGCCCCTTAGCTCTCTTCATCACATAATGGTGGGCGGTACCGCCCCCGTTGGGAACCACTGATTTAACACTAATATATCAACCAATGACAATTTTCTTTTATTCCAACACTCTCCAATCAAAATAAACTGTATCTGAAAATAGTGTTTTCACTCAATCCCGATTGGATTTAAAAAATTCAATTCATTACCAGAGTAACCTGTCAATGATTTATCAGAAACGTCAAAAAGGTAGGATTTAAAAAAAATAATTTATTACCAGAGTTTGTCAAAAAGGTGACGAAAAAATGGATAAAAATTGTTTTGGTTATTGAAATATTAACATTGTAAACAAATAAGATTAACGTTAAATTGTACTTAGAAGTTCTGTTTATATTGTTAAATAATCTTTCCAAATACCACGCCAGGAGATTAATAATTTGGTTCTAATTATAAGCAGTAGTTAATTACTGTATAACTTTATTGTCATGTATTGTTAAAAAACTATCAGTAATTAAAAATATGATGGCCAAGTAGTTAGTAACTCATGCTTGTCTAAAGTACGGTAATGAACCCTAAAATAAACACCTTATGCACCAGCCACCTCAACAAAAAAAATACTTGCCATACATCATAGGAAATCTATTAAAAAAATGGGTTTCAACTGTATACCTTATCCTCTACAGGGTTAAAAAGAAGATGCCATGTTGATCTGAATTAAATATTTCTAGTCCAAGAGTACAAAATAAATTGTTTTTATGAGGTTTTACTTTTCTTATATCATCTTTACTTTATGAGATATTGTAAGTTTTTGTCATCTCGTATAATTGATGACTGTTTATTTCAGTATTCATAAATACTGATATTTTTATCTTCTTCCTAATTTGTTTTTCTTTTTCAGCAACATCCTTTAATTTTGACTGTAAAAACTGAACATAGATCTGGAACTGCAGCTAATAATCCATACCTAGCATTTAGGCGACGAACGGAGAAGATGCAAACAAGGAAAAATCGCAAAAACGATGAAGCTTCCTATGAAAAAATGCTAAAATTAAGAAGGGACTTGTACAGGGCTGTGACATTATTAGAACTTGTAAAAAGACGAGAAAAAATAAAAAGAGAATATGTGCATCTAACAGTGGAAGTATTTGAAAAACGCTTCCAAGCTAAAGATTTCAGCGGTGTTGTAATGGCTGAGGCATCAGCCATAAAATCGTCCAGGCCTGCATTTACACCCATCTTTCAAAATCATTATCCCAATCAAAGTTGGGGCGGCAAATCTATGCTTAATAAAGAAGAGGTAAGTTTTTTAACAAACAAAAATTATATTAAATTCTTTGAAAGTCCCCAAATAAAGTACAAAATTACCACTACGAAATAATGAAAATACTTTTTGGGAGGGGTTCATACCCAAATATTCATGTTCCTTAACCATTCAGCCATCAGGACATAAATCGTCTCCAACATCCAAATTGTTAATTTGAATATAAGATTTTGAATCCAACCTTGGTAACAGAAAATTTCCAACTAATCAGCATCATCTAGGAATCTAGGGAAACTGCAATATACATGTAGGCACTTTTCTAGGTCGTCTGTGTGTATTAAGTTTATGTTATACATAACAACCTAAGACATGGGTTATAAATCTTATCCCCAAATAAATTACAAAATTATCCCCAATGAAATAATGATTTCTACACCATAATTTAATTTTTGTAGGTTATACCAAGGCGAGAAAAGAGGCAGTACAAAAAACGCAAACACAAATCCTTGGGCGGTAGTAGATCTAGCGGTTTTGGTGTTGACTCTGTAGGCGGTGTTTCATCTGATGAAGACGTGACGGTATCTCAAATGTCTCCAGAACCTGAGGACACAGAGGATGAAAGTCAGTTCGCTTTTAGAAGAAACAAATTATGTTCTTATCATATGGTAAGTTTGAAATGTTCAACTTTGCTGCTATAGTTAATACAAGAAAGACAACTAGTTTATTTTTCAATTGAAAAAATAGTGATAGTATATTATAACTGAAGGGATGTTTCATCCTTAATAAAAGATTTAAACTTCTTTATAAATGGTTTATTTCATGATCAAATATTCTCAAATATGTTAGGTGTGGTAATCCCACTTTCTATTCGAATACTGCTCTACTGCGTTGGTCTTCCTTCTCCCACTTGTTTATCCTGGCATGTATGTCCATCGAATATATATTGATATAAAATCACCTTGTAGATTGAATTCCAATTCTACATATTCAGTTGAATTTGACACACAATTTAATAATGCAAAAAAAAATAAATTTTGTTCCTATTCAACCCAGGAACTGATTTTACAGTACAGAAACTGGTTTGTGATTAGGTTTGGGTGTGTTGGAACATTAGGTTTTCATACAGTTTTGAGTCCGAAGTTTGTTGGAACACCATTTCTAGACTGCACAGAATCCAGACCATACGTAAAACTATTTGTTATTGTGTTGAAACAAACCAATATTTTCCAATTGACTTTCTAGATTTCAAACTGCCCAGCTAAATTAAAGTTTGACATTGACAACAAAATTTTACTAGGTAATTCCACTACCTGTCGATTTTCCATATCAATGTATTGATAGTTTGTGGTTCCCATTAAAAGATTGTAGAAAGTTGATAAAATGATATTGCCTGAAAAATCCATAGTCTCATTAGTAGTGTCATTCAGTAGAATAAAGAAAACTCCAAATCAATACCACATAAAATTGTTTATTAATAAAAGTATAGTAGCAACTACTTTCAGCTATCTATCATCAGATACATGGTATTGTCTAATTATTACCAGCTTGGAAATTGTATTAAAATTATATTGATTCATAGAGGTTATTTAAATTTCAATCAGCAGATTAGGTGCTCGGCTTCTGATATGCTGAATCACATTATGACTAAGCTCATATTTTCAAATCAATCTCAGGTACGTTGGGCTCAGCTGAGTTCGTCCTTGAACAAAAAAAACTAAATTAGGCCATATCACGGGAATTTAGAGGTTGATAGTTATAAATCCTTTAAATAACTCAACAGTTATGGATTTGCTAGAGCAGGGATAGAAGTGAGAAAGGCTTTTTTCTGCTATTTTATAGATGCTATTAACAATTTTGCGTAATCATGTAAATAGTTTAATAAATTGTGAATAGCTGTGAAAGTTTTGTAGAATTATGATTTGAAATATAATAATTAAATAATTATTTCTAGCCTTTAAATACATTGTCTTAAATACTAAGTCTTGAAAGCTGAAATTTGGAACACAGGCTTATTTTATAACGTAAGCATCCACTAAGAAAATATTTTTCGTAATTTCTACTTTAAGGGGGGAAAATTTGTATGAAAGACTTTGTTCTTTGAAATTAGAAGCATAAAAATTTGAATTACAGCTACTGAGCATAAATAAATAATGAAATATATTTAAAATTATTGAAAAAAGAAACGCCCTGCCAAATTTTTGTCTCTTAAATTTTTTTTTCTAGATAATTAAAATTGGGAAATAAAGTCAGGTATTTAAACTTTAAAGCGCTCGTTCCTATTTGGCAATGGTGTAAGGTTGTTTCTTAGGGATTCATTCGTTTCATTTTAAGTTCTGCACTTCCATCCTTTTCTCTTATTTAAGAGTAAAGTTGTGATTTGACCGGTCATTTGATTAAAATAAACATAAAATAAAACAAAACAAACAAAAAACAATATTTTTTCGGAACCGTCAAGAATGGCTAATACAAAAGTGCACTGGAATGGAGCGAGTGTGATTTATGAACTGCGTGCCTGCAGAGCGACACTAGGTTAACATTTGATCAGTGAGAGTGCAATTTTTGAACACAGAATAATCATGCAACGAGTGTGCAATAACTCCATGTCACTGCTTGAATTCGAAAATGCTAAATCGATATGTAACATGATAAATATTTTTTATTTTAAGTATTTTGACCGAATTCGGTAGTGGTCAATTGACCATACCCAACATTATTTAAGAGAAAGGGAGAGTGATTTCAGAATAGTTTGGGTCAATTTTGTAAACCTTGTATTTGTATATGTTGTCAGTTGTGTTATTTTATTCTAATCTAAATCGTCTTTTGTGTTTATATATATTTTTATCCAGATTTATATAATGTTTTTACAGCGATTTACTAATGTATAATAAATTATATAAGTAAATAAACGTACCATGATCATTTTATAATTATAATGGTACAAAAAAGTACTGCATAATAATACATTGAACTGATCTTCACAACAGTATTTTATACTTTTTACAAATTCCTACAGCCTAAACCACAATTTTCGCATATTCAAGTCCCTGAACACAAATATAAATGTTTTGTTTAGAAAAGTATCCATTGAAATTAATTTGATACAAAGCATTTTTTCGTCATATACAAAAATTACCTGGATTACTTCTGAATATGCTTTTTATAATCACTTATGATATTATAATAAAAATAAAAATCGATCATAACAAATAATCATTCATTATAACAAATTAAAACAAAGGACCCAACCTTATTAGGTTTTTAAATTAGACCCTTTTCGCATTATTACTATTTAATGATTATAATCCAATAATCAGTTACAATCAAAAGTATGTAAACCAATAGAAATGTCTAAAAAATTACACAGTTTTAGATAATCGTATTAGACCCTTCATGACTCGTTAATTACTAGGCGACCTTGCCAAATGTCAAATAAGTATCGTAGCGCTTTAAACTTTAAAAACCGTAACTTTAATATTGTTTTTCTCAAAATCGGATATCAATTAAAAAAAAATGAATGTTTATGCATTAATATCTATCATCTTCTGAAATAAAAAAGAGGATTCCCATTATAATAACAATATAAGTTAAAACGTATTAATGGTAAAAATAGAAAAATATCTGTGAAGTTTAATTAAGCATTTTGAGTTTTCAACTTGGATACATTTTCAATGCTGCTTATCCTTTTTGAACAAAAAAATAAAAATTGTTCTCCAAGATAATAATGGGATGTGAGTTTCCTTAAAACTTTTGCTGCAATTTTCTCTCCTACACCCCCTAATAATATTTTCCCCATTTTGATAATTTTTTTCTTCCACAATTATTACCCTGTATCTCTCCTTAAAGTTTTGGTTCAATTTTTCCCCGTCCAACCCAAATATTTTTCCCTATTTTGATGTTCAAAAATCCTAAATGTCAAGTTTTAAAATTCTTAGATTTTCTCATTTCCCATTAACTTTTATTCATTTCTGAAAACAAAAATTTACAATTTGTAAAATTTTGTATAAATAACTTTTTGTTTATTTTATTATCTACGAATTCTGCTATTTTAATTTCTTTATTATCTTGAAATCTACTTTATTCATCAAAATGATACATATTGATGAAAATGTGAAGCATTAACATTTTGCTGTTTTTTAAATTTAAATTTCATATCATTATTTTACAGTCATAAGGTCCCATTCCTTAACTATTAGAAATAGAATTACCTTTAGTAACTCCTCTGTCAGCCTCCATATTTATTATAAATTTGACTTAATATATAACTCTTATAACAAGTTATAAATAAATAAAACATTAATTTTTAAGCTAAGAAGGGGATCCAACCTGTCAAATATCATCTTCCATGAGGAATAAAAACTCAAAATTCATCCCAGATAAATCTTGAATTTTTATTTGTTATAATAATAATAATAATAATACTTTATAAAAACTTAAAAAGTTACAAAAAGCAATTGACTTGGGCTCTTCAGCCAGTGGTTTAGCATAAGTGCTTTTTTTACATAATTAAACATAAATTATGACATATATATGTATATAAAAAAAGGCGATTGAAATTGAGGAATGGTTGGAGTAAGGCTATTTTGCTTTTACATTTTTACTTTTAAATTATTCAATGAATGGTGATTGGATATTTCTATATTCAATGGTTTATTGTCATTCTTTTCCATCACTTATAATATAAACAAGTAAATTACAAATGTATTTGTTTTTTTTTGCAGCCTTTAGCTAATGAAGGTAACTGGCCTTGGTGTTCAAAGGAAGAGAATGGATTGGCAGATAAGCGATTCAGATTCAATTTAACATCTCTGTCAAACCCGCGTCGTTGTGTAGGCTTTACAAGAAGAAGGGTTGGCAGAGGTGGTAGAATAATTTTGGATCGAATTTCAACAAATTATGATGACTTCTGGAGGACATTAGATTACTCTATAACAGAACCTGATAGAGAACCTAGCACCAGCACAGCTCAGGAGCTCGGTACAATAATTCAACAAACTGATATTAAAAGTGAAATTAGTGTTAGTAACAGTGCACGGATAAGTGATAGTGTGATTAGTGATAGTATTAAGGTGGAGATTAAGAAGGAGCCAGAAGAAGTGCAAGAAGAAGGGGTTACTCCATTGGAACCTGTTTATTCGAAAGAAGAAAATGAGGATATGGTTGATTTTCTTAGGTCACTTAGGAGGGATTGGTAAGATATTTTTTTGCTTATTTAGATAAAAAAAATTTCTGAGCTTTTTTCTAATTTTCCCCTATGAATTAATGAACATTATTGTTGAACATCAAAAGTAAAAAATCTATTAAAAAATAGAAAAAATTCAGTTCCAGGAAGGATTCTAACCTTCCACATCTGCTTTTTACTCATGCTGACTTACGGAACTGACCATTAGCAAATTCAATGTCCAGAGTAATAATTGTTAATTTGAATATTAGATTCGAATCTTAACCCTTTCTAACCGGGCGTTTTTTTAGGTGACTGGACTCACAAATGGCGACTTTCTGTACTTGCACTTTCTTGCTTTTCCCATATATTGCCTGTGTTCTTTATTGTGTTTCAGAGTGTTTGAATGTAATATTCATCATCAGATTCTAACAAAAGTCTCTCAATTTCTGCTTCAGTTCATTTTATTGATATAAACCCATTTACTTTTAAAAAACTTAGACCCAATAAAAAACTTGCTGTATTGCAGCTGTCTTCCACAGCTTCCAAAGTTCATGTGCTTGCCATTTCTCACAACTATCGAAAAAAAAATTCTCTGGACTTAAAGGGTTAAACAGTAGTGACAGAATAATATAAATTTTTCAGTAAACCACTAGTACACCATAGTCTAAGGATACATACCTGATGCATGCAGTCCATCTGTTTTTGTTAAGTTTTCTGAAAAATTGCGACTATTCTCACTGTTTAAAGATTTGAATCTAATATTAAATTTAACAATTCATACTTTGCTCATCTAATGTCCTGATGGTTGAGTTGTTAAGGCAGTGTGCATGCAGATGTTAATCCTTTCCATACATAATTTTTTTGAATACATTTTTTTTTTACTTTGTGGGTTCAAAATTTCAAAAATACTTTTAAATTTTTTTTTTTAAAGGACTGCAATTTTCTTGTGGCAAATGGCTTTCGGTCTAATCTGCTGAATTTTATATAAGTATGTTACAGTTTATACATTGTAAAATAGTGACACTCATTGAACCAACTTTTTGGCTCACCCCATATAATAATAATACTCTCCCTAATTCACCCCCTTACGAGTGAATTTTAACCCCAAAAGCTGAGCTTGTGCCGTATATATAAGCACCGTACTGATGAAGACCAATAGTCAGAAACACGTGTCTACGGTTTGCCCTTCAGGCTTTTTTTTTTTTTTTTCTCTCTCTTCTTTTTTGCGGTATTTCCCAATAACCTTTTTTCTTATAATAGTATATATAGGTATATTTTTTATAATAATAAAGTGTCATTTACACACACTTATATATTCATATGTAAACAATCAATAATTTATAATCATTATTTTAGGTGTTAAAGGATTTTTAAATTTGCAGTTTTTCTACTTCAATTTAATAAATTACTCGCCCTATATAGTTGTTTTCCAAAAAGGTTGGTATTGTATTATGGTATACAAATATCTTAGAGAGTCAAACTATAACTTTTAATCTTTATGAGTATCAGCAAAATAACATTTACATTTTAAAGTATTTTTAAAAATAATGAGAATTCACAATTCAAAAAACTAGTCATAGGATAACTGGATGTCCATGAACTTTTAATCAGGAGGCCAAAAACTGCAATATATAAAATTCAGCAGATTCGACTGAAAGCCATTTGTCATAAGGCAACTGAGGGGTCATTTCCAAAAAAATTATATTTATTGTTTCTACACCCACATGGATATCAGCTTATCTTCGAACAGACTACAAAACAAAAAGTATGTTACTGTGTTCAACTGAATGAATATAATTCATATCCATTTTAGGTAGTGAGAACAATGCAAAAAATGAAATCCATAAATCACAGTTCATATTTTGGTCACCCAACTACTATTATTTTTAAAATTTTAAATGAGTGATAATTATTCTGTCAAATTGTCAATATATTTTTTTAGTTATTGAGATTGAATATACATTAAAATGAGTTATTTTTGTGTAGAATTTATAAATAATAGCATTTCTATTTTTATTTCGTCAACATTTTCAAATTATATGAAACTACATTAATTATGAGTATTAGAATTAAAATTCTAAATCTGGTGGTGGAGATGAGGAGACAGTGTCTGTCTTCCATGAGAGAGACCCAAGTTCGAATCTCGTTTGGGGACTACTAAAATAAAATCTTTTTTTTTTAAGGTTTATTTTATTATATAAATTAGTAAAAGTCGTAAATAATTTTAAACTTACTTATTTTGTCTTAACCTTAGATTTTCGTAAGTGGGTCATAGAAAAAAGAGTAGAAGAATCTTTATTTAATATACTGTACAACATGTTTCAGCCATCTTAACTTACTCAATCGAGCACCACCTTTGTAAATAATTAATAAAAGGGTGCAGTCAGTTAAAGATTTGGTAGAAAATAATTTGATTCTTAAAAGATAATGTATCAGGTATAGGTGTTCTGTCAGCTATTGGTGCCAGCCACTGCCTTATGTCAAAATCTTTAAACATCAATTCAGAGAAAAAGTAGAGTTGGGTGATTTCATGATTTTTCATAGTAAAATTCAAATAAATGAGATTATTTGCTCAAATCATTAACAAAATTAAATATTAATATTTTTCAGAAAAAAATGTTTATTATCAAATCAGTAGAAGAAATTGTTAAGAATGTCAGGTTTTCGATATTTTTGATTAAAAAACAACTCTATATAAATTGTTTATTTAGTCCAAAAAAAAAGTAATAGTTAAAGTTTACTCATTTGTAACTGACAGGTACATTTAGGCAGTTAATATATTTAAAAATTACATGACATTAATTATTATATTTTTTAGGTGTCCAGTTTATTTTTTATTTTTTTTTTTCTAGGTTACATTTTCGACCTAAAACCCCACCACCTGACTATGAATCCCCATGTGATATGCTTCTATCTGAAGAGACATTCTTCAACCCCAGTGCCAACCCATTCTCCATGGAGATACAAACGTTGGATGCACCAAGCTCTACACTCCTGGACACCTCCACTTTTGTCTCTGATCCATTTTCACTCGACCAGTTGGACTTGGACACTAGACAGCCTTTGGTTGTCTCGTCCACTCTCAATACGCTTATACCTAGTGTTAGTAGTGATAATAATGACATCGACAATTTATTGTCAAGTGATTCTAGTAGTGATAGTGACTTCAGAACTATCGGTTGTTCGAACTTTTCAGTGAATGATTTAAGCAGCACCGAAAATTCTGCTGATGTACCTGTAAAATCTCAACAACAGCAGCAGCAGCAACATCAACATAAAGTTCAATATTCCAGTACCTCTGCTAGTCCTAAAATTAATAATGTGAATACAATATCCTCAAGTGGGGAAGATAACAGTAAGCCAGCAAGAACTAATACTGATGTCTTACATGGAAATACCAACGGATTGTTGACTCAGTTTTGTTTTGATGGTACAAAAAGTAAGTTTTTCATTTCATTGTTGTTTTAAATGAAACTATAAAACAAATAAAATGTGTGTTAGTATATTTTAAATAGTTAAATACACTATAAGGTAAAGGTCGCAATGGTCATGAGGTTAAGAAACATTTTACACATTTTTCACTCAGTTAATATACAATATGTAAGCTTATAGAAGTCTTTGACAGTTACTTTTAAATTTTGATTAAGCTAAATCTAGAGTAAAGTAGCTTTCATATACAGGAGTCCCCAAAAAATTTTATACAGCTGGAAAAAATGTTTTATCTAACATTTCTCGAGCAGAAAATATTACCAACATTTTTTGTCAATTCTATGTAGCCAAATGCCACTGATTGTCAGAGCATTCAAACAATCTAAAGTATTGTTACAATAAGAAGGCAGTGATGTCACATGATAAAAAAATGTAGGTAAAGATAACATTGTGACAGTATTCTTTCTTTTTTATTAGCATGAATTTAAGTGCTATTAAGTTATAACTTGGTTGAAGATTGGAATGGATTTAAAAAAGAACTGCTAGTCTATATAACAATAAAATCTTGACTATAAAGCATTTTCAATAGTAGTAAGAAAAGTGTTTTATGATTCAAATAAAATAATAGTTTTATCTAGTTTTTAATTTTTATTTTAATACATGAAATCATACTAATATAAAAATATTTAAACAAGAAAATTGTATAATATATTTTTTAATTATCACTTTCTTCGCTCCTACTGATATCTTGGCTCAGGTTCACTACCAATAAGATAACATTTTCCCATGATTGCTGTTTCCATTTTGTTAAATGCTATTGTTGATATAGTTGGTTATGTATAACTAGAGGTAGTAATAAACGTAATAATTATGGACTTGTTCTCTCTAAGCTGATTTTTATGGAATGTTCACTAATCTTCTAGAGAATCCTCACTATCGACATCCTCATCCAAATTAATAATAAAGTGGAGGCACATCCTCCATATAAAATAATTAGTGAAGAATAAAAATAATTAGGGTAAAAAAATCTGACTTGACAATTTGCATTGAACAACAATCTTAATTTCGGTCTGGCAAGACTTTGGTCAAAGTATTAACGTACTAGATCAATTTTATTGAAAAGAGGAATGAAAGGCAAACATTTTCACGTTTAACTTTATCTTATACCTTCTATAGAAAATTTATTGTAAAAATAAATATATTAAGGGTAGTCTGGCAAATGATTGTGTAAAGATTAAGGATGCCAGAATTTGTATTTTCTACTGCTGTTCAAATCCTATCTAATAAAAAATAAATTGTACTTAATACAACATGTCAGAGGATATCAACGATTGATTAATTGAAAAAATTAATATTAATAATAATTTAAGTAGTTTATAAGCTTTACAACCAAATGGTTATCAACCTAGGTCTTTCAAAAAAATTGTAGTATAATTTCAATTGCATCAGGATGCTCATTTTTATTTTATTAATATTATTATTTAAAGTAAGTACAGCAAGCGGTAATGCCAATTAGCTGCTTTTAAAGTCACAGTAAAATTAAATAAATCTATAATGGATACCATATTTTTTTTTTTTTTTGATGGGCTATGTACGGTCATAATATGATTTATGAAAATATCACTGTATGAATGAAGGCTCAGGACATATTCGAGATTCATATCTGAAAATAATTTGAATTGACCTAAGTGCATTGGTGTCTGTACTGATGGAGTTCGCTTTATGTCTAGCAGCTATGGATGATTGATTTAAATCACAAAATATTCTGTGGACCCATTGCATTATCATAGAGAAGCACTTGCTCCTAAGCATTTGAACCCTGCACTGAATGTGGTAAATTTGATAATATCTCATATATTGAAAGCAAGTTTTTTTTAAATTGTGTGAGGATATATGTGATTCGAACACTAGCCTTTGTTGTACTATAACAGTTCATGAGGACTCTCTCATGTTAATGTTTTATTATGTACCTTTGCTTTGTGACAAGAAATGTTTATTTTTCTTAAAGACAGGCTGATGCCGATTGTTTTTTTATATGACATTTTTGAAAGGTTGAATTCTCTCAATCTCTCCTTACATGGAACCTTAAAACAACTCAAACTGTGGAGATGAAAATTGAATGAAATCAGGCATAGATTTTGTTTTATTATTGCATCAATTTTTGATGTCAAATGAGCTTGATCTTTCTCAAGATAAAAAAACTATGTTTGAAGGGCACTTATCACAGCTAATTATCTAGTTTAAGACATACTTTCAAAATGACAATTTCTATGGGTTTACATGGATTCAACATCCATTTAACACTAGTGTCCCATCTAAGTTTACTTCTGCAGAGGAAGATAATCTTATCGAGTTATTTTGTGACAACAGTTTGATAGCAAAATTATTTGGCAGCATGGAATTGGCGGAATTTTAGAATTCAATAAAATATTCAATTTTTGACATTGTATTCCTGTGAAGTTGAATTTTTGGCCATCGCTGTAATAATAAGCAAGTATACAGCAAAAAAACAATGTGGAAAAGAAAATTAGGGTGGCCGTCACATTAATTATTAATTTTATGTTAAAAAAATAAGTTAAATAATGAATCTTCATGAAAGACTAGTTTTATTGTTCATACTTTTACTTAGAGTACCATGGAGAAATTTTAATTGAAAAAAGAGGCGCAACTCAGAAAAGTATGGTAACCCCTAGCTTAAGGTATAAAAACAAATCTAAAAAATATGAATCAATACTGTTAGTCCTCTGTCTAAACTAGCCTTTAGCCCACTTAAGTTATAAACATCTTGAGGAAATTTCTTTGGATCAATTCATGCTTTAATTACATTATTTTTATTGCAGTATCTCCTACTAGAACAAAAAATAATAGATACGCTTATTCTGGAGCAGTGGGATATCCAAATGCTTCATCAGGTACCCTGAGTCTCCACACTTCTGCACATACTCTTACGCTTAATAGTCATAGGTAAGTTTTATTTATATTTTTCATTAAAGTCGGATACCAAAAAAGTGTAATTAGATTTTTTGTCAATAGACATATTTTTATTTAAAATGTGAACACATACAAAATTTACCAGCACACAATCAAAATAATATTGACAATAATAATGTCTTTATTTATCTAATTCATACATATACATTTACAATACAGCTGTCTATCATTAACATACTGACTAATTATTGAGACATAGAATAATACACAAATACAAAAATTTGAGGATCAAATACGTCATAAATATATTATGTATGGACCAGAAACTACCTACAATTCTTTATGAAGTTGTATTATTTTAGATAAAAAATCTAATATTTTTAGAAATATTTAAAAATTTTATATTAAAAACATAAGTCAGCATCAGAAGCCAAAATCACTCGTAATGCCCGTCAGTTTGGAAATACATAAAATAGTTCATTGTTTGACTAGCAAATTCAGTCATTATCGGAACCATCTAGTCAAATGATGTAACTTCAAAAGTCTACTTACGTTACGCTGTTGTCTTGAAGTCATTCTTAGTTATGTGCTCAGCTGCTCAGTCAATTGATGTAATAGGTGCCACTGGTATTGAGTTGTATTAGAGGATAGTTTAGCCATATGTGTAATATAATCCTATGGATGAAAAAGTAAAGTGTATTTTGTATAAAACTGAAACATTTATTGGAGAACATAGAAGAGAGGCTGAAAAGAGCAGCAAGAGAATATGGATCCTGATACAGCTAAAAATTACTGCCTCTACAAATTGTTTCTAATGTTTTGTTCGTCTATCTTTGATTGTCTTAACATTTGCCAATTGAAGATTCTCAGCTGTTTGATTAATATGACCCAAAATATCAGCCTTCGTTTTTGATATTTCCTGATTAGTTTTTAGAGGAATAATTATAGTTGGGGTTGATTCATCCTTCAGTATCTCTGAATATTTCCGTTGCTAAGAAGTAGGCACATTTGTGGAAGCCTTTACAACGTCACATTTCATAGAAGTAACTTGATTGTTTATTGTAGAAACAGCAGTATCTAGTTTAGATTCGATAATTTAATGCATTTAATATAATGCATGATATCATAAAACCTGAGCATTTCAAGGACAGCCCTGAAGTTGTTGATTTTTGTAATGCAGATAACATTAAACAAGTTTTTGCAGACTTCACAAGAAACACTGGGGTTCTGCTGATCGCTAAAAAATAGGTACCACAATAATGAATTGTGAAAAAATATTAGAATCTTCATCAATGGCTTTTTGCTTGGACACAGATTATACACAAACTGAGCACTTCACAAATTTAAAATATTGGCATTATTTCATTGGCACAGAGATTAACAGCCTAAAATGAGTAAATTTTCAAAGTTTCAGAGTTTGACTAGGTGGTCCCCGGCAATGACTGAATTTATCACCCAAAAAATTGTTTTGTTTCATCGTTTGCATCTCTGTACTTACTAGTCATTATGCGGAATGACAGATTTCGGCGTCTAACGGCCACATATACAGTATATTATTTCAAATAATAACTCATCTACAGAAATTTTTGGATTTTCCCTCATACTTATAATGAATAGAAATTTTAAAATGTATTTTTTAGTGCCAACATATTGGATATACCAATGACTAACGATTCTGAAACAAACAAGATGGATGCAGAAGCCACTGGGGGGCCTGTATCTTCAAATAATAAATCCAAGAATATAGTTCGAAAAAATAACATCATAATGGAGGTAACGTGATGATCGATTTCATGCCTGCCATCCTTAAGGATTGCAGGATGAGGAATAAATTGAGTACAGGGTGTTGTATTACACAAAACAAACAAAAACAGCATATATATGCTTGCATGATTTCGGTGTTAAGTTATGATTTATATAATATAGAAACTAGAACTCGTATACCACTTGCTAAAAAAAAAAAAATGAAGATAGAACATTACTGTACTTTTCTGCTTTGAAACGATTCTGTATTAAAAGAAAAAGTTGAATTTAGAGGATACTAATAGATACCTAAGTACTTCTTACAGTTTTTGTTATGCATTTATTTTTACAATTATTGTTATGCTCTTTAAACGTTATTATATAGTACTATAAATTATATATTTATTCATCAGAGTTGTTTTTTATGATTTTCTCAATAGCCTCATTTTTTGTAGCAAATTTTTATACAGCTCTTCAGTGACAAATAATTTTTTTATATATATAAAAAAAAGATATATTCATATTTTTTTAGCTGTACTTAATGGTAATTTCATAATGAAAAAATGGTTAAAAACTTTGGGTACAGTTGTTTCCATATTTAAAAAAATATCTGACACATTTTTTATAAAAAATTAAGAATTGCTCATTGGGAAATTACCAAAATGTTGGAAAAAAACATTTAATGGGATTCTTTAAATTACAATCATTTGTTTTAATCTAGTAGATGTGTTTCTTTTTTAACTATATAATTATTATCTCAATGATTGACTATCATTTTGTCTGCTCAGTTTTCATTTTAAAAAATGAATAAAAAATATTAATAAATAAATGGATATTACGTTTCATTTGTCATCAGAAGTTTATGCAACTTAAAACAGTGTTCTCTTGAACTAATATTCTCTACCGAAGTGTGATAACTTTTTATAAAAAATATTGGACAAGGTGTTCATGAGAGTGGAATCTTTCCGAAGCAGAAAAATATTACATTTTCACTTCTAATATTGATGTGTTCATAAAAGTGATCATTATTCAAAAACTACTCATTTTTGGCTTTATTTCTATTCCTAGTTTCATATCTATGGTATTCGCATAATTCCATCGACACAATGTAAAAAAAAACAAAGTGGTCCTAAATAATGATGTGCTCTGTATAGATTAAACATTTTTGAACGTGAATTATTTTTCTCGATATAACCACATTACCTTATAAAAAAAAAATTTTTCCAATAAAAATAATACAAATTATTTCATATACCAAGAATATGTACTATTATTAATATAAAAAAAATGTGTAGTCTGTACAGAGCATTAGATTTGTGTAGGACTAATGTAAAAAAAATAAAAACTGTTAAGCTAAGAGTTCTTAATAACTTATTTTCATTTTGTAGTTATTGTAATTATAAGCAAAACTAGTTATATCTGTATGAGGCTGTTGATATATTATTAGTAACTTATTATCTTTTTTGTAAATTAACTTTTGTTGAATGTACTTACTTCATTAGATCATTTTTGTATATCTAAATTTATTATTGTATATTTTTTTTTGTTAATATGAATTATATGCATTTTTTATTTTTGTACTTTGGTCCTGATGTTTATGTGCCTGTATTGGTTTATTCGCTGGAAAATATATACTACACTTTTTCTAACAAAACTGTTGTTCTCTTTCTTTAATTTGAATTAATTTCTATAAAAAAAAACACATTTTTACAGGAATTTGTATTATGGCAAAATATAAGTCCAACAATTATATTGGAAATTTGACTGTTAAAAGAATGTTTCTTTTATAAACAAATATTGTATTGTTGCTTATTACTGTTAAAATATTATTATGTTTATATTTGAAAAGTCCAACCATTGTCATTAATTAAAATTTCAAAATTATTTTTGAATTTAAAAGAAACTAATGTATGAAAATTTATTTTCTTTCTAAATATTTTTAATTTGTTAAACTGCGTTATTAAAATGAAAAACATACTTTTTCATGTATTTTTTGGACCATATTTCTTATTGCAATAACATTTGTTAAATATTTAAATGACAACGATTTTTATATTCCCCCTGTATACATACCAGCAACATTATTCATTAAAATGGATATGCAGCCGTTAATTAAAATTTAGTAGCTTGATAAATTTTGACAAATGTTTAGACTAAGAATAATTTGAAGTTCACATCATTCAAGCTCTGGCAAATTTTATCAGGCTCATACAGTTTAATGGATGTGCAACTAGCTGTAAATGTTTTAAAGTATTTGAAATGGCTGTCCAAAAATTAATAACTCTCAGGCAAAACAATATATTTTGTATATTTGAATTTTGCAAAAGCCACTTACTAAGGTGAAATCGTTTCTTAAGATTCAAATTACCAGAGCCCGTATGTTAATAGGTCATGACGTAAATAACACATGTTGATTTAACACGCATTTGCGCTAATATGATACATCATAATTTAGTCGTTTTAATCAACCAAAATAAAGACAAGACCCTGAATTATATTTTGTTTTATCTCTGTCTGTTCAATAGTATCGTTTATCTATACCGTTCTCCTGGAGTCAGTATTGAAAAGTTAAAGTACTACATACAATCGTCTGTCTTTACCCTATTTTCACGTCATTAATTATATGATTTCAATATATACATAATTTGTTCATCATTAAATCGACAAATGTTTTGATGAAGTGAAGTCCGTACCTGTCATGACCTTTTAACATATATGGACTCTGTTAATTCTAATAACATGCGAGGGCGTACCCCAAAGAAACAACTAATTTTGTACAGAGCTACAGCCACTGGATTGTCAGCACCTGTTTTACAGGGACCGTAATTGGTATGCTGACATGAATGGCGATTCTACCGGCAAATCCTGGTACTACAAAAACTCCTAGCCCCCTAACATCAGGTCGGTTTCTTTTGGGTTTCCCCTCGTATAATTAAGTTTTTAAATTATAGTTTTCTCTGGATTACAAAAAAACTTTGATGGATAGAAGTTTGGGTTGTAGTTTATTTTAAAGATGTTATTTTCGATCAAAATTTGTGGTATAAAAAAATTCTTGTTAGAGAGATTACCATTAATTCATGCTATTAAATCCGAAATAAGATTTAGTTTAACATTGTTAGTGTTCCTTTATCTAGAAAATGTAATCTTATAAATCACGAAAAAGGTTCCATGTCTCTTTAAAATGAACTTCTACATACCAAACTTTTAGCCATCAAAAAGTTTCTTTGTAATTGAGCGCTATATTTTAAAAACTTTAAAATTTAATGCGAAAATTCACTCTAGTTATTGGTTTTTAGAGAATCCAATGAATAAATAGTTTCCGAGATATTTAGCACACAAGTTTTTATAGAGATACTCTTTATACGGTGCTGGCAAGATCAAACCTTCTGGTCTGCTTTGCTTCTATCGGAGTGAATAAAAATTAGCGTTCCCATTTGCAGGAGAAAAATAATATCAGTGTTGGCAGTCACAAGTCGGGTTACCACTCATTAGTGCACTGCGTATCATTCCTTTTCCTACATATGTGAACGCCATTTATGTTTCACTTCAACACAAGAAAAGCTCTGCTGTAGGTTTGATCTTGCCAGCACTGCAGTCTGGGGCGTATAAAATTCTGAAAGTATAATAAAAATATGTAATAAGACAATGACATGGTTTATGGGTAGTTACAAATATATATGCTGTTCACACAATATTTTAAATCGGGCTTGGGTTGACATAATTCACTGCATTGATTGTGGGCTACAATACTTTATATTCATAATTTAACGCTGTTACCATCACAGTGGATACAAAGTAATCTTTTATGATAGGGGATCAAGAGTTAAGGATATGAAATCAGAATTTGGTTCCTATATGGTATCGAGCAATGAATATCTTCTGATACCCCTTGGCACAAGTGCGTGTGAAAACTACAGAAAGGCAGTGCTAGATCAAGCAGGAAAGAAAGAAAACCATTTATACGACCCGATCGCTTTGTAACGTCTGCCAGGTCGTATAAGCTGGCATCGCTGGATTTTGTTTCTTTCATGCTTGCTCTAGTGCTGGATCTCTGTAGTTTTCACACACACACTTGTGTCAAGGGAAATTAGAAGGTATTCATTGGCCGATATCGTATGTCTTTGGTGACGTTGATCATATCATTAATAATTTAAATATTTTCCCCAATAAATCATTAATTTTTGCAGCAATCTTATGATAAATAGTTATCCACAAAACATGTTTCTACAGTAGGCCATGAACGACAAAGGCAGAGATACAAGTCATATCCATGATAAGTACGCCTCTGAATTAAATTTAAAAAAGTAAAATAATTGTATAATCCGACATCCATGGCCTAGTTTAGAAAAAAAATGTATAATTACAACAACAGGCTTACATATTACTGTTAAATAATAGATCACTCAGACAGTAATTAAATAACTAACACAATATTAACTTTTTATTTGAAATAGCTGAATAATTAAGAAATTCGTCTTCTTTAATAGTTCGTCTTTAGTTGTATTTGAAGTTGCTGTATTGCATTTTAGACTAACATCTTTTCATCTTCAGCAATTATGTGGCAACATTTATCACATTAACAATGTCAAGCTTACTATCAACTGTGAATATTTGACTTTTATGCTCATGCCTGATTTATAAATAATGTGAGCAGATGGTACAATTTTTACGTCTGAAAATGGTGCATATAATTAATCTTTTGCTTTGGTCAATTTTTTTCTTTAAATGTAATGGATTAATTTTACGCCAATTCTGAATAATTTGCAATTTTTTTAATTAAATCCTTTTACAGATCTAAAATGTTTTCATAATACCTTGCTCTTGTATAATATGGTTAAAATTATACTGGATACATAGTAGTGTATCAAAGTATGTAAATTGAATAAATCAATAAAACTAATTGCATTAATAACATCAGGTGACTAGTGATTAAAAGAGTTAAAAAAAACTACATTTTCCTATTGTAACATATTTTAACATTTCAGTATTCATTCAACCCATTACTAACCTATTCACATGCATACTAAGGGATTGTAAGCTAGACATAATTATAATCATTTAAGTGAAATCTGATTATGGATTAATTATTCTAAGTTTGAAAAACTGTTTACTGCATTCATTTAGTAAAAAAAAAAATAGTAACCAGCTTTGACTAAATTGAATCTGCTACTACAAAAAGATGTATAGTAAATTTAACCACAGTTTCTGGGGTCGAAAATAAGTCTATTTAAGCTAACTTTGCTTTATAAAAAAATGAATAGTAAAAAAGTTTGTTAAAGTAGAAATTTTAGAAGTTATTTTTTTGTCCTTACTTGTTTTTATAAGGGTTCTTTCTGCACTCATTTTAAAACGTGATATCACTGAAATCCTACATATGTTTTGTATTTGTTTTTATCTCCTAGTATTTGTAAAAGCTTTAATTACTGAGTTACATATTATATGCCACTGAAGGAAAAGAAGAAGAAAAATTGATCATAAACCATTAAACATTTGTTCACGATTTTTTTTTTATTATTATTTTACAACTTCATTTATCATTCTAGTATTATCGATCACCTATGAAGTTGTAAAATAGTAAAAAAACAAATATTCAGTGGTTTAAGAAAAAATTCAATATGAGCACTATGACCTTCCTTTAGAAATTAAGGCTTTCACAAATACTTAGAGACATAAAAAAAATTCAAAACAGATGTAGGGTTTTAGTGGCGTTGTTTTTAACTGAATTCCATTGTCTAAAGGGTCAAAGGAGTGTGCAACCCTTCTAAAAACAGAATTAAATTAATTTTATTAAATGGCATTAACTTCATTTTATTGGTCACTGTATACTAACATCGCACGTATATTTTCTTGAGCCGTTTTAGAGTAAGCAAAAAATCACTTCTGAAATTTCTACTTCAACACCTTGTAACTTTTCTACTATCCATTTTTTATGTAAGCAAGTTAGCTTTAATTGACTTATTTTCGATCCCAAAAACTGTGGTCAAATTTTGTTACACCTTGTAAATATTGTAAAGTCTTTAGCACATGGATACAAACTTTTACGATTCCATAATAACATTTTTAAATGGTGCAAGATAATAATGACAGTAATAATTCTAACAAAATTAATGTTCAAAATTATTTTGTATGTATCACATATTGAACACAAATCTCAATAGTTAAATAATACTATTGCTTGATGACCTGGAATATAAAGTCATTCAGTATTGGAAAAATTTCATATATCTAGAATTGTCTAGTTCCTTCTATTGGTTTTTTAACTCATCACTAGTCAAAAAATGAAAAATGTGTTTAGTTTTGTTTTACTGGATTGTTTTTAAATAAAGCCTTTGTCACATTCACTTGAAATTGTAAATATATTTTTATTTTTTTGTAAATACATGTAAATGTATAAAACAGTATTTTTTTGTACAAAATTGTAATTTCTGTTTTTAGATATTAAGCACTTGGTTATGGTAAAGGCGTTATTTAAAAATACGAACTAAATAGAATCGATGGTGCAAAATAGAAATTAAGTAAAATATTTGGGGCACATAAAAGAATAAAAAAAAAACAGAACGAATCTTTTGGTGCTTTCATAAAGCGAATTTGTTGTGGGATAACATATTGGCTTTTCCACTGAATTCTTGTACATTTCAAGTTTAGATTATGTCACGTTAAATTAACATTAATCGGTAATTATAAAAAAAAAGTATAGTAAGAGACTGATTTGAAGAATATTTTTGTGTATTAATAAAAAACAAAAATATAAATAGAAAAAAAAGTGATTGACATATTGGAACTGCACAAATTTCAGGGATTGCCAATATTTTTAACTTTTTCACCTACACGAAAAACTTTAAAGATGTGATCCTTTAAATATAAACTTACATTTTTGGTCTTTGTCATTGATCGTATTAGGATTTTGAATTAAGCCCCATAAAACATTCCTCGATTACGCGCTCTATATGAATTGTAAAAAAAGTGATTCAACAGTAAAAATTACAAAAAGGTGTGATCATATAACCATTAGAATTATTATAAATATTATCTATTAAGCAGTTGTCTGTTGATTCACTGAGATTTAAAACTATTTATACGGGATGGCTTGGATTTGTTAAGATTGTCTCACACTTTTTTCTTATATACAACCAACTTATTTTGAGGGACATGTGAGAGATAACTGTTAATTGTAATGATCATATATTTTAACTGTTAGTTTGCTTAATATTTTCGGTGATGGATTAAGGCCTACATCAAACTAAATCTTTTATGGAATTCTAATTTAAAATTCCATTTATCAATTACATATTTTCATGTAATTATTTGACTTGTTGGAGATAATAAAAACACAAAGACAAATAAAATATGTGTATTCATGTATTTAATGTCTGACTGACAATAGTCGTAAGTTGAATTTCTAAAACAATAGAGATTTGATTTTTGTGGGCATTTGGTTTTCATTTTATACTGAGTAATCCTGATCCTACTAATATTTTTCTGATACTTTATACATCTCGTGTAGATATAAAAATTCTCTTTAATCACTTCATATATAACATGTCGCGGTATAGTTGATAAAACTTTTCAACTTACATTTTGTAATTTAATGGTAAATGCTTAGCTGTCCGTAATCTTAACATATTCATATTTTTAAGTACTTTTACTGCAGATAGTCCCTACTGTATCATTGTGTTTTGCCGACATGATTGCGGACTGCTTCATTAGAATGTGGTATTTATTTTATAAACCAATTTCTATATTACGGGTCTTTGAATGTTCTGGGTTTTCTCAATTAGGACATCTGAATGTGAATATTTGTAAATATGTGATTAGTTATGTGTAAGTAAATTCAAAAAGAAATAAAATCTCATAGCAGGTTTTAGAATCAAAATTTGTTTTTTTTTTCCTTTAATTTTGTGTGGTGCGATTGTTGAGACTAAAAATTCACCACATAAAATATTGACAATTATATCAACAAAATTGACTCAAGTTGCGGAAGTAAGATGAAATTTTTTCAAAGTCAATGTTTTGAAGATGTGTTTTTTATCGAACAGTACATAGATCATGTATATTTATTTATCAAAACTCAAACAGGTCTGTTGGCATTTTTTACATGAGTAGTGTTCTTAAAATAACAGTTAAATCTTTGTAATTTATGGTATGATGCTCACAATATGACAATGGTGCCTATTCTTGAAATCGGGGAGTGAGAAATATTGAGAGAAAATTCTCACTTTCTACTCCTTTGTAAAAATTCGTATTCATGAAATCAAATTCACCAAAATTGGTGGAGAATTTTCTCTCAAAACTTTCTCCTACTTTTAGGTAGAGAGAATGAAAATAACGAGAGAATTCAATTCACAAACATGCGCAGTGCTTGTCAGAAATTAAATAAAAATCAAAATATTACTATAACCTCATTGATGTTGTTAGTAGTTTTCAGGTATATTTATACATTTGCGCTATTTACTTTCCCTTTAAAATGGATTTAGACGCGAAAATAATAAGAATAATTTTTATTCAATACAGATACATTTTAGACAAATTGACAAAATGGAGCAACAACTTCTTTAGTTATAAAAGGTAGTAGTGTAAAACTATCCCCGTACACTATAATACTCCCCTTTTCCAATAGTAATAACATCTTTTAAATTTGTTTGTACTTTGATTTGTGTTTTTAAAATGATTAATTATTTAGGAAAGTAATAGGTAGGTACCTACCTCCTACAATCGTAGTTTTTAACTGTAAATAAAGACGTTTTAAAACTAAAACTAAACATTTAGAAAAATATTACTTGAATTATTGCCAAGATATTTGAATTTTTAGTTTGATAATTATTTAAAACAGTTAATATTATTTTTAATCAACAATAGTATTTTAAAATGTGTATACGTGAAAAAGTCAAAATTCCGTTGTCGAAAAGAAATAATAACCTAAATTCTTAAAATGCCAGAAGTGACATTTGCTGTCAAAAGCTCGTAGTTTCTAATTCTAATTGGTCGGATGATCTAAAACGATCTGATCTGACAACTCTGTATTTATTTTCACCATCTACTTTCTCCTCCCTTGGCTTTCACGTTATTTCAAGAATACCAATTTTTTGGGAAAGTGAAAATAAAGTGAATATATTCCCCGGGGAGTTTCAGTTTCTCTCGTTTTCAAGCATACGCACCAATGTTTATAGAGGCAAATAAATAAAGCGCATAGTACAAAAAAATTCTGGATTGATATATCTATATTTAAAAACTTAAAATGAAATATACCTCAATATTCTCCAAAAATTAGATAACATATCTTCTCTTGATCACCTCATCATAGTCGGTGTTTTTAACTTTCTAGAAATTAATTGGCCAATAACTCGCACACCTGAAGAAGGTATTAACTCTAAAAATGTATTTTTGAACAGTTACCGTACCCGAATTTGAAGCTCGTATTGGTAAATCGGACCATTCAGTGGTAACGGGACATATCCAATTTAACCTAATAAAACACAGTAAACTGCACTACTTATGACGTCACAAAGTGAATCGGCTATTGTCTGAACTATATTGGAACAATTTGTTCGAAAATTCACCTGACTCGACATCAATGTGGAACAAATTTCATAATAAAACAACAGAAGTTATTTCACTAAATATCATTAAGAAAATATATAAGAATAAACTAAAACCTTGGATAAACTTAGAGGCAATATGGATGATAAAACAAACGAAAGCTCTGGAGAAAATACAAGAAAACAAATGATTTCCATGCCCATCGCAGATTTTCCAATATCCTAAAACAGCACTTAGACTCTTCTAAGAATAACTTTGAAGAATCAATTGTCAAAAATGGTAACGGTAAAGCTTTGTTCAAATTTATTCGATCTTCTCTCACATCTAAAGTATCTACACTTCTCTTTCAACATCATGATGTCACCCTATGCTCTTCTAATGACGAAACATCTGAACTTCTATCTCTCACCTTCTCACAAGTTTTCACTAGTGATCCTCATAATTACACCTTTCCACAACTGATCTGTCCCCATTGAAAATATTCACTTTATTCCATACCTTAACAAAACACATCTATTAGGGAGCGTTCAAGTATTATGTAACGCAATTTTTGGAGATTTTTAACCCCCCCTCCCCCATGCAACGCGCAACGTTTTTCTGTACCCCCCCCCCCTAGTAAAACGTTGTAACCACCAAGTGACTATTTTTTACCTAAAAATCACAATTATGTGGCGTAAAGTACCGGAAAGTCGCTAAAATACGCGACTTTTCTGAAGGGTTAAAAAATAATAATGTTACATAACGGGAAGTTCAACTCCCCCCTCCCGCCCCTGTAACGCATCGTAACGTTTTACAAAAGCCCCCTCCCCCCCAAATTCGTTACGTAATACTTGAACGCTCCCTTAGAACTCCATAACAATATATCCCCAGGACTTGATGGCTTAACTTCTCAATTTCTAAAGCAAAATTGATAAATTAGTTAATACTTTTTTAATAAATAATGTGACGAAAGTCTAATTTATTTTTAGTTTATTTGAAACACACTATTTACAATTTATTTCAGACGTACTATTTAGTTTATATTATACTTAGACACTAACTAACAATTCTAATTTATTTCTTACACTTTAACTTTTCATTACAATGTTCTATATTCAACTAAACACGTCGGCTATTTATATTAATCCAACTCCGCTACTGGAAGATACTAGAGGCTCTCGGACATTCCATTTCTATGACTAAACGGCACTCTCCGCCGTTCCAGCTGTTTCTAGTGCATCAGCGGCAGGCATTCCTAAACGTTCCGTTGCCTCGAGCACGAGTCGGTTGCCGTCTGAAGATCGAGCGTAAACAGGGTAGGCTTTAAGAATTTCATGACAATCTATTTTATATTTTTTGTAGAATATTTAATACTTTTATTTTTTGGGCATAATAGGCTTGTCCTCTGCCCTTACTTATATTTAATAATAATATGTAAAAAATTTGTACTTACTAGTGAATTTCAAGCCTTGAAGCCGACTGAGCTTGTGTGGGAAAGGGAAGGTAATTATTATTATTTGCCGTGTCGACTTAAAGATGATTGATGGTGCCATTTGACTTACAGGTGAGGAAAACCTCATCCACCATCATGTGGACTACTTCCCAAAAAAATTATACCATATTTTGCTATCCCCCCATAAATAATTTTAGTTGCTTCATTATTTAAACATTTACTTGTTCTAATTCCATAAACAATAGAATTGTATGTGGTCTGGACAGGGATTCTTATGTACGAACTAAACATGTTACGTGTTGAATAGACATTACATAAGAATCGCATCCTGTCGAACGAAGATAGTCGTCTCGACATATGGCGTATTGAAAGATAAGAATCCCATTGCTGACCAATTTAATAATTTCAAGAAATTTAGTTGTGCTAGTAATTTCTATGTTAATATAATCTAACTTTCTCGTTGATGGACACTCCACTCTTGTCTTGATCGAAACAAAGTAATGTTAGTTTTTGTCTCATTTCTGTAAAACCATTGCTTCACCCTTTTTACAAGCTCATTTGCATTGTTTGTCATATCAGGATACGCATCAGCCCCACTCAGCAAGTTAGTATCATCTGCGTTATTATAGTCATAAATTGACTTTCCCTTACATTACATAAATCATTCATATAAATGATGAAAAAAATTGGACCTAGTATAATGCCCTGAGGTATTCCCACATTTGTTGGTGATAGTACGTGTTGATTTGTGATCTATCCCATTTTTATTAATACATACTCTTTCGACTTGTGTAAGATAGGACTTGTATCTGTTAGGCATGATTTTGCCCGTTTTAATGTATTTCCTCTCTAATTTTATTAATAATATGTTCTGATTAAGACAATCATATGCTTTGGAAAGATCTAAAAATAACCCACGGCGGGCGATTTGTAATCTGAATGTACTGAATTTTTTAAATTATTTTAGACAACAAATAAATAGTTTTTAAATGCTATTCGTAAGCTTATACACTATTTTTTCTTAACATATAAATACCAATACATTGAATTTATTGAAGGCGCGGATCTGTGAAGATTTTTCAAGGGGATGTAAACAATTTGTATTTGTCGCCGTCATCTTTTTTGTTTTCTCGTCAAATCTTGAGGTTACAATTCAATGAATTTCAGGATTTCGTCGAGCAGCTCGGGAACCATCCTCTATTATACCCCCTTGTATCATCTCCTGATTTATTGGTACACGTCACGGGACATAAAATTTTCAACTTTAACAATTATTTCTTCGGCCTCCAGTGATTTGATATGAACGGCAAAATTTGCTAAAGTATACTTTGTAAGTATTCAAGTTTAAAATGGACTAATAATCCATTATGGTTCAATGTCTCTTAAATCGTAGAAAAATATGCGGGAAAAAGTGGGGTCTGCGTCCCAAAATGGCCATATATGGTTAACAAATCGTTAGGATAACAATATAGATCTTCTTACTGGACTTACGAGTGTCATCAATCCAACAGAAGAAGCAACATTGTACAGGTCCTGTGAAGAAGAAGAAGACGAGGAAACATCAATACACGTCCTGTGTCTGACTAGTTTTAGGATTCTAACAGCAGGAGTGCATTTAGAAACCTCGCACGGCGCGTCCTGACCACTAACCACATACATTGGAATAGGGTCCAGACGCGCCGTGTGACGTTTCTAAACGGACTCCTACATGTGGAATCCACTGTCAAAGCTAGACAGCTAGACTAAATAATGAAGTCCAAACAATAGGTCTGAAAAAGTCGCAATGGGCAAGAACAAAAAATAATGTCCTTTCGAATTTGATCTAATCTACCGGCCATAACATTACAGATCATCTACATAGGGAAAATTGACATAAGAAAATGTAGGTATTGGGTATTTGCCTAACATTCTAATTTAAGTTAAAAAATCTTAAAATATTTATTTTTTATTTCAAAATTATATAACTTTTTAATTTGAATAATGGGTTATAACAGTCAATTGATTTAAATTTTAAATAAAAAAGTTACATTAAACAGGCTAAAATGGCATTAAATTAGAGATATTGAAAATCACATAAAAACTTTATCAAAGGAGACAAAAAAAAACTAAAAGTTACATCTACAATACAGGTTTATAACTAATGTATAGGTACATAATTTTTTTATTATTTAAAATTATATTAACAATAACAGAATAGTGGAAAAAAAGAATCTAAACTGTTAAAAATGTATGTAAAAAACGTGAAGAGGATGAAACTCACATTCATCTATTCCACTGCCGAAACCTTAGATGGAATGGTAACTGCACTAAGAACCAGAAAAACTCGCGAAAGCGCTAATCAGACATTCTTGAATACATCAAGGAATATTAACCTGAAGCGGTGGCTTCAGTATGAGTGGGCTTTGAACCACACCCTAGATAGAGTGGAACAAAATAAATTGGTAAACAAATTTAAAATACTTTTATTCAATAATAGATTTATGTACATATTTAGAGCTTATCTAATGGTTCCTCCCATTTCTTTGACACTCTCCTCTATTTTTTTATGAATCATGTTCACTTCATCTTGTGTCAAAGTTTTTTCCATGTGCCTATAAGTAATCCTGTAGCAATGACTAATTTTTCCATTTTTTGGATGAGTAAATTCATCAATTAATTGTATTTGTTCAATAAGATCTCCAGCAATATTTCTAGCCAAATCATAAAAATCATTGCTAGAAAAATGTCCAGTAGTTGGTATCCAAAAACTTAAATCATTTTTACATTGGGGATATTGACTTATTGGTATGTAAGTAATGCTATCATTAGGATTTTTACTTTTAAACTGATTAAGGAACCCGCTGTCATTTGACCAGAATAAACGGATATCTGGTATCTTATATAAACACATTGCCAGCCTTTCTAATCCTAAGCCAAATGCCCAGCCAATTTTATTATTTACACCAGCATTATTTAAAATGGCCTGCTGCATGATTCCACAGCCAAGTACTTCAATCCATTCACTAACATGATAAATTTCTAGTTCCCAAGATGGCTGAGTGAAAGGAAAAGTAGTATCTACCCATCTGTATTTTACATGATCTCCAAATAATTCTTTGGCAAGGCCATGTAGTGTTTGTTTTAACTCATATTCTATAAGCTTTACTGCTTCTAGAGAATGACAAGCTTGTTTTTCCTGATTTCCTGTAAAGATAATTTTGTGTTCATACCTGTATACAAATAGAATTATTGAAATAGAAGGGGATACTTAATCCAATTCTAATTAGGTATATATTCTATACAATGTTTCAAGTATGCAGCTCTTAATGTTCAAGAGTGTAAAAAAGAATAATTATGTATCTTATAGGGCCAAAAAAACAAAGGCAATATCGACAATTTAAGCACAATTTATCACATGCATTTAAAGAATAATTATGACAAATGTCATATGACTAAGGAAGCAAAAAGATATTTTGTTATGGTTTGTGCTGTAAGATTACATAGTTTATCCTTATTGATACTGCAATACGAGCTAAGCCACAAAAAATTCATTTTAAATATATTTTCAAATTCAGTGATCAATATGCTCTTTAAGAAAGTAATATTTTGACATAAATTAACTTTAGAAAAATTAAACCAGTGGTATGCTATCAAGGTTAGTGGAAACTTTTTCCCCCTATTTTTTTACACCACTGGTACAACCATTTTTTTAATATTTTTTTTTTTTTCAATTCTCTGTGTTTATAAATTTAATCTAGTTAGCAACAATCAAATTTTTAATAGTTATGTATTTGACAAGATCTTGGTAGATCAAATTTGAAAAAAAAATAAAGATTGATTTATGGCAAATTATAAATTATTATTTAAAATTTTAAATCATTTAATATCCCATATATCTCCTTAAAGAATCGTTTTAAGGGTTCATGTCCCTATATCAAAATTCATTAATTAACGAGAGCTCTCTGTGGTAGAGAGCTGTCTGTTGAATATACTAACAGCCTATATAAAGGACATGGCAAATGGTTTTTGGTCAAATTTACTGAATTTTATATATGTTGCAGTTTTTGGCCTCCTAATTTAAAGTGGCTATGGGCACAAAGTTCTCTTATGAGTTGTGAACTGTGAATTTTCATAATTGTCCAAAATATTTTAAGACATTGTAATTTTGCAGACATAAAAATTAAAAGTTAAGTTTTGGCTCTCTATGATATTTGTGACTACTACTAAAATACGATAATAGCCATTTTGGAAAACAATTGTACTTGGTGAGTAATTTTTTAAATTGAAGTAGGAAAATTGCATGTTGAAAAAATTGGTTTAGCCTAAAATAATGATTATAAATTAATATATATGGTTATATAAGTATGTATAAATGATATTACTTTGTTATAAAAAAAATACAGCAGCAAAAAAATTGGTTTAGTGAGTGTTCCAAATAAGTATGTCACAAAAAAAAAGATACTTTGGTCACCACCATAATTATATAAAAGGGGAGTAAAAAGATAAAGTTGAAATATACAAAAATTGCCATTTTTTTACAAAATAATCGGTCAAATTAAGTATAATTTTGATATATTTAAACAACAATCTTAAAAAGTTTATTTTCATATTCCGACCGAAAGCCATTTGCCATAAGGAAACTGCAAGGTCTTTTAACGTAATCAAACATCACTAGCTGACTGTGAAAGCTATTCAAAACAATAACAGCACCGCGGTCACTGGACTGGCCACAGTCTGGATGGGCGACAGAACTCGTAGAGCACTGGGGCCCAACCAACTGGTGGAATGTATGGGTAGAATGAATGGGAAAAAGTAGGGCATCTAAATGGTAGTACAATAGGCACACGAGGCTGCAATGCCACCACTATGCGAACCCCAGAGGAAAAAATGTAGGCTAGAACCCAAGCTTGGTTGAGGGAAGCCTGTGGGAACCCCTCAGGGGGGAGGAGAGGGATGCCTGAAAGGGTGAAGTAAACAAAATAAGCTGTAGGTATTGGATAATCTAAAAAAAGGTACCTGTAAAAGCAGTATTATTTCCTTCTTCAAATATATTTAAATTATCATCTTTGGAAAATAACTGTTCTCTAGATAATAATCGAACAGCATCTACTTGATGAAATACAGGATAATGGGTTCTATCAATTTCATCTCGTCTATACACATCTCCAATTATTAAAAAATTGTTGAGTCCAGATTGAATCAACTCACTCTGGTGTGCAGTCATATGTGCTCGAAGTAAATAATTCTTATTAATATAATAGCAGTCACTTTTACTTCTGGAAGGGTGATTTTCTGGAATTAGTAAACTATCAAAATTTTGAGTTGTATTCACAATTGGTTGTAAATTATCATGCACAGAAAATACGGGATTTCCTCGTCGGGTCACAAATGACTTATAAAAATGATTAACTATTCGTTGTCTTACTAAACTGAGAGGGTGGGAAGGTTGTAAGAAAATATTTCTTCCTAAAAATCCAGACACTTTCTGTGTTACGTTGGAATATTCATCTTTCAGGTAAGATTTATTAAGTAATACAATATCATTTGTTTTTGGGTGTAATTTCGATAGCAGCCGCTTATTAATTTTATTATAGTTTTGAGAAATTAAATAAATTTTTCCTATTTTCATTATTACAATAATTTGAAGATAAAATTCATATCTTTGGATTCATTGGTTAAGTTTGGTTAAGTTTCTCACACATAAACACAAACCCATGGAGGAATTAGGCATTCCAACGACCTGTCCAAATGGCTACCAGTGGGTACTGACAGTTTAGATATGGCAACCCTGTTTTCATGTTGTCATTAACAGGGTCAAAATGGCCGTGTTCATCGTCGTCAAACATGTTGTAACGCTGAGTAAGCGGCACGGCGCACTATAAAGGTGTTTCAACTCCCTGAAAAAAACATACCAAAACCGGTCGTACTTAGGGCAAAAATCCGCTAGGTTCGCTAGTGTCGTTACGGCGGAAAATTGCGGCAATCTTTTTATCTGTCAGAAAAAGTGCAATCATAAAAATAGTTCTTCTATGGTGAAAATTCGAGTTTATATGAAATGAAAAATGACAAAACTATCAGAAGAAGTACAGATGAAAAAATTAATGGTCAACAAATAAGTTTATTGTTATTGATGGTTGCTTATAAGTGTTTTTTTTTTAAAGAAGCTACACTGATGTGTGCGTTTATACAATCAAAAAAAGCGTTCAAGATTTAATAAATATGCTCCAATTAAGTTACAAGTTGCTGCCAGAGACTTGCTACTAAATAAGTTAAATGGGGGTGTTTATAAAAAACAGCTGATTTTGTTTTGTGTTCAAATATTACCTTTGGTTTTGGCAAAAACAGCAATACAGTGGGTTACTGATTATAAAATGAAGAAGTGGACCTTAACTATGGTACTCAGATTGAAGCTTATTATTTTTAAAGTGAGTTTTGTGATTTTCATTGCCCAGATTAAAGATATTCTAAACATTTAGTTTTATACCTACTATAATCAAATCCATACATAGTGATTGGAATTACAAACATTTCTGTGAAATAGCATTATACCAGAATAATGAAGTCTCACTGGACTGGAGTATATATGTTTCCAAAGATCAGTAAGTACCTATATCAATTATTATTATTTTTATTAATAAGTATCAGTAATAAATACATCAAAGAATAACAAGGTTGTAACTGTACTTTTTGGAAAAAATGAGATTGGTAGAATATATTATTTAATTTGTTTTTGTGACCAATATGTTCATGTGTTAATTATCAATGTTGTGTTATCGAAGCACTAAAGTTATTCACATGGTTCTATCTGCATGTACATAGAACTTATACAGTTTTTAGCAAGTGTCATTATAGTAGTCAGATCTTCGTTATTCCCTAATCCCTAGCAAATGTAGTCTCCATCCTCCACAATTATATTAAGATTAAAGGCCAGGTTTTTACCTCTGAATAAAGTTGAAAGTAACTACTTGCTGATTAGGCTATAGATTATACTTACACCTAACTTTACTCAGAGGTTAAAAAATCTGCCATTAAAAGAACAGTGAGTTTTAGAACATAAACCTTATTAAATATAATGGGTGTTTTTTTATTAAACTTTTTGTTTTTAAACAGTTTTGATTCAAAATTATAAAAAAATGATATAGGATACCTAGAAAGATTTATAATATAAAACATTTAAAAATTCTGAATTAACAAAAGTATGTATTTTCTGTTCCAAGCCTTGTCTCTGTTACCTAAACTAAATACTAGAAACACAGTTTTAACTGGCAGTTACTACTATGCTTTATCAAATATTCTAAAAAATGTAGGTCGCTTAGTTCTTTCTGCATTTTTTATCACTTAAGATTTTCTCTTAAATTAGAGTTAGAAACACAATGAAAATCAAACAAGTTAATGGCTATACAAACTTCAACTCCAAAAAATAACTACCTGTCTAGATACAATCTTGTTATCCTAATATGACAGATGTAGAAGATTTATACAAATGTGAAAAACATTTTTCGTTCTGCAATGCTAGATGAAATCTTTAATTAGGCATCAAATTTGTAAAATGTTAGAGATAGTATGTAGGTATATAGGGAAAATAAAAAATATAATTATAATGAAGAGTAAGAACTTTTAAATTTTAATATAACTAGAACAAAATATTCAGTAATTAAAAATTTTGATAGGAATTAAAAATTTGCTCGAGTATAAATGTTGTGCTTGTTTTTAAGTGGTTTCGATTTACTTTAGGTTTGTTCCAACAATGCTCAGAAATGAGTTACTGACATCAGGATTCTGCACAGTAGTTTATTGAGACTGCAAAATTGTGTACTACCCAGTGGTTCGTTTCTGATTGTTGGAACAGACCTTTTATTCAATAAATAATCGAACAAGTTAAATGTGTATTTGGAATTTTTTTAATTTTACAAATCTGGAGCTTGAATATGGATTTTCAAATGATGCACTTTTTGTAGTTTTTAATAATGCTTATTTTTTTTTAGTTTCTTGTTCATTTAATAAAGATGCTTTTTTGTATATGGGGTGATAATTTTTAAGCAGAGGCGTGCAGCACCCACAAGATCACTGCCAGAATTAATTCAAATGGGTAATCTAAAAATATGGAGTAGGTTCCCTGCACAAGATTTTCAAGAACTTGTAAATACAATGTTTTAATGAATTATTGCCATTATCAAAGTTAAAGGTGATGAAACACTCATGAAAATTTGTAAATATTTAACCCTTTCAGTGTATTTGTCCCTCCAGAGGGACACTGTCTTAATTAACCCTGAAGTATACATCTGTTAATTTTGGTAGAATGTTTTTCTTTTTGGTTTATTTACTTTATTTGCATTACTTTCAAAGATTAATATTTAAAAAAAATTATTTTCATAGTAAATTTTTGTTTTTGTAATGTCCCTGAACAGGGACGTTATGTCTTGGAGTAATAAAAAATACTATGAAAATATTTTAATTTACTTAAAATAAACAAAGAAAAAATACAATCTACTACAATGGTATTTTTTTTAATGAAAGTGGAAGTGAAAGGGTTGAAAAAATAAAAGAATTTATCAGATTTATGTATGATTTGTTCTTGTAGTGACAGTCACTATAAATATGAGAAGTGTGCTAATTAAAACGGGACAGGGCTCATATAGTTTTATTTAAAAAGTAAACCTTGTCATTAATTAAATATAAATGATTATTATATTATTGAAATATATAATGTAAAACAAATTGTTGTAATGTTTTTCTGAAATCAGAAATGTTGTCAGGTTTGTTACTGTCTGCTGCTAACTGTGACGTGTACAAGCGAACATAATAAACCTACTTATTGAGTACATTAATATAAAAAACTCATAATAAATCTGGAAACTATACATTTGAAATTTTCCTACTTATTTTTTCATTACTGCTATTATCCAATAGAACAATTCCTATGCTTTTATTTAATATTTCATTTTCCACAAATAAATATAAAAAAATAATTAGTAAAATTATAAAATGAGTTCCAATTAAATAATGAACTATATTATTAATTGAAATTGTTAATATAAGAAATGAATAAATTAAGAAAATAAGTGTAATAATGGGAAATGTGTAAATTGTATTTATTTCTAATTTTAAATAATTTTGTGTGTATTGTTAATTTTCTTTCTAGTGTAAAATTAATAAATTAATAATTTTAACAAAAATTTAATGAGATGTTTTATTTGTGTTAGAACCCGAATACAATAAGAATGCTGCTGTCATAATGATTACTCTGAATTTCAAATACATAGTATCTATAACTTATCAATAAATAAATATTAAGTTGTTAGGTATAAAAAAATATTTCCTATATTCCTAAAAGATTAACACTTCACCTCCAGTGGATAACTTCGGTAACTGTATCAGCAATACTTTCCACATTCTCGTCTCCTTTGAGAAGTAGTCCCATCATAAGTAATAAAAGCAGGAACAGCATTTTTTAGGTAGTTTTTTTTATATTTGCACTGCACATTAAATAATGGTAATCTTATAATTGAAGGGTCTGGAAATGCACCATTCTTGTTCCGATAGTTGGGATCCTAACATATAGTTGCAAGGTTATATTTAATTATTTGGAACCAGGGAATAAGCATATTGAAATAACTTTTACTTTTTATCATGTATTTACCAATTTTTACATTGATTAAAAATAAAAAGAATCTGTAGATTTTCAAGTAATAGGATCGTTATTTTTAACTTCAAATTTGTGTCAAATTCTAGACTTCAGTGCGGAATGGTGTGAATATGCGGAGTTCTAGACTCGTCAACTACAAGATAACCTTAAATAATTATTAGGTACATCAGAAAAAACATTGTTTAAATTATTAACCAGTGTATGTACACATTATTCAATACACAAATACCAACATCTACGACCCCAAACTACATTTATTTACTTAAAGGGATTAACTCCTATAAAAATACAGAATTGAAAAATCCTTAATATTTCTTATGACTCAAATTTGTATTAATTTAAAATCAGTACTTCTATAAAAACCTAGTAAATATACATTTAAAGAACTGGAACAAAACACATTCGGAGATGATTATTATTAAACAAATGTATATTTACAACTACAAGATAACCTTAAATAATTATTAGGTACATCAGAAAAAAACATTGTTTAAATTATTAACCAGTGTATGTACACATTATTCAATACACAAATACCAACATCTACGACCCCAAACTACATTTATTTACTTAAAGGGATTAACTCCTATAAAAATACAGAATTGAAAAATCCTTAATATTTCTTACGACTCAAATTTGTATTAATTTAAAATCAGTACTTCTATAAAAACCTAGTAAATACATTTAAAGAACTGGAACAAAACACATTCGGAGATGATTATTATTAAACAAATGTATATTTAAACACTTGAAAATAAAAAGGCTACAAGTAAAATAAATTTATCATAGTATCTATTTGATTCTTATAACCAGATACAACTTTCTAGCATTATAATCAGGCTAAAAGGAATAAGTCAAAGATTTTATTTATTCGCAGGGTCAGAAAAATATCAAAAGAAATAGGTACCTTGTGTATATGAAATTTATACCATGAACACATTATAATAGGGTCCAAGTCATAACATTATTAGTACCAAGGGGACAGGATAAATAATACGAAATACTTATATAGTAAAACTTTATAGGTACTAATAATTATTTTTATTATAGAAAAGACAAAGTTGAATAACCTATTTACATAACCTACAATCATT